TAACATTCGTGTTGATTGACTTGCCTCCTTAACATTCATGTTCGGATTGGCGTGCCTCCTTATAACATTCGTGTTGATTGCTTTTCCTCCTTTAAAATACCACTCCCCTACCCATTACAGCTGGTAGCAGATGGAGCAGCTGAACACCCCACATGCGTGCCCCCCCCCCCCACACACACACCAGGGGCGTCGGAAGGTATTTTAGTGCGGTACGGTCAGCCATCTGAAGTACAATTTACTCGTGGGGGAGGGGTGGCTGAGCCGAAAAAATTGGAAATTTAGAGCCCAAATCGGTGCATTTTATTGATTCACAGGGTACTTGGGTCAAATAGTGGTACGGTCAATACCGTAGTGGCCGTACCGTGTGCGACGCCCCTGCGCACACACACACACACACACACACACACACACACACGCGCGCATACAAACACACACACTCTCCCTCTCTCATGCTTTCACATACACACACACACATACATACACACACACTCTCTCTCCCTCTCTCATATTTTTCGTGCATGACCTACGGAGAGCATGCTCAACAAAATGCCGGAGAGCAGACTCCGTTAACAAACCTTGGAGGGGACGTAACACGTCATTCAAAAGGGGTAGATTTCCTGCACCCCACAAAATGAAGTTTAAAGTTATTTTTCTTTTTGTTCAGCGGCTAAAAACTTAGTAAGAAGCAGAGTTGTTGCATAAGAAAGGACATTGTGACCTTGGAAGATGACTGATAACGTCCCCTCCACGTGGGCATAGATGGTGGCACCTCCACGCGGTTATGCCCGGTAACTGTTGTATTCAAGTCATTACTTTCTATTGAGGAGAATGCAACAGGCTAAGCCCACCAAGCAAAACTGGAGAAATGATTTCAACAACAACAGCAGCAGTAGGGTCCAGGCGCCAGTCGCCGGACTCGGAGAGGGAGCCCCGAGAAGGATGGTCCACTAGGTTCTCCTCGCTCGGCACATATTCCGCCTGGATACCTATATTGTGTTGGACCGCCCATCTCCAGAGATTGCAAGCGATCTGGGACAGGAGGCGGGGATGCGTGCCGCCTAGGCGGTTGATGTAGCTGACGGCTGTCGTGTTGTCGATCAACAACTTGATGTGCTGGGGACGGTACGAGGCCCAGTACGTGATGAAAGGCTTTCACCGCAAATGAGGCAGCGATCAATTCCATTGCATTGATGTGGAGATTGGCCTCGGTAGGGGACAATTGACCCCCGGTACTCGTCGTGCCGCACACCGCTCCCCAGCCGAGCAGGGACACATTGGAGAATATGGTGAGCTGAGTGGGAGGTTTGAGAAAAAAAAGCGACCGTTCCAAGTCTCTAGATCTGCTGACCACCACGCCAACTCCATCCTGGCTTCTGGCGTCCGGTGTACCATGGCAAGGTAGCTCTGATGGCGACGAAGGGCTGCAATCTTCAATTGCTGAAGGTAGCGGAATTGCAGTGGAGCCAGAAACATGCCTGGGGAGCGCGCAACCATCCTGCCCAGGAGTGAGGCCAATGAACGGATGGACAGATAGGGCTGGGGCAGGGCTCGGTGGCACTCCTGCTGGAGTTTCCGCGCCCTGTCGATCGGCACAGACGTCGTCATGGCCACATAGTTCAACTGAAATCCTAAGAACCTGATCTGTTGCGTAGGCTCGGGAATGGACTTCTTCCGATCGATTACTGAACCCAGAGATTCTAGGAGTTGGATGGCCTGCTGCGTCTGTAGCACGGCAGCCGGCTGTGACTCGGCAATCAGGAGAAGGTCGTCGAGATACAGGATAAGACGAATGCCCTGACGATGAAGAACACTGATCGGGACCTTCATCAACTTGGCGAACACCCGGGGACGCTGGACAGGCCGGATGGCGGACACTGAAACTCGTAGAGTTGGCCCTCCCAACTGAAGCGCAGGAGCCGGCGGTGCTGAGGATGGATCGGCACGGTGAAGTACGCGTCCTTGAGGTCTAGCTTTGTTAGCCAGTTGCCTTCTCGGACGGACAGGGGAACAAGGTGGAGACCCTCCATCTGGAAGTGTTCGTACCGCACATGCTCGTTCAGGTGGCGGAGGTTGATTACGGGACGTTCGGCGGTGGTACTCTTCTTGGGTACGGTGAATAGCAGGCTCACGAACTGGCCGGGAAATGGGCTCACTGGTCGAATTGCACCTTTGGATAAGAAATCCTTTATTTCTGGTGGACGGTGGTGCATTTTTTGGGAGGGAACCGCATCTCTGTCGGAGCGGACCGCTGGCAAGGTGCAGTTTGGAGGTCTAAGCGGTACCCTGAGACGGTCTTCAACACCCACGCATCCTGCGTTAGGTCTCACCAGGCTGTCGCAAAATGCTCCAATCAGCCCGCTACCTTGGGGGTAGGGGTTTCCGTGAGGCAGCCACGCATGGGGGGAGGTTGTCAACGACCTAGCGGGCGCCCGCGAAAGGGCTGGCCTTGGCCGTTTTTTGCTGGCTGGCGGAAATGCTCCTCAGGCTGGCGGGTGACGAGGCCTCGTCCAGCCCTGTCGTAAGAGTGGAACCGAACTGAGTCCGACTGGTACATGGAGCGACCAGAAAACGGTCAGGACGGGCACGGTGCGACCGGTCCTGTGCGGTTCCCGGGCGCCGCCCAGAAGGCCGTGGCTGGAATACATCCATTTCCTGGCACTTGCGTTTGCACTCCCGAGAAAAGCCATCACCGAAGAGGAGATCACCGGAAGGATGCAAGTAAGAAAAAGATTACCTGGAGACGTCCGCTCCAGCACAACGCTGGAGACCTTCAAAGCTGCAGCAGTACCCTACGCAATTGCTCGTTGACTACATGCAACAGTAGCAAATGCCATGTTTGACAATGGATCCGATTTCCAGCTGACTATCATTTCCAGTGCATACACACTTTTTCTTTCCGTTTTTCTCTCTCTCTCTTTTTTCTTCCCTCTTAAGATCTTAGCTACCTTGTCATTGGGAAGAAATTCCCGTTTGGATTTTGCGAAGTAAAACGAAGTTCAAAAAAAAAGTCCTGCAGTAGGCTCTTTGGGCATCTCTTCGGCAGCGCTGCCAGGAGGCGCTGACGGCGTGTCTCAGATAACACGTTAGAGGCGTCGCCCGTCATAATGATCGCCATCTGGACGAGCTCTGTCAGTTCGTGGACCGGCCGGCCCTGCTCAATCGCCGCCCAGAGCGCGGTCAGGGGACGGAAATTATCCGTGACCTGTTGGATGCTGGCCAGCATTCGATCAGCCCTCTTGGCATTGGCCAGGCCCTGGACATCTGACAGGAAAGGGTCCACTCGTGGACGTTTCATTTCTTCCACGTCCGGTCGGGGACACAGTTTCTGCACCCGTCGACGCTGAGCAAACGACAGGGAACCACGGTAGTGTTCCCATAGGTATGTGGCTATGTGCGAGGGGGGGGGGGGGCGGGGGGAGACCACACAGAGCGAGGGGGGGGGGGGGGGAGACCACACAGAGCCGTCCACCAACCCCTTAGGGTCGAAGGCTGCACAGCTGCAACAGCAATACCAACATAGGGCAGTATTATACCTAGACGTATCATAATACAACGTCCATGTCTCCCCAGTCGCTTTCCTGCTCATTACTGTGTAGGAACCCGTTGCAGTGTACGAACCCATGTCAGTGTACAAGAGAGCTTGGAAGCTTAGGGCCCTACGCTGTGCTTTTTTGCCTAGCTCATCATGCATGTTATTAAAACTCATGGAAATGTTTTTTCCATTGATTGGCTATAGTGTTTTACGTCAACCATGACGGCTACAATGCCCAGCCATATCACAACGAACTGATCGGCTACATCATTGTATTGCAAAAAGTTTCCATCTGTTCGAATAACATGCATGATGAGCTAGGCAAAAAAGCATGGCGTAGGGCCCTGAGCGAAAGAAATAAACTTTCTCTTAGCATTCGAGGGTAATACGGTACCGTCTACCACCTTCATGACCTAGGCAAAAAAAGCATAGGGATGTTACAAATTTTTCATTTCTCCTATTTTTGTTTACAACCTAGGATTCGAACCCGCACTATCGCCCTGCATGCATTCCCCCTGATACACTTCGCATACATACTCATTCTTCCAAGTTGCTTCACGTTGTGATCTTGCATTTGAAAGCCCTATTTGAATATTCAGATTGTGGCTAGCTGTCTTTGATGGTACATGTATACAGTACGGGACAGGTACGGGATAGCGCCAGGGAAGATTGTTCAGTTTTACTTTTTCTACACCTTCCTACATGTGTACTGAGTGAAAAAAAAAGCATTCCTGGGGGGGGGGGGGTAATTGGGCAAAATCTTGCCATACGGTGCCTAGAAAATATACGATTTTGCAATTTTGCAGAGTTTTTAACACACATCTCTTCAGGAAACATTTTCATTAGAATGCTTTATTGAGTCTTTCTTGATGCTCTGCTTCGTCCAGGGATGTCCCTGGGACAAAACTGTCTGAACAAGCGGTCACGTGCTCCTGCGTACACCAGTCACCTGGTCACCGCGCCAGCAGGCGACAACTAACACCAAGGTTCAACTCAAAGGTTCCAAGGTTCAACTCGAGTGACAGAAACTCGCTCAAAATGCTGTAAGTAATAAAATATTAGTTGTAGCCTGCAGGCACGGTGACCAGGTGACGGGTGTACGCAGGAGCACGCGACCCCTTGTTCAGCCATGTTCGATTGGGAATAATGGTCGAACGCTTCATCGCAGCCTTTTCGGACCAAAACCAGTCGACTCAGCGTCCAAAAGACTACAACATAGGGGCCAATTGTGGTCATCCGTGCTTTTATCAGAATGAAATGGCGCTTCTAGTGACATTTTGCATACAGATCCCCATCTAGTAGGGCGCAGTCACCCAGTTTCGATGGAAGTGCGCGATTTCGATTGGGAATAAAGGAGGAAGGGAGCGTCTCAGCTTCCTCGGACCAACACCATTCTACTCAGCACCCCGAAGACTACAAGTGGTGAAAATTTGATTTTAGGCTTAACTTCCCCTTTAAAGATGGGTGGACCCTGGCTAGCGCCAGACGTTACTGAAGTATAGCTACGGGAATAAAGTCATTACAGTGTATGAAGTCATTGCGGTGAATGAAGTCATTACAGTGTATGAAGTACTATGAAGTTTGAGCCCATTGCAGTGTACGAACCCATTGCAGTGTACGATCCCATTACAGTGTATGAAGTCATTACAGTGTATGAAGTCATTACAGTGTGTGAACCCATAGCAGTGTACGAACCCATTACAGTGTATGAAGTCATTACAGTGTATGAACCCATTACAGTGTATGAACCCATTGCAGTGTACCAACCCATTACGGTGTATGAATCCATGACAGTGTATGAAGTCATTACAGTGTATGCCGTCATTACAGTGTATGAACCCTTTACTGCGTATGAACCCATTACAGTGTATTGACCCATTACAGTGTATGAGCCCATTACGGTGTATGAGCCCTAGCAGTTGATGAGCCCATAGCAGTGTAACTACATGTAGGTCTGAGGGTAGAGTTGTTACATGTATTCCTGAGTTATCGTTATACGCTAGGTTTAAGTCTGGTGAACTGTACGCAGTAGCACAACTGCATAAAGGATGGCCATCTACACACAACTCAGTACATTCACTTATGAATAACTTTACACGGTGTGTGCTCGTAGATAAGTCACTGCCCTAGCCCAGGCAGACGCTGGCAGCAGCAGCAGCTTAAGACTCAGGGCTCCAGTGGATCTCGCCCTTCTTGCTTGAGCAGTCAAACTGGACAGCTGTGCCACTGGCAAATTTCCGCGTGTAGACCTGGCCCGTCTTGACCGCTGGTCCCAGTGGTGCACCCAGTGGCTTATCGTAGGAGGCCTTCCATTGCGTGGCGATGGATGACTCGTTTGTCCTGAACCAGGGGCCACATCCGAAATACGAATACTCTCCGGCGCCGATGAGAAACGCGGCGAGATGGTTGTGAATGCCCTCGTCACTGTCACAATCTCCTCCGGACATGTGTGCTTCGACGAGCTTGCCTCGCTTGGCACTCCATTGAAGGGTCTCAATGCTTTCCTCCGAGGCCGCGAACCCCTCAATCATGACAGCATTGACCCCGGGCATGCTGTAACCATGGTTAGCCACAAGTGGACCGTTGCCAAGACGATTTTGAAACTCTTGCAGGGTGGTAATGTGCGACGTGATCAGGTCGAGGTACTTTTCAGGTGTGTCCGTGTCCGGTATGCCATCCACGGGTCGGTCTACAAAGCACCCATCCACTGCGCCAGTGGGAACAAGATCCAAGCACGCATTCATGAACAGATCGGCCACAGTTTTCTGCCTGGTGTCGTAAACAAGCAAATCTGCATGGCCGTGGCCACCTCCCTGACAATCACACGCACATCGCATGCCGGGCACATGAACAAACACACAGACAACCAGACCGGACACGTCAGTAGTGAGCGGCAATCACTGCCATTGTGTACAGACATGTCCTCAAGCAACAACAAACACTGGTTCCTTCAGGCACAGACATGACCGCAGGACCTTATTTTTGAAACGGCGGACTCGCCCAATTTGAGCACGACAGGGCAATTCGTCAATATGACTCATGTCCGGTCAAGCATTCCATTGGGCTGGACAACCTGAAATCCCGATGCTACGCTAACCCTACAAGACTCAGTGTAATGTGGATGATTTGGTGGGTTGAGGTCCCAGACTGCTCCTTCTAGTCGCCCCTGGCTGGAGCTAGGCCGGTGTACTAATATACACGCTGGTGCCGTATGACATGGCTGGCCATGAGCTGCACTTGGCAATTGGGTCAGCAGATTACTGCTGTGAAGTGTAATCACGGTCAAGTCTAGCTTACCTAGGGTTCCCTGCAACAAGGCCATGCCTGTTGGGACTCCCCTAGTCAAATAATAAATACTACTACTACTAGCTTGCATTCACCATGGATCACTTGACCTAAACTTACTTCCAAATCTGGGATCGAAGCTCACATTTACACCTGTACAGTAAAACCTGGTGTAAGCGGCCTCTGGGTTTAGCGACCACCTGCTCTTAACGACCGTTTTTCCATGCACGAACAGTTCTACACACACACACAGTGGGGCCTGGTTCTAAACACCACCTGGCTTTAACGACCGCTTTTGCTTGCCCCGTGGGGGGGGAGGGGGGAGGGGGGGGGGGAGGGGGGGGAGGTCGCTTAAACCGGGTTTTACTGTATGAGTATTTCGCTCCTGCTCTTGTAGCAGTTGAGCACGCTCATGCGGGGCAGTGCCTTTGCTGTTTGCGTTACGCAGAGCTCACTGACTTTTCGGTTTGAGCACTCTGGCAAGGATTTTTCGGGCCTGGTTTAAATCTGGCTTTGGAAATTTTATTTTTCATTGCTATCAGGTTCGGCCTCATTTTCTCTGTGCTGCGCTGATGAGTCCACAAAGGACGAAACAGTTCTGTCCGCAGATTGAGTACCTGTATGTCCGTGTGCTAACTGTTATGGAATAAGGGCTCTCATGCAGTCTCCCTAGATCATGTTACGACGCCCTGATGCAAACCAAAAGACTACCGTATTATCTCCATTATAAGCCCTGGGCTTACCGTATTATCTCTAATATAAGCACAGTCTCCAATAATAGAACACCTTGGGGCGGCATTCAAAAAATAAAGTGCTCAGTCTCCATTATAAGCACACTGTGTAAATTCATTATCTGTACCGGCGGAAAAAACCCTGAAATGTGTGTGTCTGACATATAAATTTGGCATGGCAACATGCGTCTGAAATGAGGTTGAAATAATAATGGAACAGTCTCCAATAAAGGAACGTCTCCATTAATAGCACGGGCCGGAGGTGAATTGAAAAAATAAAGGACCGTGCTTATATTAGAGATAATACGGTGTATCATTTTTCAACCAGTCCTGACCCTGGGCTTATATTGGAGACTGGGCTTCTACTAGAGACTGGGTTTATGATTGTGTCAACCATCTTGTACAATTATTTTTTCTTATACTTTGAAGTACCAGTAGCACAAAATTTCCCACCGGGTACCCTGAATGCAGTGTTGCACTTCCTGGTATACTGAGTCTGTACATTTTTATCTCGGGGATCACAGACCTGCGCCATAACATGTGTGTATGTGATACTGTGGTCGTCAAACATGCATGACATGATCCGCCATACACTTCTCCATTATAGGCCCTGCGCTTATATTGGAGATTGCGCTTGTATATCTTCGAAGCCCTCTTGGAGTGCGCTTATAACAGAGACTGGGTTTCTACAAGAGACTGCGCTTATATTAGAGATACATGGATGCTTCTTTACTTACATGACGCGCTATGGCCCAGGGACTAGCACATTACTTCTCTGTGGTATAGAGGTGTGTGTGCCCATCAAATGTCTATCCTGCAATGCTAGCATCAGTGCGGATGATTTATGATTTTGGAACTTCACATAAAGGCAATCGGACTGATGTCGGTCTGCTAACAGTTATACATGTCTTATTCATAGTCATATCATCCCTCTACCCCCCCCCCCCCCCCTCACCTCCCCGGGTTGCAACAAACTAACATTGTGGAAGTTGTACCTTGTTGTTTGGCGAAGTCATCCCCCCCCCCCCCCTCACCTCCCCGGGTTGCAACAAACTAACATTGTGGAAGTTGTACCTTGTTGTTTGGCGAAGTCCCCCCCCCCCCCCCCCCGAGTTGCACCATCCCTCTACAACAGTTGTGAAGTTGTGTACTTACTGCAACGCGTACTACATTGCCGTGTTGGTCATGAAGCCACCAGCTCTCGTTCTTGGCAAAGTTCTCGTGCAATCGATACTGTGGAAAGTCCAGAACCATGTTGTAGTAGAAGATTCCTGTGATGTTTGGGTTGATCTTTTTCACAGATTTCAACGTATCCACAATGCGATCTTCCTCACAGCACACCCATTTCTCAGCAGGATAATGATATCCACTGTTGGGACCTTGATACTTCTCAATTGTGACAATTGGAAACTTGGCCATGATCTGCAATGCCTGGTCGTTGAATGGTCCAGTTGTGTTCGATGTATGAATGAACACAGGAACGTGGTCCCAGCTGAACTGAACATTAGGTGGTGGTGCATTAGGCAGAGCAGTAGCTGGTGGAGATTTGCAGTTCACGCCACTGGCTACTGTTGAATCCGAGAGCTGAGGATCCCAGTGCTCATCTGTACGTCCAAAGCAGCTCTGTCGCAGTGCTTTGCTGGCATTTGCGAAAAAGTATGTCCAGGACTTGCAGACTTTGCTGCTACTTGAGCAAGCCGTCTGGCAATCTTGCCAAGTGTCTTTCGGTCCTAGCGATACAACACGCTCACCATCAGCTTTGCTTACAGGGTACAGATTGTTTCCGCGGAGCACGAACTCGTCAAGGCAGGCTGGTTGGCTTCCCACAGGCCCACCGACTCCCAAAGTTATCAACAGCACTACTACAGCCAGCTGAATGACTGATGATTTGGCAGCCATGACCCCTGCGGACCTTCCTCAGTCTCTGACTCAGGACCCTGTCTTTCACCGTTTGTTAGTACGAGTCGTACGGACTCAAACAGTTCTTCTTGAAGCCTCGAGCTAGTCGCTGCGGCCAGCGATCGCTGATCCGAGCCTTCCCTTTCGACTCGCTCTTCTTCGACGAGTAGTTCTGGTCCACGACTGCTGTTGGAACCAGGTCGGGCAACCAAGAAAAGAATAGCAGTGTTTGCAGAACTCTTACTTGTAAATATCCGGATGTCAACCTTGTACTTGTAGTCTCTATAATTATAATTCTCTCTGACTCGCGAGTGCTGGGCTTATCAATATTATCAGCTGATCATGTATGTGGCCTGAGATTTACATGATTGTTGTAAGCTATCGATCTCGTGATCAATCGAATGTGCAACAAGGTCTTCAATCCAATCTTTCCTAACTTTTGACCACAGTCAGTGCTCAGAAGAAGAGTGTCGATCTACATGCAGGCGAGTTGGAAAATCGTTTGTCCAAGGTTGAATGCTGGTAGGCTCATGGTGCCGTCCGTAGTCACTATAAACTATTTATTATAGTAGATCTACTAGTAGATCTACAAGTACTAGTGGATCTACTAGTGGATATTATTTACATGACGATGTAGATCGTTACCCTGGATGATACCAAGGCGGACGGCGAGGGTATCCCAAAGGGAGAAAAGGACTCTTTTTGCAGGACTGTGCCAAACGGTGTCAAACAGCAGCATCCATGAAGTTTCCCATTCATGGCCGTTCAAGTTTCTTCCCACAATGCATCCAAGGCTTTGTCTAATCGACAACCGTTGACCTGGACAAAGACGAGGCATTGCAGATCACAACAAAGTTTCCAATTGTCACTACTGAGAAGTATCGAGGCCCTTACAAAATGATGAAAAAATTGGTGCTGTGAGGAAGATCGTACCAAGACGAAATCAGTGAAAACTGACCGTCCAATCCAAACTACAAACTTGTAATACTTCACAGGCTGACTGGGAATCTTCGACTACTCACGTGACATAGTATTGGACTTGCCACACTCATGATCGAGGAACTTAGATTAAGTGCTCAAGAGTCAAGACGATAATGTCAATCTGACTGTGGAAGGAGTGCACAATTATCACCGTGATTCCTACTTTGGATGTGGACCATGCAGCCTGATTCAGGAGACATGAATTACCGGTGGGTACCAGCCTCTGAGGGGCGGTTCATCGGGTAAAAATACGTATTTTATGCCTCCCTGGTACCCACCACCACCACCCAATCATGGAGGCCTTCCTCAGGCTGTCCGGCCGCCCCGGTTTGAGCATTAGGGCTTGAAAGTGCTACGTCACTCCATAGCAATGGCATAGCAACAGTTTGAAAAATTCGAAAACTGGATCCACCTGGATCCAGTTTTTGTATGGATCCAAGCACATTTCAAGCGGTCTCACTCACAGCAAGGTGATGTTGCCAGTGAAACTGACTGATTTGGCTAGTGGGGGCGGGGTGACAACTGGTGGCGAAGTAAAAGTTGCACCTGCATACGACATGAGTGGGTTGCTATGCACCCACATACTGAGGCAATAGCAAAGTCACACCTTAGTGGATCCAAAATAGAAATCTGATGTCAATTTACTACTCCCAGGCCGTTTTTGACGTCATCACTTTCAAGCCCTTTGGACCAAAACATGTGTGTACATTTACATGGGAGACCATTGCTTTTGGCAAAGTTGGACAGACTGCTCTTTTGACAAGCTGCTGCAGTGCTGGGTGAAACACTCAACCCAGCAATGAAGGCAGATCATCTAGACAGGTGAATTTCCGGGAACCACTGTCCGATTTGACCCATCTAACAAGAAGGCCGGTAAGCTACAGGACAGTAGAGAGCGCCGGATGGTGGCAGCTCTGTCATATTTGTACAGGCTGCACTACATGCCGGGGCCTCCCCAGGTCAAGGCCATGCTGCCACCAATCAAGCCCCCTGCCGTAGCTAGCTTGCGCACACGGCAACAACTTCCCCAGCTGCATGCAGTGGATACCCCCTCGCACAGCCCCTGACTACTTCTTGCGATCCTTCCCCTTCTTCGCCATCACACCCTGGAACAACCTGCCTGCAGACCTCCTGCTTCACTCACCTCATTCAAGCCACCCCCAAACCTTCAAATTCAACGTACATAAGATCTAATCCGAAAGAGATGGCAGTGGTCCACACAGTACCCGTGACAATGATAATTGAGACCCATTTAACTTTCTACATCTCATTTACCATTCTATTGCTTGAAGTAGTACTTCGCTTGTTATGATTCTTGTTCTCTTTTTCTTTTCCCTTCCGGTTTAGTTATTACCGGTACGTGTTTTTACTATTTTATTTTATATTATTTGGTGCAATATTAGCACCCCTTTTCGCACCAAATTATTATTTTTGCTACTTGAGACGCCCCCCCCCCCTTTCGATGCCAGGTTGCAACGCCAACGCCGAGACCTCTGGTCGGTCGAGTTGCTCCCTGTACATCGGCACGTCGTCCTTACATCCCCTGTGTCTAGCTAGCTTGTTTTGCGTTTGTCTCCACATGTCTCGTGGTAGGGCTGTGTTCTTAGTAAAAATAAAGGAAAAAAAGAGGATGAGTCGGCCATGAGTCAATGGTAGCTTTTCAAACAAGAATAATGACAAGCTACCTCAGTGTGCGCGCAAACAAATTCGAACTGCTCCTTTGCACGCTGCAAAAAGAACAAAACACATTGGTGCTAGTAGACATTTTGTGAATTATGCTTCGAGTCCTATTTTCAAAGATCTCAAAGAAACTATGTAAACTCTGAAAGAACACAGGCAAGAATTCTCATGGCCAGCCACAAGAACTAGGCAGTATGTGCAACACACCACAAGGCACATGCTGCTGATAATACCTACTTGTACTACATTGTAAGTTAGTGTACGTGTTCAAGATGCTATGCCTGCCTCAACATATTGTGTAGAAGGTGTTGCTATTGCATAGAACGAGAGAGAGAGAGAGTTTAGAAGAAGGCAGCACACGCGTACCAGCACTACTAACCCACGCATCCATGGTATCAGTGCAACGACAGGCAAACCAGCACCTATAAAGTTCACGCTAGTTGTACTGGTAAAAGTTTGAGGGATCCTTGATCCTAGAGCAAATCTATCTAAACACCGTACTTTGATTTCCAGTTTACGCCACCACCTTCGTGGCGCTGGCGTTTCGCGTCATGCATTTCCTTCAAGCGGTCCTTCACACTGGAAAAGCGCGAGAGCACGTCATTGACTTGTCGACTGCTGTCACGGCTGGTTTTCAGGCCGCGCAGTGTCGACCTGCCATGCTGTCCTGGGCCGTCAAGCTCGCGTCTCGTCCGTGCCGCCACATCATCAATGGGCTTTCCGCCTCGATAGGCAGCAAACTCATTCGGATCGGAGGAGATACCGGGTGATCGGCGAGCCTTCTTTGCATTCAGTGGCTCCAGTTCTAAACCATCACCGTCAGCATCGGACAGTTCATCCTCCACAGCAGCATCTGTGGATAAGACTTCTGGTGCTCGGTGCACATCTGTAGCATGGAACTCGGACCCAATCTCAGACACAACCTTCTGAAGATGCCGGTGGCCTTTGCCCCCAATCAGCTTCTCTCTCAGCGGACCAGCTTCAGGAGGACAGTCTTCACGTGCTAGGGCTCCCTTGGCCATTAGCGGTGACAACTTTTCTATGGCCACGCGCTTGCGTGGATCGCCATCGATCCTCTCAAGCAACTTCTCTCGTTCTATACTTTCTCGGTTGCTATCCGCCCGTGCTCGTTTGAACTTCTTGCTGACAAACCTGGTGTCCCACAGACCCCAGCTACTGCATAATGCATTGTAAATACAACGAGGATCGTCCAGCATCTCATCAGATAAGCATTCGGACACCGAGAAGCGGCCAATCTTTCCAATGTGTGAACGTGTTGCATGCCCGCAAGTTCCAAGCTCTGCAAACAACGAGAATTACATACGCACAAGTGCACACACACACACACACACACATACACACACACACACACACACACACGTTAGAAATTTCTTTAAATAGGTTTCTAAGGGTTTGCAAACTCCATTGCAGCCATTTACATATTGCTTTTCTCGATCCAAGCACTCCTACGACTCCTACACGGTCGTTCTTACTGCTTCACCCTGACGATGGGTAACACCCGGAATTTGGTGAACCTTGAAGTTACACTTGCGGCAGAGGAAGCAGAGCATGTTTGAATAGGTCAGCCACCTGGAGACCGAGACTCCCCTTACAGTCAGTACAGTTTTCATCATCATCATCATCGTCGTCGTAACCATAGCAAAAGCGTGCATCACTGCAGACACGGCCAGTGGTGCTATGTCGTCGGAGTTCTTGATGTGAATACTGCAAATATGAGACTAGCTCCCATGCCACTTTTTCTCTCTCTCTCTCTCTCGCGCGCACTGTTCAGCAAGTGTCCAGCTAGGGTTCAGCAAGTCGTCAGATCGTTGGTTCGCGGTGTACTTCACGCTCTGCCCAAGCTACAGACTCACCATGCGCTATGGCGTAAACAAGTCCGTAAGGATTGATGTTTCCAGACGTCAGCACCTCTACACAATGCACACGCACGCACGCACACACACACACACAACTTCTCAATGATAGTTTTCCAGTTATCCATGATATCATCCAAAGTCATTATTTAATAAATAATGGGTACAATCATGGGGCCTTACCCCACGCATCACACCCAACCCCACAAAAATCATTTATACGTAAAAACGGGCAGCCGGAAAATACCGCAAATAATAATAATAATATAATATTCGCGGGATCCGCGTCGGCATCGCTTGAATGTTCAGAAACACACAAACTAGCCTTCGCATCCGCAGGCCACCACTATGCCTGTTAACCTTAGTGACGAATGCAGACCTCACAAGTGAGTCAGGGGAGAGGAGGTTAGTCTCTCAACCAATCGGGCGTGTAACGGCCCATAACCCTGTAATACCGCAAATGGGGTATTTTTAAAGGATTGGGAGAACTTCAAATAATTGACCTGCCTTTGAAGTTAGGAGTGAAGAACTTGTCTAGGTTTGGCCTGATCCCATAGCTCAGATGGTTAGAGAATTGCTCATGACAAGCAAGGTCCCGGGTTTGAGTCCTGGTGAGGTTGGCATTTTTTCTCTTTTCAGGCAGTTCGCTTCCCCGACTGATCCTTTCAAAACGGGGTACACTCGGACGTCTCTTATCCGGGCACCTTGGGACCGGGCACTGCCCGTATCTCAGATTTGCCCGTATCTCAGGATAACTCATCTACCATGTATCATAATTATCATTTTTTGAAGAAGTTAATTTGGAATGTATTGCACATGTTCAGGATACAAAAGGAAACCATTGATAAAAATGAATTGATTACATACATGTAGGTTGGCAGTGAAAAATAAGCACTTCCGAATACGGAAAAAGTTCAAAAACCCCAAATTCGAAGCATTTGTGCTATAGGAACTCAAGCTGAAGGTGTCCGGTAGAGAGATGTGCCCGTATCTGAGGCATTCGGATAAGAGACGTTTGAGTGTAATACCATAATTTATCAATGCTATCCCATTTTTGGGCGCAGGACCATGTGCCTACAACAGAACCGGCTCCATACAAACTACAGGGGAATCCTGATAATTCGAATATGGCTTAATTCGAACATACGTAAACTTAAAGGTTTCGTCCAGGATCAATTTCTATCAATACGATTCTCACACACTAGTAACAATGTCTGATAATTCGAACCTCGAACTGGGCATATCCGGTTAATTAGAAGTCCCATGGAAACCACTTGCACAGAAAGTGTGTGGAATCTGTGCTGATAATTCGAAGTTAGCAAAGCATAATTTGAAATTTATTGTACATTATTATACAAGTCAGTTCAGTGTGCATGAGCAGACTGTGCTGTCCAGTTCATTGTGCATGAGCAGACTGTGCTGTCCAGTTCAGTGTGCATGAGCAGACTGTGCTGTCCAGTTCAGTGTCCATGAAATCGGTGTCTAAGGTGCATGGCGCAACTCTGCGAGAAAATGCGAGCATTTTGACATACGTGATGCGTTGTGGGTCCATGTTTGGATAATTGGAATGTCCGGATAAGAAGAAGTTTTTCCCCAGGCAATTTGGAGTTCGAATTTATCAGGGTTCCACCTGTACCAAGAGTATAAGCTGCCAAGAGTGCGCAACTCTGGACACTCTTTCTATGGGGTCCACCGACGGCGAAAGCTCACATCACGTGGTGTAGTGTGCCCGTTCTACATGCACATACCCAGTCCGGTTTTAGCAAGCAGTGCAGTAATAAAAAAACAGAACTCCTCGCCAGAAACCCACTGAGTCATCAGCATGACCATAGCAGATATGCGGACTGCGCAACCCGCTGGCCGTCGTAAAATTGTACTTGGAACACGGGATGTGAGGTTTTGCCGTCGGAGACCCCAAATGCAGAGTTGCATACTGTTGGGCGATTATGTACTCTTGCCACTACTGTGACAGGACATGAGTCCACCATGCAACTACAGTCAGACCTCGCTTATCCCGTCCTCTTTTATCCGCATCCCTCACCATCCGGAGGAAAATCGTTGGTTACCGATTTACGGCATATGCCATGCATACATACAGTATGTGTGTTCGATTATCCGGTTCCCTCGCCTATCCGGATGTTTTTGTGTAAAACGGATGTGTGCGGTTCAGAGAGGTCTGACTGTACATGACTGTGCTAGCACACGTAGCATGTAACCCAAGATGAACCAAGAACACTACCCAGTACTCACCCACAGTGAAGTTGGGCAGGTTAAATGCTGAGCAGTAGATTTCTTTGATAAGGTATGGCTTGCGCACCAAGTCAAAGTGTGATATGACAGCCGGCGCCTCCTGTTCTCTCCTGAAGTAGCGCAATGCTTGACGGTCCATTTTTGGCCGCTCGTCGAGAAGTTTGACCCTGGCAAATGCGGGGATCAGAGGTAAGACCGGAGTTCCACATTGAACACACAAAGTACAATGCAGCAAGCAGGTGCATAAGCGAAGCTTACTCATACATGCCGACTACAGTGTACATGTACTTCGAAGTAGTACTGTTGGGCACATTGAACTCGCTCTGTACGACCCAGTTTTCTTTGGCACCGAACATGCTGAGCGTGCAGGGATGACCCTGGTTTCAGAGACCACCTGTGTTGTACAAAGACAGATACAAGTCGGCCCCATAGCCAGCCACTGTCATGATCAGGTTAACTTGTACACATTTCGTAGATGAAGGCTGATTGAGTTTGCCTGCATGCCTTACAAGAGTACTCAAGTCAGCGCCATGGCTCACGACAGCAGTCACAGACTTACGGCGGCAACGGAAGGATCACTTCTCCACGGAACTTTTCTTCCAGTACACTAGTCATGATGTCCATGTCCAGCGGGCCTGCCAACATCGTCATCAACATCATTGACACACACACACACACACATACACACACACACACACACACCCACCCACCCACCCACCCACACACACACACACACACACACACACACACACACACACACACACACACACACACACACACACACATTACTATGCAGTACACAGCCATGCAATAGGTTATGACTACACGGTACACAGCCGTACATTAGATTTACGACGCACTTAACTGTCAAGCAGCAGTCAGTCTGACTTTCCCCACTACTCTGCATAAGAGTAAACAGCCAAGAGATGATGTACTAGTGTGGCAAAAGGTTCATACGTGCAGCATGACAAGAACAACACCAAGGAAAGATCCATCCTACCGGTGCTGCGGTCCTCAATAGTCGAGCCCTCTGAAGTAAATGTGTCCGTTGCTCTTCCCAGACACCCTTCGATAGTATAGTGCTGGAGAAACAACAGCAAGAACGTGTATGAACGATGGTACGTGTATTCTAAATCACCACACATCCATTCACGTACAGCAAACATGAAGTAATAGGTATTTCAGCGATCCGTCCAAACCGCCCAGCAGCCAGAAACAAGAATGGCAATGCAACTACTCATCAAAACAATGGACGTACGCGTACAGTGCTGCTCAATGAAGTCCAATCGTGCGAGTCAAGGCGCTGTGCAGCCCATGGCCAGAACACTGCGGGCTGTGCAGCCCATGGCCAGAACACTGCGGGCTGTGCAGCCCACGGCCAGAACACTGCGCGCTGTGCAGCCCATGCAAAGTGCTATCTGGACGCACACGGTCGCACTTCAGCCGAGCAGCGCTGTGCATGACATGTATGTACACAGTATTACTTACTCTCATCATTCCCTTCAGCTGCGGGAAGGCATCAACTCCAGTACCCAGGCCAACAACTGCAGAAAATCATAACAATGCCATTGAACCGTGTAAACAAAGAATACTAGTAGTCAAAATGCCCAGGAAGTCCAGACTTACAAAGTATTACAGAAAAAATCCCCTAATGCGGGCAGGTTGGGACCGAGCACTGCCCGGAACTAAGAATAGCCCGGAATTCAGGACAAACGTACTTACTGAATGCAAGTACACTCACACCTCGTTTATCCGGACCCCGAAGTTACGGGCACTTCGGTCTGCTGGGCATCCTTTGGGAGAGTTTCAGTGGCAATGTTACTACTCTTTCCGTCACTTTTTGTGGAAATAGTGACGTCACATGCCATATCTATGGCCTTTCCCCATCAAAATGTGTGTGATTCGGAGTTACGGGCAGTGCCCGGTCCTGGACCGCCCGGATAAACGAGGTATGAGTGTATTATATATTAAATCATTTCCATGCCAACCAAGTTCTGGGGTCCATTTTTCGTTGAAAAGCCATATTTGTGACTCTAGATGGGTCAGAAAGGTGCCTGGTAGACGTGACTGGATTAGGGGAATTTTACTGTACATACAAAGCAGCCTGTTTCAATTCAACATACATTACTGTCGATAGGAGTTGTTCACTGCATTTCCCAGAGCAAAGTGAAGCATACTAACCCAAGGTTGTGGCATAAGATGGGCAGCAGGGTGGTGGTGGTGGTGGTGGTGGTGGTGTGTGTGTGTGTGTGTGTGTGTGTGTGTGTGTGTGTGTGTGTGTGTGTGTGTGTGCGCGCGTGTCACGACACTGCAGCGACAATTTTCAGAATAGAGAACCCCGGAAACAAGTGCATCGCGTTGACATGACCTTACCCGTTGTCTGTGAGTCTCATATTACCTTGACGTGTTGTTGTTGTGTGTGTGTGGGGGAGTGCACGGGTGGTGCTCTCTGCCAAGGAGACACCTGCGCTTTACCAAGTACAGTGAACATTGAACACAAAACAATTGAGCGTTGATGTGAAAGGTAGTGTTCCTTTTTGGAGCACTCCATAGCTCATGTAGTGTTGGCCAGGGCTGCTTGGCAGCTGAACAATGTACTTGCTTCACCCCTATTGGATATAACATTCCACAACACCCATCTACCGGCTACAGCGTACGATTTTCCAGGATCATACATGCACTATCCTGGTCACTAGACCTTCAGCATGGTGCACTTTGCCTATACTTGTAAAGTGCAGAACTGTTGTGATAGGCGTATGCCCTAGTGTGCCGAGCCCTGACCTGAAGTGTCACTATGCTGAGAGTAGCGTGATCAATGAGAACAGTCGTACAGAGAGAACAATCATACAGTGAGAACAGTTATACAGGCAATCTTACTCAGTACACCATCGTGGAAACGATCTGTTGCGTCTATATAATCCACCGCCAGTGTTGAAGGTGGCTTTGGTAGTCTGGAATAATACACCCACACGCACACACACACGAACATGCACACACACGCACACCACACACACACACACACACACACACACATACATAGTATCATACACATCTATTGTAATACAAGTAAGGCTACTGTGGTAGGGAAATGCATGCACGGTTGTGCCGGGTGAAATCCGACCAAAAAAGTGCATATATGCCATATGGTGCCCTGGACTTGTGTTGCCCTTGACAGGTGGAAGTGGGACGAATGTCGCTGGATATGCCTATGTATCACTACACACACACACACACACACACACACACACACACACACACACACACGCACGCACATGCACGCACGCACCTCCTACAGTTCTGTTCATGCAGACACAATACTGGCTTATGCCGTCAACACCCAGCATCTCACAAGATACACCCAGAAATTCCTCATCTGTTTGAGCATGATTTGTTCTCGTTCCTCAAAACTATCTCTAGCAGTACCTCTATCCAAGCAGTGTAGTTGTTTATAAAACACTATGAACCAATAAATGAAGGCTAGGTTGGCATGCTGCCAGCTAATTGACAGCCATGAGTTATATTCAGAGAACGAAAGAATAATTATTGTATTGTGTATTGTATTGTATATTTTGTACTATTTATGGATTCTCCACAGGCCATAACCTAAATCAAGGGAGTCTCCAATATGCCTCCTTGGCAAACAAACCACAACAACAAAAAAGGGGCAGTCAGGTAGAGAATAAGAAGAGTGATAATAAATCATTTCTTACTCTGTTTCATGAAACATTATAGCCTGTTCCAATCGGCTGAGTTGTGCACGTGGCCTGACCCTGCTGGGCTTGGCCAGCGCAAGCACTCCTGTCCATGTTCGCAGTCGGAAAGGGTGGGTCACCACCCTGTTGAATGGAGCCGTCATTTCTACCTACATCTTCATCAATAACCAACAGTTAACAATACACGTTTTCAATAATCAGATTACACAATTCCTTTTACATGATTGTATTATAATTATGCAGAGACAGTTTTATTTTGATCATTACGTCATTGCTAGAATGAATAAAAATCAAGGAAATCAAAATGATCCAGATGGCGCGTTTCCAGCCACAAAAAAATAATTGCTTTGCAGCTCTAACATTTTGCTTTTGTCAAGACTCGAGTTTTGAACTGAACAGCACAGTGTGTCGATGTTGCCAAATGTGTTTCGTATGTCAAACTTACTCTGACTCTAGCTGTATGCGAAGTGATAACGAACAGTGATTTCGCGTCAGTGCAGCATGGGAAAGAAACACAAGAAGGAAAAGCATCACCGTCGTGCTCACGAGGGAGGTATGTCTTTACTGAATCAATGCAAATTCATTGTCCCTGCTTCTAAAGGAATTCTAAAGTACTTGCAGGAGTTCCCACGCAATCCAATAAAACAACGTACTGTAGCAGACGAGAGCTCCAAAAGAAAGCAGACGTGTGTCGTGTGTAGTACATGCATACCAATTTGGGCAGCTGTTGCCTATTTTAATACCGTACTGTAATACTGATTAGCTGATTTGAACAGTCCGTTGTAATCTCATTTCGTAGTTCTACAAGAACGCCTTGCCATAACGATGAAATTACAATGCCAATGTGGCTGAAGTGTGTCAGAATAGAAGTTGGAAAATACTACAGTGTACTACAATATACTGTGCGCATAAATCAGTATAATTGCATTTTGGGAAGCTAATGGCACAATGCCGAGGAAATCAGGCATGATGGTGACCTTGCACTTTCGTTTTGCTATGTATACCGATGTAGTGTTTGTAAAGCCACCTAGAGCGAAGTGCACTACTCTAGCGGTTCACCAGTGGCCATCACCACCCTAAGCCAGAGTCTGAAAGGCTTTTGTTCCCTGTCGAAGGGGAGTCTGCAGTTTTAGGATACAGCCCTGCTGAGGTGGTCTGGTCCTGTTGATGATATCAATATTAGTTATCAACAGGCCAGGGCCTGTATACAGGTTCTGTGCACTATCAACACAGAGTCCAGCCTGTGGCAAACCAATGCCTTCTTTCATCACAAATCGCAATGGACGTGTTTCTTTGAGCTTATGGAACGTTGCTCTGTCCGTTTTGGTGTGGAAAAGTGTTTCGTGTTTGTCATGCACACATACAGGGAGGGAGTTTCCGTGTAGAAGCACTGCCCTAGTAGTGTCATCAACAGGGCATCTCAACAGGCTAGCACACCCTAAACTGCAGGTTTTAGTCAACGGAGAGCGAGCTCCTTTTGGATTTTGACTCGGTGTGGTGTTAGCCTGTGATGAAACCCTATTCTTTTGTTGGGTGGTTTGTCCCTTTAGAGCTTCTTGAGCTTTCACCAATACCAGTGGGTGTGTTCTGTTTCTGTGTAAGTCAGGCAGTGGATGAGTGGGTAGTTGCAGTGAAGGTCGAGTGTCCACATCACAAGTTACTAGTAAGTACTTCAAAGAAGTAGCAGTAGCAGTAGTAGTAACAATGTTTGCTTGTGTTTCCATGTTTCTTCTTTGTAGAGCGAGTGGACAAGCCATTGAAGCTGGTGCTGAAGGTACCTACTCCGGCGCCTCCTCCGATTCCAGTAACGCTACCTGCTCTCCCCGAACCACCAGTGCCACCAATTCCACGCCTGACGCTGCCTACTGGAGTCAGCACTGAGCACAAGAAGAAAAAGAAAAAGAAGAAGACACAGCATGAAGAAGTTGCAAGTAGCGGGGTGCGTTAATGACAGCTATCGTATCTTAACTCAAAGGACTGAACATGTGTGTGTGTGTGTGTGTGTGTGTGTGTGTGTGTGTGTGGTGTGTGTGTGTGTGTGTGTGTGTGTGTGTGTGTGTGTGTGTGTGTCTAGATCTGTTTCATTAAGAATCAGATCCGCTATCGTTGCTATAGAGAAAATCTGTGGGTGCACATCCAGTGCATTTGTAGATTTGCGTGCTTCTCTTGCGACGGGCGTATACATGGTACATGGTGTATGTGGGGGGGGGGGGGGCTGTAGACTGCGGCCACGAATGTGTACGGTTAGTTCCTCTATTGCTGGTCATATGTAGGCCGGTGCATGTATACTCTCACACCTCAGCTATCCGGACACCAAAGTTACAGTTACATCGGTCAACCGGGCGCACCCTTGGGCGAGTATTAGTGGCAATGTTACTACTCTTTTGTCACTTGTGGGAATAGCGACGTCGTATGCCATATCTCTGGTCTTTCCCATCAAAACGTCTGTGATTCGGAGTTACGGACATTTCAAAGTTACGGGCAGTGCTCGGTCCCTGACCGCCCGGATAAACGAGGTGTGAGTGTATATAGTATTTCACATTGCTGTGTACCTGGTCATACCGGCGGGTGTATTATAATTACGAGGAGACCTCATTCAATGACCGTTGGCTATTTCTGGTCGGGTGACATTTTGTGCTTGCTACGTGTAGTTGGTCTTCATGTCAGCCTTGCTGATCTGCTGACTCATCTATTTCGGTCTTGTCGTACTTTATCGTAGTACATGTATGCCCTTTGCGTTTGAAAAGAGAATGAGAGAATGATTTATGTAACAGATGTGTGTATGAATAAACGACGCGGAGACAACAATTTTAATAAAGCAATAAATAGAACTAACTCTGCTGTCATCACCATGCAGCAACGAAGTCAAATCGATTCTGGAAAACATTTGACTTCGTTGATGCATGGTGATGACGGCAGAGTTAGTTCTATAATTCTATTTATTGCTGTTGTGTATCTCCGACTATCTCGGGTATCCTGGACATAGTTGCTTGACTGTGTATTGGATTTTCTTGTGGTGTCCTTGTGCCAGGCTGGCGTGAAGAAGAAACATAAGTCTTCATCTGCGTCTTCGTCGCGTTCTAAACAAGCCGTACCAGTGGTGAGTCTAGTCATTTCAACCGTACGATAATAACACCAAGTACGAAGTAATGGGGAGAGTATGACACAGTGTTACTGGAGGCACGGCATGTGGTTCTCATACTCACCGATAGCAAGAGTATAATACGCTCCCAAGAGTGTGCAACTCCTGATACCCTTTCTATGGGGTACGCTGACGGCGAAAACTCGCATCACGTGGTGTAGTGTCGCAGTTGTATGTTTCCAGCCCGTTTTTAAGCGAGCAGCGGAGTAATAATTAAAAAAGCCCCCTCCGACAGAAACTCACTGCGCGTATGCAAATCCCCAGCATGATCATGGCAAATATTCGGATTGCGCACACGCCATCCTTTCGTTTGTACGTAGTACGAAACGTACCTTAAGCCTAGTTCACATTCGACGGAACGCTGACGGTATGGGACGTAAGGGCATGTCGGGAAGGCTGGGGTGAGCTGTAAAATCTTGTACGATTCGTACGACACGACATACTGCAGTCGTTGCGTCGTTCAACAGCGAACGGCGCCAGTCATAAGGCACGGTCCGTGACAGGGTGACTTTTGGACCTAATTTCTTGTTTTTCATGATTTCTTTTCAATTATTTCTCCTTGAGTGAAGCGGAATCAAGTTCACAATACCAGATTTTCATGAACACCAAAAAAGTAGCTTCGAAAGGTGTGCCATTCAAATAATAGCTCCAGGAAATCATAAAACAGTTCGTCAGTCATGGTCCTGAACTATCCCTAAATACCATAAGTGACATCAGACCTTATCTTGCTAAAATTCAACTCAAGTCATGTTAGCCATTCTGTGAGTTATCTTGGGAAACACAGTGTTCAAAATGCTAAACATGTCCAAGTACGAATCGGGAGTAGTCGGCGCACAACGCCGTCTCCTGTTCACATTCAAAATGCAGCTGTTTTGTATGCTTGCGTCCCCGTCTACGCCCGTCTACGGTATGAAAAGTTGAATCGATCCAACTCTTCCCGTCGCTTCCCGATCCGTACGGTTGCGTTCCCGTTCCTGGTGTTCACATTGGACGCCGTCAGACTGTCCCGTCGCTTCCCGTCGATCCTTACGTCGCGTCCCGTCGCGCTCCGTCGAATGTGAACTAGGCTTAAGACACGTGATGTGAGTTTTCGCCGTCGAACACCCCATATGCAGAGTTGCACACTCTTGAGGTTATATACTCTTGCCGATAGCTTGCTCATCGTGCTGATGTCTGTCTGCCTGTTATGACGGATGAGTTCTTCCTGACATAGAGTCATGAGGGTGCAAGATGGTTCATTCGTTGACTGTGTGTGCTGTATTTCTCTCTCTCTCTCTCTTTTCTCACCCATCTGGTTTTAGTATGCACCGGTTGATGCGCAGGGAAAGCCCATAGGGGAACCACCGGCACTGATTCGATCAGGTGTTGTGAAGCCTGCCAAACGCTCACACCACCCTCATCATCACCAGCATCACCGGCATGAGCAGCAGCAGCAGCAGCAGCAGTACTGGCAGCAGCACGAGCAGCAGCAGTATGCGTATCCGCCTATGGACGTAGCTCCTCCGGGGTTGGAGCCGGCGCTTATGTCCATCCCTGTCTTGCCAGCGCTTCAGCCGCCCCCAAGCGCACAGCACCACCATACCACCAAGAAGAAGAAAAGCAAGAAGCGCAAGCACGAGGACGATGGGCCACCGAGTCTTGTGCCCCTTGTGCCTGATCCGCAGCCACCGAGTAAAAAGTTGAAACTACCACCACAGGCACAGCAACAGCACCACCACCACCACGAACGTCACCACCATCGAGACCTACAGCAGCAACAGACTAACTCAGAACAGTATGTTGTTATTGATATTCACGCCTCTGTTCTGTCTGACGTATTATCATGTTAGTGCACCGTGTATGTACAGTGCTGCTCAATGAAATCCTGTCAGGTGAGGCACGTCATCACGCCTTGTGATGTTTCACATCCCAGTGTTCACAGGTCTGGGGCTGCACAGCGCTGCCCGACGCTTACTTGACTCCCGCGATCAAATTTCATTGAGCATCACTGTAGCTGCGGTGTCTGTGGTTCATGTGCGTGTACTTACATCATCATTGATGGTGCTACATGTATGCTACCTGTTTTCAATGCAGTCGTGTACTTACATCATCATTGATGGTGCTACATGTGTGCTACCTGTTTTCAATGCAGTCGTGTACTTACATCATCATTGATTGTGCTACATGTATGCTACCTGTTTTCAATGCAGTCGTGTACTGTAAGTACAAATATCCGGCGCATATTTATTTTCGGCCATTTTCGGCCTGGTCATGTTTGGCCGAAAATTTGTCGCGGTCGAAATTTTGTTTTGCAAGGTTCAGTGTGACAGTGTATAGGCGGCATCAGTACAGGCCGAACATTTGATGTGGCCAAAATGGGCTTTAGCCCTGGGAGGCCGGAGATTTGTAGACTTACAGTATGGTTCTGTTGTTGTGTTCTCCTAGAATTGTCAGTAGCAGTAGCAGTGTAGCTATCAGTTACAGTGGTAGCAGCAGCAGTCAGTCAAAGAAGCACACTCTCAAGACCACCAGCAGCAGCGTGTCCTCCACTCACAGCGCCGCGCCATCAAGCAAGCCGCCATCGCCACGCATCACCGCAACCACTGCATCGCCAACGGCCGCTCAGTCGACCACCGCAGCCCGTCCACCGTCCAACGAGCTCAGTGTCACTGCTGCTTCGGCGGCCTCCCCAGCAGGGCCAGCAGCAGCAGCACTCCCTGTAGCACCAGTATCTCCTACACCTCCAGCACCACAGCCGATGCAACGTAAGTATCGGTGACTGTGCACTTGACTTACTAGTTGCTACAATGCAAACCCTGTAATTCAAACCCCAAACTACAGAAGAAGAAGAAAAGGTGACAGCACCGACGCAATCCACACAAAGAGTTGGTGGACAAGCCGTTGATTATCCACTCTACTTTTTCAATGCAAACCCTGTAATTCAAACCCCAAACTACAGAAGAAGAAAAGGTGACAGCACCGACGCAATCCACACCAGGAGTTGGTGGACAAGCCGTTGATTATCCACTCTACTTTTTGATATTGCAATCCACACAGTCAAGTAAGCCAATTTCGTAACCAAACGTTTTCGCTCCCTTCTCATCATGGGTCAGTACAGGGAATAACGGAAAAATGTCAATACAGCAGTTTATAGAGCTACAGCAAAAGCAAAGATCGAGAACCTCACGCTATACGTGTGGAACAAAAATTAAATTCAGCAGAACAGGTCAAACACAGGGTGAAGGTGAAGAAATGACTAAAACATAATGAACACATCAGTGAGGAGAAGCACTTCTGACACTTTCACGAGGATTAGCGCCAAACAACTGCAGTGACAAAACATGAGAAGGGAGCGAAAATGTTCGGTTACGAAATTGGCTTACTTGACTGTGTGGATTGCGTCGGTGCTGTCACCTTTTCTTTCGAAATTGGATACGCCTCCAATTTTTCCTTACAGAAGAAGACTTCTAGTTATCCAACTTATACTCTGTGACCCTTGCCCCAAACCCACCTTCCAGTGTGCCGTGTGCTATTCTGTCTACATGCAGCATTGAAACTCAAAGCCCTTCTGCAGCATATCCAGAAGATGCTGAAGAAGTAAGTCTGCAGCTGTTTCAGGTACTGTGTTGGTTGTACGGAGACTTGCCGGACAGCGCAGAGCAAGTTTCCTGATCGTGACAAGCAGCTAGTGCATTGAATTTATGGCAGGCTGTGTTTCTAAATACAGACATACTTTGAAGTAGAACTGCTTTTGAAGTATAATGATGATGGCCAAGTGTCTCCATTGATTGTACTGCCACTAATGCATGCCCATTATTATGTGTATTAATTTGTTTGATTACCTTGAAGAGACTGTGAAATTCTCCGCTCCTAACTTCTAGTTGTATGTTGTGTTTGGTGCGTGTGTAGGAAGGACACCCATGACTTCTTCCAGGAGCCGGTTTCTGATGACTTTGCTCCTGGCTACTCGCAAATTATCAAGAAGCCAATGGATTTTGAGACCATGGACAAGAAAATTGATAGCCTTGCGTACCAAAGCATCACAGAGTATAGGGTAAGGTCGTGTGTGTGTGTGTGTTTGTTTGTGTGTGTGTTTGTGTGTGTGTGTGTGTGTGTATGTTTGTGTGCGTGTGTTTGTGTGTGTGTGTGTGTGTGTGTGTGTGTGTGTGTGTGTGTGTGTGTGTGTGTGTGTGTGTGTGTGTGTGTGTGTGTGTGTGGCAACGAACGTGGAGTGGCCTTAGCTAAATGCATGCTGGTCATCAAGTATAGCTGTGTGTGTGTGTGCGTGTGTGTGTGTGTGTGCGTGTGTGTGTGCGTGTGTGCGTGCGTGCATGTGTGTGTGTGTGTCTTTGTGCATGTTTGTTTGTGTGTGTGTGTGTGTGTGTGTGTGTGTGTGTGTGTGTGTGTGTGTGTGTGTGTGTGTGTGTGTGTGTGTGTGTGTGTGTGTGTGTGTGTGTGTGTGCAAGGGCATAATGTGTACGTGTGTTTGTGTATGATAAATAATTATGGTGGTAAAGACACACCTGGCAATATGGCGGTAAACACACGCCTGCCCACACACGCCCTCTAGGCTGCAAAGTTCTGGCACAGAGCTCTCCTTCTCACCACCACCACCATCAGTTCGCGCCTGGCGCCTGGTCGATGCATGGCTGGCGGTATCCGGCATAGCAGGCTGGTACATCAAGTAGCGCATGGCACATAGATGATGACACAGCAACGACATAGCTCGATTGCGACGTACGTTTCGTCCCCGCTGGACTCATCAGGCAATCTTCTTCTTGGATGTCTTCATACGGAGCTTGACTCGAGTCAAGCTCCGTATGAAGACATCCAAGAAGAAGATTGCCTGATGAGTCCAGCGGGGACGAAACGTACGTCGCAATCGAGCTATGTCGTTGCTGTGTCATCATCTATGTGCCATGCGCTACTTGATGTACCAGCCTGCTATGCCGGATACCGCCAGCCATGCATCGACCAGGCGCCAGGCGCGAACTGATGGTGGTGGTGGTGAGAAGGAGAGCTCTGTGCCAGAACTTTGCAGCCTAGAGGGCGTGTGTGGGCAGGCGTGTGTTTACCGCCATATTGCCAGGTGTGTCTTTACCACCATAATTATTTATCAACCATAAGTACAGCTGCAGTGGTGTCTTCGACTTCATTCTCTCGTGTGTTTGTGTATGCGTTTGTTTTTCCCAGGATGACTTTGAAACCATATGCCACAACTGTATGACGTACAACGCACCAGATACGGTGTACTACAGAGCCGCTAGTTCTCTACTGAAGGCCGGGGTAAAGGTCATCAATCGTGTAAGTGGCAGTCTGGGAGCAAGGAATTTTGATACATAAATGTGTTTTTTTTTGTCTGGTTACAGTCATACTGCTTTGGTGGTCCGGTGTGATGAGCAACTGGCACGACTCGTGCTCTGTAGCGTTGCTCACAAGTGTTTATGAGCCATGCTCCCGAACCTTTCAGTCAGTGTGTGTGTGTTTGTTTTGTTTGTTTGTAGGACCGCAGTGCTTCTCTCGCTGTACCTGCAGCTGGTGGATGTTTGACAATGCCACCGGGATTGGGAGGTGAGTTGCTATGCCGACTCCAATATGGGAGTGATACACATGTGTTGCACGGTTCAGCGTGTGATTCTGTAAGGCACTTGCGCACTCCCACCCCGTGTGTGCATTTGTATGTATGTGTGTGTATGTGTGTGTGTGTGTGTGTGTGTGTGTGTGTGTGTGTGTGTGTGTGTGTTTGTACACATAGTTATGTGACACAAATGCACACCCTTTCTCTCTACTCTTTGTTTGGTAGATGACATCTCCTCAGCACAACCCTCACCGTTATCACTGCAACTCAGTGGAGAACTTGGTGATACGGTTGCATCTCTATCTCCCGATGCCTTTTCGCCGTCTGCTGGCAAGATCAAAAAGAAACGGTGAGTCAGAATCAAGCACACGTGTACATGATCATGATGGCCTTTGTCCTTCGTGGTCATGACGGCCTTCGTGGTCATGACAGCCTTCGTGCACGGGTGTTTCGCAGTGGCCACTCGTCAAGATGGCGGCAAATCCGAGAGTACAAAAAATTCGACTCTGGCTATGTGCGCGGCGGATGCGAATCTCGCGCGTGCATGCAAAATCTAGCCTTCTGCAGATCTGGGTAGAGCAAACGTGTTGGAACGACGACCTTTTCCGAGAGAGAATGTGGCTCTTTTCACCCCAACATTTTACTCGCCACGCTCTCCCTCCCAGCTTATTGATACGAGTATCTGCTACCGAGTAGAAGTCTCCATCTTCACAGCAGGCCAGGAAAAATCCCAACGTTGAAATACTTTGCTCACTTGGTTTTTTGGTCCTTTGAGGTGTTGATGTGGTTGTTGTGTACAACTCGAAGTGACAAACTTGAGACCCCCGCGCCACAAAAAACTAAGGCGCGCCACAAAGTTTCGTTTGGCTGTTCAATGAAAGGACGTATGGAAGCAGGGATAAAAACTATCGTGGCTGCCGGCAAAACTCCTAGTAATGCAATAAGCGGGGATGTGACTTTGGTAATTCCAAGGAGAATGTACGCACGGCCATTCCACAACGAAGACGAAACTACGAGCTCAAAAACACTCCGATTTTCAAACAAACGACGCAGGAAAGAAGATATGGCCGCAGTGTTCCCGTGTGGCCTTCAAAACACCTAATTTTACTCCGATAGCGGCTGGTTCAGGGCAAATTCAGGCCCAATTCGACAGCGTCGTACCGCTCAGATTCGCCCAAAACATGAGGAAATGTACGGTAGATCCGAATGCGTACGCATTTTGCGTACGGGGACGACTGGCCAGAGTTCATGCACTGCAAACACCCGTGCGTGGTCATGATGGCCTTCGTGGTCATGATGGCCTTCGTGGTCATGACGGCCTTCGTGGTCATGATGACCTTCGTTGTCCTCGCGGTGTGTTTTGGGTCGTTACCTTGTATGAAGACCCGGTTGCCAGCTGGAAAAACGTCATTAATTAATTTTAGTGATAGCAGCCTGGCATTGTGCTAGATGGCAAGGTACTACTGGTCCTGCTTCATGATGCCGGCCACCTTGTAAAGACGGTCGGTTCCGGCAGCGTCTAATTGGTCATGCGAATCCACCGACACAGTACAGAGCACATATTTGATTACGGATGTGTTTTCACACTTTAAAAGGCCACACTGTTTTTTTCTATGTTTCGCGTCACCTTATTCGGTGAAATCAATGAGGGAGGGCGAAAAAAATAAAAAAAAGCCATCCAAAAAAACAGCGTACGTGCGTTGCATTTGTGTACAGTAAAGACCCGGCACTGTTCATGTACTTGTACATGTATATTAATTCACACATGCATACATGAATACATGAGTGTAATTTCAATGCAATGAATATCGCAAAGTAAGTTTATTCCCGTAGCTATGCAGAAGACGTTACTTCAGTAACGTTTGGCCCTAGCCAGGGTCCACACAGCTTTAATTTGGTGTTTGTGTGTTTGTTTGTGTCACGCCTGGCGCTATCCGTATCTGACGGCAAAAAAAGCATAGGATGTTATAAATTCTTCAAATTCTCCTTTTTTTTCAGGCATACCCTGGGATTCGAACCCGCACTATCGCCCTACATGCATTCCCCCATACACTTCGCATTCATACCCATTCTTCCAAGTTGCTTTACGTTATTATCTTGCGTTTGAAAGCCCTATTTGAATATTGCGGGCAGCTGTATGTGGCCAGCTGTGTTTGATGGTACGGTACGGTACGGGAGACGGTGTCGTATTACCCTCGATCGTACCTGTCCCGTACCTATCCCCTACCGTACCGTGCCATCAAAGACGGCTGGCCACATACAGGTGCCCGCAATATTCAAATAGGGCTTTCAAACGCAAGATAATAACATAAAGCAACTTGGAAGAATGGGTATGAATGCGAAGTGTATGGGGGGATGCATGCAGGGCGCGCGATAGTGCGGGTTCGAATCCCGAAAAAAAAGGAATTTTTTAAAGAATTTATAACATCCCTATGCTCTTTTTTTGTCTAGGTCATCAAGGCAAAAAAGCATAGCGTAGGGCCCTGAGCTTCCAAGCTTCCAAGCTCTCTCGTTGCACAATGCAATCTCTACTGATTGGTAACAACTGACCAAACTGTGTCAGCATTATCATCTGGATGGGAAGCCACGTCTCTGCCATGCTTGCGGTCCAAACACAGGCGGGCATGATGATTGCGCGCCTTGCGGCCCAGCTTAGGCTTTCCCCAAATCGACCGGCCGGAAAATTCGCCGAAAACGAGACATATCGAAAAATCGCTAAGCTTTTCGCCGATTTTGGAGGCTTCCTTTGAGAATCGCCGAAAATCTACCAAATATTGTTGCAATGTGAGTTTGCAATGTGAGTTTAGGAACGAATGATGTTGCTACAAGCATGACCGCTCAAGCTCTCTACTTCAGTACATGTAGTACTAGTGCATCGAGGTCGTGTGACTCGTGTCCTTTGACCTCCTCTCAAACGAACATTAGCCATTAGGAAGATCGTTACTAGTAAAATCCCCAAATCGGCCGGCCAAAAACGAGACATCAAAAAATCATTAAGCTTTTCGCCGATTTTGGAGAGTTCCTTTGGGAATCGCCGAAAATCTACCAAACTTCCAATATCTCACCAATTTTGAAGCCAATATGCCAACAATTCTTTTAGCCGATTTTCCAATACACCGTATATACTCTATTATAAGCACAGGTCTCCATTACTAGCACAGTCTCTAATACTAGCACACTGTGAGCCCCTTTCGAAACATTATAAGCACAGTCTCTATTATTAGCACGGTCCTGGTGGAAATCAATGCTGCATGCCTGATATCTAGCATGTATTTCTTCTTGCTCTGTATGGATGTATTGGTTGAAAAAATATAAGCACGGTCTCCAATATAAGCGCGGTCTCCAATATAAGCACGGGGTAGAGGGGAGTTGAAAAAATAGAAGCACGGCGCTTATAATAGAGAATATACGGTATTCCAATTTTGCAGCCGATTTTTGAGCAATCAGCTGATTTTGCAGCCGAATCTGATGTATTTTGAGCTTAGCGAAAAGCCGAATAGGCGAAAACCGGGCCGATTTGGGGAAAGCCTAACAGGTACTAGGTTCATGTATGTACATGTACATGTATGTGAGCTGAGTACAATTAGGCTTCCGCGGAATGTGCCGGCATAATTTCGGGAATTATCAGTGTGATTTTTAAGGTGGCTCGTACCTAAATCAAAAACTAGTCCTTTGAGCATCATTCTGCGCAGGTTTAGAGTAGAAATATTATGAAATATTATTACTTTTTGCCCCTCGTGGGTTCGAACCTCTAGGCACCGGGCAAATATGCTCGAAAAATCACCCATCATGCTTTCTCGCAATTCTTTCAAACAAGCCGATAATGCCTGAAACCATGCCGATAATTCCCAGAAATTCTCACAAAATTTTCGCTTGAAATGCAGGTCTTTCTTCGTATCCAACACAAAAGAGATGCATTCTCAAACATAAAGGAAACAAAAAATCATAACTCAGAGTATACTACATATTACAGAGTAGCAGAATAGATAATAGAGGTGCACTCATCGCATTCCACGACCATCAGAACCACGTGTTAATTTAGCAACACATACAGTGTATTGGTATATTCAATGTCATTCAGAACTCAAGAGTCAGAACAACACACTACATTACATGATTGTACAACGTTGCTACAATATTGCTACATTGATCCAAGATTACACAAACGAAAGGACAGAGAAAGGAAACTGCCTTACAGCTTACATGCAGTAGGTGCAGAGTAGGTTTCATCAGCTAACAATGCCAAGTGTCACACAGAAAGGAACACCCAAAAGCTTTCGATACAATCATGTACTATGAGGATCACAAATTCACAATAATTCACAATAATTATAATACTGCCGAACGAATTCCATTCAGCTAAGCTTCTTTGTTGAACTGCAGCATGAGAGATGCTTCGACGTAGTCCTGCAGTGTATCATCCTGCTGCTCATTGAAAGAGCGCTGCAGGATGGAGAACACTCGCTCCGATGCAGCAGATGATGGCTGCAGTAAAGCGATCTTCTTGGCAGCCGAACACCAGTTGGGGAGATCATTGCCATTCAAGCTCCACCACTCCATGACAGGAAACCCAGGGGCTGTGCCTTCAGCCCTGGCCAAGTACTGCGGTAACTCCTCCACCAGCTGGTTCAGAGCATTTGCTTCCAGGAAAGGCAGGTGTGCGATGGTGTCCCTTGCATCTGCTGCAGTGGGCTGAATGAGGTTGATTCTGGCAGGATGGAAAAGACAGGCTGCTTTGAAAACCTTCATGCTGTTGCTGAGGCTTCCTGCAAGCTGGCGCTCAAAATAGTCGAGGCCCGGTTGGCAGCAGGTCTTGGCATATGTTACCCATTGTTGAGCTGCTGGATGTTCTGCAGGCTGACCTGAGAGGCGCCTCCACATTGGGGTAGTGCTGCGCTGCCATGGAGGCCTGGATTTTCAGAACCTCCTCATATGCTGTAAAGGAAAGGTCACCATCACCTTCCAGCGTGTAGCAGCCCTTCACAAACTGCTCGCCACAGTCCACTACAGCAGCAATCTCAATCTGCAACATAGCAGATGACTGGTTGTTGCGGAGTGTGGCCAAAAGCTGTGATCTTGTTGCTGCTCCAACATCTTCGTTTTCGGTGAGGAATGTGGCGATGTCCTTGAAATAAGTCATCATGTGTTTCATCACCTCCCATTTAGACCACCAGCGGGTGGTGCACTGGAGGTCTTGAACCACATGTAACTGTCAGGCAGTGACTGGACCTTCACATGCATCTCTGCAGGCGCTCACTGAGCTTATGTGGACAACGGAACGAGACTTGACAGCTGTTGTACCATACTATTTATTTCTTGCGATAGTGGCACAGCCTGCTCTCTTGCTTATGCAGTATCTGGCCGAGTGGTAATAAGGAGGTTAGAAAATGAACCGACTCCGGTGCACACCTGGATGTGTTATCAACAAAGACAAAAAGCTAAACTTACTGCAACAAACCATGCAAGAAAAGAACAAAGGGCTAAAGCTTCCGCCTCGAGGGAAGAAGGCAAGAGAGCGCCAAAAAGCCAAGCTTCCGCCGCAAGGGTGGAAGGCAAGAGTCAGAAAAGCCCAAAGACAAAGAAACTAAGAAAACTGCTAGAATAATTGAAGGGCACGCGTAGAGACGAGTAGTACGTGCAGGGGTTCATGGGGGCTACTAATGGTGCTCATGAGTGCTGTAAATGGTGCAAGGGTGCAGCAGGAACGCGTATATAGGACATGTGAGGTAACAGAACACAGTAGATGAAGCAGTGTACATGTAAGGCATGGATATTACACTTATTCCAAGTTTTCCAGCAATATACCGAGCCGAGAACCCTTCTCCAGACAGCTTCTCAATAACATCTCTCATTTCCTGACACAGCTGAGCCTTCTTCCTCGATGCCGCTGCTCAATCTCCAGAAATCAAAGAGTATGCTCTCAAACCTGTTCAAAAAGCCGCCACGTGTTCTTGGTTTGATTTCTCACCATGAACAACATTCATGAAATTCATGACGGTATGGTATGGTGCGCTGGTTTCGTACACTGGAAAAAAAAGTACTGCTGTTTTGGGACGAAATTTTGTACAGACACAGTGCATATGCAGTTGTTTTTTTGTTTTTTATTTCAAGTGCACGTGACCAGAGCACCAAACGAACCCTTCTGTTTGCTTGATTTTCGCAAGATCGGGTGTCAATGATTGCACCGAATCATAAAAGTCATGAGGTGTACGTAGACTGTTGGCCACCAATGTAAAACGATATTGTTGGCACACCGCAGTTCAACCGTGTTGTGTGGTGCTCTCTGTACACTCGGGTACTTCTTTGAAGTGTCATCTTGGTCAAGCCAAATTCCTGCTTTGTGCTTTGAGTCCTCGTCATGATGTGATAATATTTGCAATCCTGCCTTGCAATGCATCTATGGGAGGCCTCAGTAGAGTGCCTTTCAGGTGTACAGTCTGTGTTTTCTCATGATTGCATGATGAAAACGGAAATGATAAATCTGGAAGCGTCTACAACAACACTCGTGATCCGATTTTATGAATATGTAGCAGCCAGCTCCCTTGTATAGGGGACTGGCAGTCTGGCACAGCCTAGTGTTTTTCAGGTCTAGTGGCTACACAGCACCCGGTACTACAGTTGACTTATAGGCTATTCATACTGCGTTACAATACGCGTCACGTTTGGGAATACGACATACTGGCAGACAGGCACGTATACGTTTTTCGTACAGCTGTGCGCACAGCTTCTTTTGGACACAAACTGCCGGGAACGACAGAACGAACTTCGGCACAGGGGTCTGGGTACGTCGTGTACGTTTTCGTATCAGGGGTACGATTTTCCCGCCACGTTCCATGTTGTCATGGCTATCCGGACGAAAACGGCACGTACGCCACGTTTTGGGCATAGTGTGAATGGCCCATTACGCGCTGATCGGATTTTAATGAGCAGCACTGTGCATGTACATGTGCATTTGGAGGAGCCTTGGCAAATTTACCCTTGTTCTTGTTCTTGTTGCTGCTGCTGCTGTTGTTGTTGTTTGTTTTTTGAATTTGAATTCTTTGTTGTTGCTGTTGCTGTTGCTGCTGCTGCTGCTGCTGCTGCTGCTGCTGCTGCTGTTGCTGCTGCTGTTGTTGTTGTTGTTGTTGTTGTTGTTGTTGTTGTTGTTGTTGTTGTTGTTGTTGTTGTTGTTGTTGTTGTTGTTGTTGTTGTTGTTGTTGTCAGTCCTAGTGCTATTAGCGCAGCACAGCAACATCAGAAGCAGATGGTGGCTGACATTACACGCCAGGCGCAGGAAGAAGCAGCTAAGGCAGCTGAGAGAGTGAAAAGACATAAGGTATGCTATTGTTGTGCGAGTGCAGACTCTGTACAAGCTATAAATCTCGTCAACTCATATGCCCAAACAGCTATCATGTATGACATTGCGCACTCTAGTTTCTGTATCCTTTGGAAATACACATTGCCCACTGAGCATGCCAATACTGTCCCCAATCTTAGTTGGAATACACTATAGTCAGACCTCGCCTAATGTACTAGTACATTGTTCTACTGTGCCCTGACTCCTCACTTCACCCTACATACATTACATGTGCAAGAGTAGCATCTTGTTGTTGTGCATATATGCAGTACAATCTAGTGCATGATAATTGATATGCCTTCACCCTGGATAATCAAGTCGATTTTTCAACAACCAAAATATCCCATTCACGCACACACTACAGCATCAAAGTTCAGTGTGTCTGTGGTGCTTGCCAATGTGGTTGCTATTGATGTTACTTGCTGGTCTTTAAAATGCTGATGCTGATGCTGATGGTCTTTATGCTGCTGTTGTTGCTCCTGCTGGTGCTGCTGGCCTGGTCTGATCATCCTCGTCACTGTGCACAGTTTGGATTCCTGGAGAAGACGGAATCAGGCGAAACACAGATGCGCTTTCTCAATGCGTCAGAATCAGGTACTAAAGTGGTCCATTTTGGCTTAAATTAGTCACTGTTATGTCAGTCGCTGCTATTCCAATTCACATGTCTGTATCGTTATATCAACCACCATCATCATCATCATTGGTATTGTAATGAGTGTGATTTTAGAAGCATACACACAGTTAAACTTCACTTCTCAACTCCAAAAAAGCAGCCTCTTCACTGCGATTCAAACCAAAATTAAAATTAACATTACACCAAATTTTTGGGCCTGGCCCATCATCAGAGTAATGAAAATACACACAGTGCCATATTAATCCTCAAAAGCTCTGCCCAGTTCCTGGTTACATTTTGAATCTGGATAGCATTGCCCTCTGTCGTATCCTTTGCCTGGCTGATTTCTCCACCGACTTTTCTTGCTCGTATGTAAAAAAAAAAAAAAGGTTATATTTGGCTGGCTCGGCTCTTGCTACTGGCAATGTCCCACCATCTGTGTTAATGTGGATATGTGTGTGGCTGTGCGTGCGTGTGTGTGCACGTGTGTGTATGTGTACGTGTATTGTGCTTTTTAGAAAAGAGCACCAAGAAACTGGTTGACATCGCTCCACCGCCGCCAAAGGAGACGCCGCCTCTCAAACCGGGTGAAAGGCGGAAACCATCAGCTGGTCAGTACTTGAAGCAGTTCTCGGCATGACAGCTGGGGAAAAAGATATGAACGTAACTGACATGTTCCATCCTTTGTTGCCATTGCTGCTGTCATACTGTGTTTGATAAATATGGTGGTAAAGACACACCTGGTAATATGGCGGTAAACACACGCCTGCCCACACACGCTCTCCAGGCTGCAAAGTTCTGGCACAGAGCTCTCCTTCTCACCACCACCACCACCACCAGTTCGCGCATATTGCCAGGTGTGTCTTTACCACCATTTTTATCAACCATAAGTACAGCTGCAGTGGTGTCTTCAACTTCATTCATACTGTGTTTCCTCCAAAATATGAGTCACGCCATTTTAATGATAGAATGACCGAAAGAAGGGAGTGCGACTTACAATCGAGTGTGACGTCCAACTTATTTGAGTATATTGAAACAATATGGCTGAAATCTGAAAAGACTTATACCGTAATTAGGGAAATATGATAGTCCCTACAGTGCTTTCGGTCGCCGAAGAACTGGGGGTCAGCCTCCTAGCCTAGACGGTTGTTATTTTATGTATTGCAGTCTATGCACAGTTGAGTGACCGTGTATACATTGGTATACTGTGCTTGGTGAAATTCTAGGCTGGCCGTTCTTTGGCGCCCAACAGTACTGTAGTGTAGAGCATCCGTGGCGGTGCACCCCGGTGCTCCCCAATACCCTATTATATCAAGAGTACATAACCCCCCAGAGTGTGCAACGCCGATCCAGTTCTGCATAGGGTCTTGGTCGAGCGGAATCGGATCTTCTGATGTCATGCGTACACTCCACACCAGCGCAAGGCCGGTCTTGAGGCAGGGCACCGTTGTTTTTGATCCGGGTTCCCCTCAGATGTGTACGGTATTATGACGCAAAGATCCGATTACGCTCAACCAAGACCCTATGCAGAGCTGGATCAGGCGTTGCACACTCTGGGGGGTTATGTACTCTTGTCTATACCTGTAGTGATCATGCTACAGTACGATGCAATGCTCCTTACACTTGTCCTCTTATTATTGGTGTATGTGCTTAGTTTCTGCAATGATCAACGGTCCGTACAGTGCCTTTGCACCTGTGTACGATTCAACCTTCTCCATGCTCAGTCCAGAAGAGTCTGAGCTGCTCTACTCATCCTACGGCAATCAACCTTGCTTCCACTATGCTCAGAGGTGGGATTAGCCAGGGTCCCTGTTTTATTACGTGTGACTGTGTAACACGTGTGTTTGTGTATCTGTGCGTGTGTGTGTGTGTGTGTTTGTGTGTGTGTGTGCGTATATATGTGTGTGTATACACCGATGATCAAATTAACGGTGATAAATACTAAATAGGATAAATGTCTGTATTTTGTGGCAAAAATGGGGGTGAGGCTTTTACTCCAGTGCGGCTTATACTTCGGAAAATACGGTAATCACAAACAACATTTGACTGTCTAATGGCATTCTTATGGTGGCACATTGTACTGGTATCTCCTGCTGCCGCAGTCCTAATAGTGTTCATCTCTGTGCTTGCTATGTTCTTATGTGTCTTGTGTGTCACTGTACTAGCTTGCGATCATTTGTGAGAGATGTAGGGCCAAGCTATGGATTGGGCATGGTTGATCTCTTTCTGAATCAGCTCACCGATAGTGGGCATGACAAGTGTTTGCCTATTGTCAAACGGGTAAGTCATGTACTTGTACTTGTGCATGACTACTGGGCTGGTCTCTCTGCCGATGCTGCCAGCTGGTGCTGCTAGTGCTGTTGTTATCGTCACTAGTGCCTTTGTTGCAGGTGGTAGCATGCTGTTTGGTCCAATGGCTAAGAGAGAAAGAGAGGAGAGGAGAGATAGTTGACTAGTTACATGTGTTGTGGATGTGTACGCGGGGAGAGCATGTCGTGCAGTTTGTGCTGCCAGCTTGCATGTACATTGTAGTGCACTGTACATGCATGCACATGCATATTTGTTAGTGACTGCAATTGCCTTCTCACAGTTTGTTGCATTTTATTGCTTGGTGTGTGTGTGTGTGTGTATGCGTTTCCTACCTGCAGCTAACTGCTGAGCGTGACAAGAAAATGAACAAAGTAAGTGGATCTAAATCAGGGAGTAGTAAAATACAGGGAGGTGACACGAGCATGTACGGCCAGTTTGACGATTGCCTCAGCACCGTTTTCACCCGCCGGGTGAGATTGGGGTACTATGGGTACCGAAGTGTGTAGACACGCGCGCGGATCAGGATTCTCTCGATCAGGGAGTAGTAAAATACCTACCGCCAAAGAGACTCCTACTGCAGCCCGTAGAAACTCAGCGCTGAGAATTTCCAACAATAGTCTGCCTTCACAAAGTTTGGTAGTCGACCAAACTACCACTATGTCAGGATAGAAGTCCAGCAAGACTGGTATCACTTTGGGAGATATCCCTGCGTGCCGTAGATTTTTCCTGTGTCGATACAAGCTGTTTACGAGGACGTAGCCCGCATTTCAATCCTTGACAAACTTAGGAACATTTCATTCCGAAAAGTGAACTCCCGAATCTCTAGCATACCATAATATGAAATGCTCATCATCACAAAGAAGGTAGAGAAGTACTGGTTGATCACAACTGAGGAGAAATTAGTGCCGATCGTGTGGTGTCCTAGAGATTTTTTCGACTTCGAAATCGGTGCACTCGCTTTTCATCTCCAATCGTACACGTATTGTTCCCAAGGAAATCAACTTCGTTCTATTGCTCCATGCCGTCGATCGGGACGAATTTCGGAAGGGTGGTACCTTTCCATATGGCGATGACACAGATGTATCACAAGAGCAAAACAAATGCTGTTCCATGAGATGGATAGACCTTTTCATGGAATTAGTTCTTCGACAAATACTCAAGATTGATTCAGCAGATCATCTTTTTTTGCGAAAGAAAAAAAAACAAGCGCGAGGCACCCATCAAAAATCACGATTAGTGGCGTGTCACCTCCCTGTATTTTACTACTCCCTGATCTAAATGAGATAAAAACCGTCAATGTAGTTTGACTGTGAGTGTACTGTACAACCCCACCAGTGCCAGCACCTCTACCACCCTTGTCCTGTCTCTCCTCCTGTAGCACTTCTACATGCACATGTGTATGCTAGCAAGGAAATCCAGTGGACATGACACTCACTCACTCACTCGCTCACTTGCTTACTCGTTCGCTCACTCACTCACCCTCACTCACTCGCTCATTCACTCACATACCCACTTACTCACTTGCTCGCTCACTCGCTCCATATGATGTGTGACTGGAAGTGTCTTTGTACCTGTAGTACATGTAGCACTATTGCTCGTGTATTTTCTCAATCTGTTGTCCCGCCCACCCTTGCCATGACTCTTAATGCTGCCCGTTCCACCAAGGCATGACTTGTGTTGCTCAGTCATCTTAGTTAGGGACTGTCACGAAAATGTTATGTCGTCCCTGAAATGCTCGCAGTTCATGCTGCATCCTCCTCCATCCTCCTCCATCCCAAATGAACGAAACATGCCCTGGACGACAATCCTCTTCGGTTTTGTTTTGACTTCACCATGACTGTTTTTACTATGTTGGAGGCACTGTGAAAACCTAAAACTTCCGCCCTCCCACAAGTTTAGTCAAACACCCACCCTCGCACATGAACAACATGGATGAGCATGTTTTGGGATGACACTTTTCTTTTGCCGTGTGATCCTTAACGTGTTGATCTGCACCCGTCTCGCAGTCTGCCTCGGGACTCTCCGTGTTCATCATGCTATCAGCGTACTTACCCGTGTTGAGCCTCGGAATTGCTTGGGGAATATGAATACATTAGGCGTGATAGTTCCATTAGTACAATCATGCCATGCATTTACCTGATCTACTGTTTGTGACTGCAGACGGAGTTGGTGACGTTGACGCAGAAGAAGAAACTTGAAAAGATCAAGGAAAATGCTGCTGCCGCTGCAGCGGTGGCTGCGGCTGCAACTGAAGCCGCCCAGCAGACCTCAAAGTCACCGGAGAAGAAAGCTAAGGACAGTAGCAGCAGCAGCACTACGGTCTCGGATGAAGCAACATCAGAAGTGGCCAGAGGTAGCTCGAGCAGTGCCTCACAGACTGATGCGGTAGGTCATGCGTCAGTTAGCGAACTGCAAGCATCCACAATTCCTTTGTTTAATTTTCACCGGTGAAATCTTGACAGATGACTCCGTTACAGGACCCCGGTCCATGCTGCTCTTGATGAGTTTGTGCGTGTTTTTAATTTAGTTTTCTACTGCTGCCTGTGAGTGTATGATCAGTCATTGACAGTCAATGCTCTCTGGTGGTCGCTTTGTGCATAAGACGTGAAGTCACCATGGCAGCAGCCTCTCATCTCCTGTGTGTGAGTGTATGATGTGTTTGTGTCTATGCGTTGGTTGCTTCAGAAATCCAAGTCAACCAGTGATGGAGATGCAGCGTCTGAAAACACTGTTAACCTGCAGGACATCAAAGACTTGGAAAAGCTTGGCATTGACTTCAGCTTCTTGCAACCGTCTAAGAAAGGTATGCTATGGCTGCACTGTGGAAGCTCAATACGTACTAGTAGATAAGAACTGCGCAGAGACTTGTACGATATCTTGGTGACTGGCTGGGGCTACCTTACTGCATACCGTTTGTCCGATATCTGCGACGAGAAGCATGGCTGGTGACGAGTGTGGTTCACAGGGGTTCCCATGAGCATGTTATGTACACCTGTCTGTATTACAGCATGTTGGGCACTTTGCTGCTTGCCAAGTTGCCTCCAAATGCTGCAGTTGACTTGGGACACCACCAGAGTGTCACAATTTCCCGGCCGAACACAATACAGGGTTCTAGCCAGGTCAATATAGTAGGGGGCGGGCATGGGAAAAAGTTACCCCATGACCCATTTTTTCCATTGTCCAAAATTGTTTTGCCATGCAAAATGTAACATACAGGGTGAACCCCGACTTCACCCCTCACAAATGTGCCTTTATGAACCCTCTAGTAGTGACTATCGACTGTATTTTCATTGAATTGCGTGAAAAAACACAAAAATCGGAAAATGAGTAGGGGGTGGCACTTTTTCAAAGGGGGGTGCGCAAATGGAGTAGGGGGGGGGGGCGCTGGGCCCCCCTACCCCCCCTTTGGCTAGAACCCTGCAATACTTCTTCAGCTCTGCAAGTTCCTCCTCCGGAGCTCGTTTAGAAGTACATTGCTGCACAACTCGGCCAATGGTGTTGTGACATCCGGGCAATAGGAAGAACAAATCCATCATTCTCAACGTCATCGCTCTGACGGGAAAAGATCGGCATCTGGGTCCACCAGATCAGAGAGCGGTGACAACTCGGCGCTTTCCTCGTGTAGGTTCTGGTTGAAAGCGGTGGCCTGAGAATTAGGAGGTCCTCATCGAAGTGAGTCAACATGGACAGCATAAAATCATGCCGCGACTGACTCATTTTCTCCACAATGTAGTCCTTCTCCGACTGCCCAGAGGGCGATGTTGAAGTGAGATACTCCGACATTCTACTAGACTACGTAAATAAGTTCTTGAAAGGCTACTGAAGCAGCTACTTTGTGAAGTAAAAAACACTACAGAAAAAAACTGAAGGAGAAAGGCGTGCGCATGCGCGCATATGGGGCTGTGTGCAAGGCTTTCTTTTTCTTACACTTGTTTTTGACCACATGCCTTTGAATTCTGTGAACCCGTAACTATTGACTGCGGCATATCTCCTATCAATCAGATCAGTAGTATCACAGTGTGCACACTGATCATGAATGCGGAGATGAATGAAGTAGAACTGCTATTTAGAGTTTGTGTTGATGTGTAGCTCGTTTACACCCTACCCTCTCTTCTTTCTGTCTGTTTACGTTTGTTTCCATAGGAGATGCTGATGCAGATGGTGCTGGTCATACTGCTGATGATGCTGACAAGGGCACAAGCAGTGCTGCTGTTAGCACAGACAAGGGCGAAGGCACGGCCGCTAGTACAACAGCCAGTGCAGCGTATGTACCACTGTTTTAATCCTGTGTGTGGGTGTGGGTGTGTGTGGGTGTGTGTGTGTGGGGGGGGGGGGGGGGTGTGTGTGTGTGTATGCATGCATGTGTGTGTTTTGTGTTGTTTGTGTGTGTGTGTGTGTGTGTGTGTGTGCGTGTGTGTGTGCATGTGTGCATGTGTGTGTGTGCGTGTGAGCCTGTGTGTGTGTGTGTGTGTGTGTGTGTGTGTGTGTGTGTGTGTGTGTGTGTGTGTGTATGTGATGCAACGTGTATGTATGTGCGCATGTGTGTGTGGATGTGTGTGTGTGTGTATACGTGTGTATACGTGTGTATACGTGTGTATACGTGTGTGTATGTATGTGTAGGTGAATGTGTGTGCTGGGGTAGGGGGTTGAGAGAGTCAGAGACAGACATAAAGACAAACAGACAGTTTCACTTGAATGGGCATCGCAGCTGTGTGTCAAGATAGCAGAAAGATGGCTCTGAAGCAGAATGCCTTCTGTTGAATGCAATAGTTGTCCTATCAGGTTAGTTTTCAGTGAGTTGCTCCAGGCAATGGCAGGCATCCTATTGCCATCACCCGATGTGAGTTCTTCCAAGTACAGTATACTTTCATGAAGCGTGTCACGTCATGCACTGTACCACATGTCCACAGTCAGTGTATAGCAAGCCTAGGTATCTGCAGCAATGCACACTTTCTTGTCAGTAGACAGTATAATAATATGCACTGTTTGGGGCTTTCCCTGTTTCCCTGTCCAGGTCTGGTGGTGTTGTGCCATCATCACAGCAGCCCACAGCAAGCCCAGCCATTGTGTTGCACAGTCCATCAGCCCAGGCAGAATCCGTGCCTACGCCCAGCAGCACGGATCTTGCACTGCTTAAGAGCTCTCTTGTAGCTGACCTGGATATGGATAGAGCCAGTGCACAGCCATCGGCCGCGGGTTCTCCCGCTGCAGTGGCGTCTCCCTCTCCCGCCCCATCCCGGGACTCGTCCAACGCGGCTTCGTCGGAAGCATCTCCGTCGCCATCCGCTGCATCCACGCCCGGCCTTCCGTCGCTGTCTGCTTTGCTAGAGAGGCAACTTGATGCTGCTGGTGTAGACGTTGGGTCTGGCAGTGAAAGGATTGAAGAAGCAATGGATGTGGGAAATGATGATGTTGATGCTTGTGACCAGCCACCCGCTGCTGCTCATACTGATACTGGCGAAGCTGACAGGAGTTTTCCTGGTAGTGAGGCAGATTCCCAACTCAAGTCCAATGCAGATGACATAACTCAGCTGGTCAGCCTGCAGTCGCAACGTTTAATAGCCGTTGGCGAGCAGCACGCATCTGCTTCAACGTCCAGCAGCACCGCTGTTGCCCCATCGCAGGCGGAGAGTGCTACAGGTATGTGACTGTGTTTCTGCATGTGTTGCCTGTTGGGCAGGTTGATCGTTTTGTAATGCCTGTGTGTGCGTACATGCGTGCGTGTGTGGAGGGGGAAGGAGAAAGCGAGTGTGAGAGAGAGAGAGGGGGAGGGAGGGAGGGAGAGAGAGAGAGTGAGAGAGAGAGTGAGAGAGAGCCAGAAAGGCGATAGCAATAATATCTAGGTACGGGCAGGAGGCTGATGCCCCCGCATGCCATAGTGTGTACCGATACTAATAAGTGTACGAACTATAGCACAAATAAGGAGCGTTGGTACACCCGCATGCCGCAGTGTACCAAACCGTAGTAATAATGTGTATAGACTACAGCACAAAGAGCGGGAGCCAGCTAAGGACGTAACAGGGTATACCAAATAAGGCTGTGTTTACATGAGAAATTTCAACCCGGGTCGAGTTCAGCCCGGGTTGAAAGTCTGTACGATAGACAAAATAGGTGAGCGTTTACATGAAGACAGTTGACCCGGGTTAAATATTGATATGCCGCCAAAAGTCCACTTCTAGAGTCATGTATGGTCACGTGAATACTTTCGCGCGAAATTTGCATGTGCAGTGCTGTTCAAACCTGGCGCAAGACACGCACATTTCTCGCCCCGGGTTGATTTCAACCCTCTCCCCAAGGGGAGGGTTGAAATCAACCCGGGTCAAGCGCAACGCGTCATGTATACGCGCCATTCATTTTGTTTACATGGCAGGTGAAATCTGACGGTTGAAGCGCCTCATGTAAACACAGCCTAAGGAATCGCCAGGCCTTGTGTGAAAACATAAAACAAAGGCAGTTATGAATCCGTTTGTGGGAGATAGATAAATAATTAGACACATAAATAAGGCCATCTAGCCACGTGGATGGATACGACATATCCATCCACGTGGATGGATACGACATATGCTTCAGTCTTTTGGTATTCAATGCCACTTGTTCCTACGAATATTTACTTTGGCCACCTTGTGAATTTTAACATGCTGAACATTACTCAATTGCTGATGTTGATGCTTAGCTAATAGTTATTCTTGGAAGAGTTGAGTACATTGTAAACCATTGAGGACATTCCTGTGCTGTGTGCTTCTTGGTTTTGTATTTTCCCAGCCGCTCACCTTGCTTCAGGGCTGGCACAACTTGCTGCACAGGTAAGTGACACGGCTGAATAGTGACAACGTCCTTGTCTGGTGATGTTGACTTTTGTATTGCTCTTGCACTGTCTTTTAAACACTTGATGGCTAGGCTCAGTGGGCTGATATAAGAAGCACAGTACTGTATGATGTCATGATGTTGAAAGTATGCAGGTAACTGGTCAGTAGGTCTGAAGATTGTGTCGTTATGCGCGAGTCATTGTTAGACCCGAGGTCATTATTCTCTAGGTTGACTGTACATATGGTTGGCACAGCGCTCTTTGGCGCCGGACAGTACTGCATGTCCTGTATGTTGTGCAGGTCATTGAGAGTGGCAGGACGTGGCTGAGCCGCGTCCTCACTGTCAGGCCAACTCCCTTCCAAACTGCAGTCGCACTCTTGTCAGGGTTTTAGTCAGCTTGAAACTGATAAGATGCGGATGGGAAAGTCTGTGCGTAGGTGTGCAAGTCTGCATTGCTCCATACATGCAGGACAGCACACTAATGTGGGCCCATGGGTATTTTTTAGCAATGAACTAGCATGCATGGTGGTTTACTAAAATGTTACTGTGAATCAATTATAATTTCGTATTTAAAGCGAATAATAGTCGTAAACTGAGAAAAAGAACACTTCGTACTGAAGTAGTCATCTAACTTTCGTAAGTGCCATCGATCGGGGGCTACTACGTGTATGCATACAGTACTGTACAAGTGAATGTATTTTAGTAAGCGTTTTAATTTTGTAGGTGGCGGGAGCCTTACGAAATTTACGAAATTAAAATGACTAGGACATAGAATTGATTTACGGTAGTGCCTACATGTCGTAGATGATGACAACAGATACAGTGCACAGACTGGTGCAGCTAGCCTCGCCTACTGCCTTGCTATATTCTTGGTGGAGGGACATGCTATGACCAAGAGTAGGTAAACAAGAGTGTGCAACTTCGGGACGGGTTGGCCCGCGGCGGGATTTTTTGTTGACGTAATCTTTTCGACAACGCACGCGCTTCGAGTCATTTGGAAAGTTTTGCCGCGTGCACTTGGCCGGGCTTTACATTACAAGGTCGGTGCCCAGCACGTGCTCTCACACTGCTCTGCGGCAAAATGCGCGTTTTTCTGAAAAAAGGTGACGTCAACAAAACATTCCGCCGCGGGCGGGGGTATCTGCAGATTGTGCAGAAGAGATCCGGAGTTGCACACTCTTGTTTATCTACTCTTGCTATGACTAGTGTGACAAGAGAGCGTCACCACAATTCAATCATTATGCATGTAAGGCAAGCATGACATGAAAGCCCAGAACAGGATTTGGTGGTTCTCCTGGCCATGCCGGTATGGGTGCTGTCTGATGAACTGATATTTGGATTCTGTATCTTTGATTAAATTATCTTTAGGATGAATGAAAATGAGCTCGGGGATGTTTTCAGATAGTCCTGCTGGTGTTCTATTTGCTGTTCGACTTTGTATGAAAAATATTTTTCAGTCCGTCTTGTCAATTTGAAATGCATTGTACAATTTTGTGTTTTGCTTTCTTTGTGTCTTGCTCTTTCTCTGTCTGTCTGTGTGTGTGTGTGTGTGTCTCTCTCTCTCTCTCTCTCTCTCTCTCTCTCTCTCTCTCTCTCTCTCTCTCTCTCTCTCTCTCTCTCTCTCTCTCTCTCTCTCTCTCTCTCTCTCTCTCTCTCTCTCTCTCTCTCTGTCTCTCTCTCTCTCTCTCTCTCTCTCTCTCTCTCTCTCTCTCTCTCTCTCTGTCTCTCTCTCTCTCTCTCTCTCTCTCTCTCTCTCTCTCTCTCTCTCTCTCTCTCTCTCTGTCTCTCTCTCTCTCTCTCTCTCTCTCTCTCTCTCTCTCTCTCTCTCTCTCTCTCACTCACTCACTCACTCACTCACTCTCTTACAGGCTCCTCCAGCTGCTGTGTTACCAAATCAAACCACCTCCGATGCTTCCATGAACACTACTGGTATGTTGGGGTACTCACATTTCATGTACATGTGTACCCAAACATGAGTACAATCCTACACATGCTGCAGTACTGCCGGCTGCCTTCTGTCACGCTTGGAGGTACTAGTATACCTAAGTTACCGGTATACCGTATATTCTCTATTACAAGCACAGGTCTCCATTACTAGGACAGTCCCTAATACTAGCACACCGTGAGCACCTTTCAAAACATTATAAGCACAGTCTCTATTATTAGCACAGTCTTGGTGGAAATCAATGCTGCATGCATCTAGCATGTATTTCTTCGTGCTCTGTATGGATATATTGGTTGAAAATATAAGCACGGTCTCCAATATAAGCGCGGTCTCCAATACAAGGACGGGGTATTAAAAGGGGTGTTGAAAAAATATAAGCACAGCGCTTATAATAGATACATATACGGTATGTTGTGTTGGTGTAGGCTGACTGGTGCGCGGCATGGGAACCAGTCAGTCCTGCCATGTTTGATTCAAAGCAATACTGTTCATTACTGTGCAGGGTTGATACCAGGCATGAGGAGCACAGATACTGATAGCCAGGAACCGCTTCTAATATACCCTGGGCTATGCCCCTGTTGTCGAAACGGTGCGCCTTTGTTTGTGGCTTGATGCTCTGAGGTATCCAATGCATTCCTTCTCTTCGGCGTTATGTCCACGCACATTAGCGGTGGGAATTGTTTTTGGACTTTGTGCCTAGATCTACTGTGTGAACAGAGGACAAACTCTACTCTGAAGGGAAGTGTGAATAGTTTCAAAAGCGCAATCGGAACAGCTTGTTCAGAAGCACTGTAAATAGCCTTGACTGGACAATAAGCGCTTCTAGAAACTGTGTGCAATGCTACTTATGCTGCTGTTTTACCACAGGTGATGCCGGTTTAGTGGCTACTCCACTTGCATCCTCCACCCTGACTGGGACACAACAAGTCATGCCACTGGAAGGTGTCTCAGTGACCAGTGTGCAAGCTTCAGCCAACGTACCTGCCTCAGCGGCAATTCCCAAGCGGGCCATTCGTGAAGGTGATGACAATGATTCCAGTTCTTCTGATGATTCTAGCAGCAGTAGTAGTAGCAGCAGTAGCAGTAGCAGCAGTGATAGCAGCAGTGATGAGAACTCTGATAATGAGCAGGCAGCGGCAGCCTCGGGTTCTGTGCCAGCGTTGTAACAGGCCAGTCTCGTGGGTCCTTTTGTTGAAATCGGATGAGTGTATGCCCGTATATGGCACCTGCATCACATCGTTGCCTTTACCGGATTTGTATGTGTAGCGTATGGTAGTTCATGCATGGAATTTCGTAGTTGGTTCTACGTGTCTTGATACCAGATTTCGCTTTTTGTAGAGATGAACGATTTTCACATGGTCACAGCAAAATTACGAATCTACACCCAAGATGGCTGGGACAGCGGAGTAGTGATAGGTCGATTTGTCATGTTTAGAAAAATGCTTGCATATTCGCTATTCATGCGTCACTGTGTTTGCTTCACTATTGCCCATTATGCTTTCTATCGGGGAGTAGTATTTTACTAGTCCGTTTCTACTCCCTGCTTTCTATGATATTCTGCAAAGAATTTGTTCGGATGCTTGCTGTGCCCTGTGACATTCGGAACAGGACATTACTGCTGTTCTTCTCTTTGTACCCTGCTAACATCACGCTCCATTTTAGCAATTGCCTTACGTGACTGATAGCATTCATGCATGCACCAGATCTACTGTATTGATTCTGGCTAGCTTTTTTTATTATTTTTATTTTTATTGTTGTTGCAATCTCTACATTGCTGATTTGCAGACGCACATCATGATATCAGCACATCAGCACCACTGTGACATCAGCACCTCGCACCATTGTGACATCAGCACGTCAGCACCTCAGCAGCATGGATACACAAACAACACTCACTCAATCACTGACTGTGTGCTTGCACCGACTGTGCACAGTGAAATCTTCATTAATTTTGAATGCATCTGCCGCATCTAGTCTGAATGTTTTCACTATTCAAAGTGCTTGGCAGAACAGCCCTGTGTCATGTAGGCTGCTATATCACACCATTGATTTGTGTATTTCTGCTGTCGGATGATACTGAATTATCAGATTCTGATCATTGAATAATTGTCCGTGACGGTCAGATAGATGGTTATGGTTCGGGAGCGGGGTTGTTGACCAGCTTTGGAGGGTGGGGGGCCCGGGGGGGGGGGGGGCAATGCGTAACCATAGGAGCCAGCCATTGCATGTATCGTGACAAGTTAGTTGAGTATCACTGTATGCCCTGGCACCTGGTCCTGTAAATCCATTGGCTCTGTTTGTGTACATATCCCCTCTCCAGCTTCCTTGTTCTTTGCACTCCCAGCCCAGCAAATGGCCCTGTACTATACTGGGCAAGATTTCACTTTCCTGATCCACTCTAGCTCTGACGCCTGGGCCCATGCCCAGGGTACGGTCTGGGTGTCCATGGGGATTATCCCCCCCCACTGGGCCCCAGGCGGCCCGTGGCCATGCATGGTCCACAAAAACTTGAAAAAGGGAGTCCCTGGACAGGCTGGATCTGGAGTCGCATAGATGAGATAAGAATAGATAACTGATTCTAACCAGGGAGTCGTAAAATACAAATTTACGACTCCCTGATTCTAACCAGCATGGCAGTAACGTTAAGGAGGCTCCCACCTAAAGAAGTACAAATAAAAGGTCCATGGACACCCTGTTTTTTATGCATAGAATGGTGGAGTGATGTCTCCTCTTCAACTTGGTATAGTTTTTAGGTAGGGTCACCAGGCATATAAGAGGTATTCTGGTGTATTTAGTGAGTGTACAATTTCTTGATTTTCGGCAAAATAATGGTAAAAAAATTTGGTTTTTGACCCAAAGAAGCCTCCTGGAGGGAGGATACTAAGCATTTTTCTTCATCATATGTTTAAGAACCGCATTTGGAGGTATCTTGGCTACACAAGATAGACTGTGTCTTGGTTTTGCCCTTGGCGAGCCACTTTTTCGAAATTACGGGTACCGAAATTTCCATCGGGTGCTGAATTGTGAAATGGTTCAGCCTGCAACATTTTGTCCATGGACATATCGATTTTTGTGGCTTTCTGTGATCCATGAGCCCCAAGGAAACCGATAATGGACAGTTTTGATGGTGTCACCAGGCACTTTAGGCCCCTACGAAACAATATAGGTATCAAAATATGGTATTTTTAGGCCAATTCTCAAAATACCGTAAAAGTCCGTAAATAAGTACGTATTTACTTTCGAATTTAGTGACCACACCCGTACTAACTTTCGGGCGGGTACTGACTTTCGGGCACGAACTAACTTTCGGACCTGACTTGTGTATACATTGATATACGAGTAGTGTACATGTAAGGCAGCGAGGTTTCATAACAACCTCGACCATGAAACTGGCACATGAATAATGTGAAATCAGGCATTCAAAATCAGGCACACTAGACACCCACACGTGTGCGTGCCCACGCACATACATGTACATGTAAACACCCACCCACATGCACTCTCATGCACGCATCATTGTAACACTACTAGTCCATACTGGACCATAGGACTTAGTGTAAATATAAGCATGAAGACCAGCCACTGCACTGGGCATGCATTTGCTGGTTGTCACTTGCGTTGATAGCAGCAGACTCCAGAAAAACACACGCTATGTACAATGTATGTGAAGGGCAATATGCATCTACACACGCTGGCGTGCAGCACATATACCATGTACATGTAGTGTACTGTCATGATCTCTTGGCAATTCTTTTTTGTGTCTCAAATGCGGTTCACAAATGTGCATTCACATGCACCTCCTGTACTGTAAAGCCACTGCCACACTGTCCTTGCGGACACCAGAGAATAGAGCCAAACAGAACCAGCACCGTGAGCCCCCCCCCCCCTTCCACACCTAGCTTTGCACACGCGTGCGCGCGTGCATGCGCACACACATGTGCGCAGACATTTGCATGCACATGCACACAGTGTACTCGTGGGAACATGTGCATAACCCAGATCAACATTGCATGCGAACCCACACATGCGGGCACGAGCACGCGCGCACACACACACACACACACACACACACACACACACACACACGCACACACACATGTGAGCACACATACACACATACACACATGTGCGCACACACACACACTCATACACCTGCCCACCGCTGAAGCGAGGATAGCGAGCAAACTACGTTAGACATAGCAACTTGTGCTCGGATTACACCTTTCAACAGCTTGCACACACATACACACACGCGCGTGCGTGCGTGCACGTACACACGCGCACATACACACACACACATAAATGCATGTACTTGCGCATAGGAAAGGATTCAAAATATTCAGCCATAGACATTATTTACCCAATGCACACCTGAGTGTGCACATCTTAGTTGCGGCATCCCCATTTTTACAAGAGCAGGATTTAGAAGTTCGTCCTTGGTTCAAGACACAAGCTTCTGGCCAGCGCTTTCCTTACACCATCAGTACAGTACAGTGGTTGACACGAACCTCATTCCTACAGGGACAGCAGCCCAAGTTCAGCAGCTCTGAGATACGTTGTCCATTGAGCTCAGGATACTCAAGGATCCACCGAAAGTTTCAAACGGCACTCGTGCGACTGGAGCTGCAAGTGGGTCCACTTACCAGCGAGTGGGCAGCCACTTCATGCTCCACAGGAAGTCCATGCTAAATTCCAGTACCAGTACTAGTATCACTACGTTCGACATCGATGTCTTCACTGACTTCAGCCTGCTTTTCTCACCCTTCTTCGTCAGTAATAATATTTTCTTCTTTGTGGCCACCGCGTACCGCTTCAGCAAAGTTTTCAGAAAAAAATCAAGCAGCGTAGGAACTGCCTTTGTTTTGCATTATCCATGGTCAGTGATTCATTCCAGCGTAGAAACTGCCACGGCTACAGAAACACTGCAACAAGTAGAACTACATCCTGGAACAACTGCGAGCACAGAGAAATCAAAAAACTTCTTTCTGAACAACAGCTTGTTTTCGCGTAGAACGCGATATTTTTTGAATCTCGCGGCAAAAAACAGATTTTGGAGGTGCCCTTTTTACACTGCGCTGCGCAACTGTTCGGAGCCTCCTTAAAGGGGAAGTCCGGTGAAAAATTTAAATTTCACTGTCCGTAGAGTTCGGGTCGCTGAGTCGAATGGTCTTTGTCCGAGGAGGCTGCGGCTTATGGTTCGTCAGATACGCCCAATCGAACATGTGCGAATTTGAGCGCGCATCACCCAGATCTAGGTGATGACGTCACAGCGTGCAGTCAGGTAGCCACACCATCTAGTTGTGTACAAAAATGGCCATATTCGGAGCGCGTTCGATTGGGGAACCGTTTGTCGCAGCTTCTTCGGACCAAGACCATTCGATTCAGTGTTACAAACACTACGTACCCTGTGATTTTCAGCTCGGTAAACCTGGAGGTTATACCGTATTATAGCCGTTTCCGAGTTGGACTTTTCCGTCAGCCTCTAGCTCTACGCGCTCTGCGCTGCGTGCATGCAGTGCGTGCAGTGACAGTGTGTTATCTAGCTGTAGTGCAGTCAACAAACTCATCACAGAGGAACTACTCCCGCACTGCCGTGCTGGGGTAGTATGTACAAGACTCGAGTCACAACTGACACAAGACTCAGAAAACTAGTCAACACACGGACTTGTCATGTACTACACTCGTATCAGTCGTATTGTACAGTCATGTAGTCAGAGAACGTGCGTTTCTCCTTGCCGGTGCCGGTGGTTGTGCTTTGAGAAAGAAAATTTTAGTTTTCCGCACCCGCCTCATTATTTTTATGTTACAGCGATGAGTGCACAACCGGTTAACCGTGACAAGTGACAAAACAGCGAACAGCTCCCGGACCTAGAACTTTCAGATTCCATAGCGTTGCGAGCGAAGAGTCGTGCCCGTGGTTCAAAGAGCCTGCACTGTTCTCCAATTGAGTAGTCCGAAATATTCCAAGTTCGCACCAAAACATCACCATGTGGCAGGCTACTGGAGTCTAAGCGAATCTAATCGGTATGGAACAACATTTAGAGCACTCGCATCACTCTTCTCCATTTTGGCGACCCTGCTCTCCAGCGATCTGATCAGCCTCGTCTGCAATAGCTGCTGCTTCTTCATCAGTCGGAAACTCAGTAGCGCTCACTCTTGACCGGCCCGCGTGGCCATTTCTTCAGCTGAATACCGAGGTTCTCAGCCCCAGACCGAACTCATGAAGGTCAGCCATGGCTGCATCCTCACTCTCACAAGGAGTTACAGGTCTTCGGGGTCGCTTGCACCAAACTATCAGTCGCCAAATCATTTGAAATAGCACTGACACTATTGCTTTCACGCACTCCTTTTGACCTAGCTGCACGCTATGACGTTGCAGAGGGTGTGGCGCGGCCGCATGACGTCATGGCGCAGCCCCCGAAACTCAGTTTTTCAAACGGAAATATCTCGAGAACGCTTTGTCGGAGACACGTGGGACCAACACCATTCGACTCAGCGCCCGAAACTCTACCGACCCTGAAATTTAAATTTTTCACCGGACTTCCCCTTTAACCATTTTTGCAAAGCCCAGCACGAAGTAGATATTTTACTACTGCTACCGCCGGATGCACTGCATCAAGAGTTCATAACCAGCTGATAACCTGGCCGGGGTTATGAACTCTTGACTGTAAGGCCCTCTTCAGACTAGGTACAAAACAGCCTATAAGTCACATTTACATAGAAGTTTCCAGGACAACAACAAGAATCTGGCGGGAAGCCTAAAAAGCTGCCCAATCCTTTCAGGCAGGGTGCCAACCCTTGTACAAGGCAACTTTCCTGCATTTATCGTACTTTCACCAGGCAGTTGTACGAACTTTGTACCCGGGTACGACTGTCCGCTGCTTTCACACATCCCAGGCCCCTTGCGCAATTTCGTAGGGTCAAAGGTTACCTGTATATTGCATGTAAAATGTGTAGTCTGAAAGCAGGCATGGAAAAATGTTGCCTTTTAGGTTTTATGTGATTTTGTACTGGATGTTCTATGTACGTAGTCTGATGAGGGCCTAAGCGCTTGCACAGGGAGTTGTAAGGTACGAGGTGATTCGCAATTTTTGGACATGTCGCAATTTTTGGACAAATCAGTTAAATATGGAAGTAGAGTCCTCCTGAGTCGTTGTCCTTTCCTTGGTGGACAAATCGTTGACAAGAGTGTCTTCGTGTGGTCCTCAAGGTTCTTCGTGCCAATTTTTAGCCGTGAAGGCCGTTTCTTTCTGCGCGTTTTCTTTATTATTCTTAGGTAATGTAATGAGTAATTTTGAAAATTTCGATTAAATAATAAATGATTGAGGATTCCGTTGACTCTACGTCGCATAACGGAGAGAATGTCGACATGGGGGATGTTGTATCCCTTCCATCAACTCCAGGGACTACGTATTCCAGCTCGAATCCGCCTGGAAGAGTCTCCTCGCCTTCTCAACCGGTGCGTTTGTGGAGGGGTTCTGGTCAGGAGAAATCTCTTTTAGCAGTGCGAGCGTTCCACTCACCTGGCACCAGTGAACACTTCCTAACCAAGAAGGACGCAGCGGCTAGTTACGGCGCTAGCCCTCCACTCTTTGCGAAATATGAGAAGGAGATGGGCCACACTGCAGTGCTCTCCTCTGTTCTTGAATATGACGTCCATGAAAACCCTTGAGTGACCCTTTAAATTGTGTGTCATTGAAAAGCCTTGAAAAGCTTGCTATGAACGGCCTGTCATTAGAACTCATATCAGCCGGTCTCATAGGCATAGCCTTACCCCATTTTCATGTCCTGTGCAAGTTTTACTTGTTCACACCATTGCAGACTGCTGCTAGATGCTATTTAATTTAGTTGTCCAATAATTGCTCGCATTGAAAAAGCAGTAGAAAAAGACACCTTCAATCAGGTCAAGCTGTGGCCGCATGCTTCAACTCTATGCCTTCAGGTGTGTGTGGTGGTGGTAAAGCATAAGTGTGCCAGTAGAAAAGCAAGAAAGAAATTTAATTTATCTTACAAACCAACATAATGGGGTGCTATTTAAAGGGGAAGTGCATCGATTTTTCGAGTATGGTCCAGAAGAAAGACAATTTGATATTGGTTCGAATGGCATATCTCTCGTTTCCATACGATAAGCCAAACTTGCCAAATCGCCAATTGTATACTCACGTTGCCATAGCGACCAGCGCAGTGATGACGTACGAAAGGCTTAGCTCCACCACAGACAAGGTCGATCACTGCAGAATTTGGTCATTTTCAATTGGTTTATTGTATTCACGAAGTGAAAGAAGGGCTGTGTTCAATGCTGTAAGTGCAGTGAACTGTTTGTTAGTAGTCCTCTCGGTTGTGTACTGGGACGTGACACCGACAGGAGAAAGCTGGAGCGCGGAGACACCAGCAGACAAGCGAAAATAGTGACGAACAAAATTCTGAAATCTTGGTTGGGACAAATCAGACGTTCAGCATTTCCCCCAACCAAGGACCATGCCGTTTGCTCTTTCCAATTCCTGAAGGTGAACGTGATGCTTCCTGGCGACTCTCCTATCTCTCGTAACATCTTCTGAAGCCAGGTGAGACGACGGGTGGTGGAGATTGACGAATGAAATAATGTCGTAGGTTTGAAAGTTTGCTGAAAATGTCTCAGGAGAGACGGCGAATTCCAAGCATCTTGTCCTGGAGGAAACCATTTCCTAGGCACAGTCAGCCTAGGGAAATGCATGAGAAGGGCGACAAATAGTTCACGGCACTAACAGCATTGAACACAGCACTTCTTTCACATCGTGAATACAATAAGACAATTGAAAATGACCAATTAATATGAAGTGATCGACCTTCTCTGTGGAGGAGCTAAGCCTTTCGTACGTCATCACTCCGCTGGTCGCTATGGCAACGTGAGCATACAATTGGCGATTTGGCAAGTTTGGCTTATCGTATGGAAGCGAGAGATATGCCATTCGAACCGATATCAAATTGTCTTTCTTCTGGACCCTACTCGAAAAATCGATGCACTTCCCCTTTAATTTGAGTGTCCAAAAATAGCAAATGACCTCGTATGTCCATAGGCCCTGGCGCCATGGCATGGCTTGCCCATCCCGCACCCGATCCAGCGTAGTCATGGTATTGGTAGTCTACTCAGCCAGTCTCAGGCTTCTATTCACTGCGGGGGTCAAAGCACCTAGAAACACATGCAGTTTATGTACCTTCGATAGCTCAGTTGGTAGAGCGGGAGACTGTAGTGTGCACAGAGATGTGCAGTCATCTCTAGGTCGCTGGTTCGAATCCGGCTCGAAGGATTTTTTTGTTTTTTTCTTTCTTTGTTTGATCACTTCTTTTGTTGACTCTTTCTTTCACTTGCATTTGAGCTTTTTCGCCTGCGAAGGTTCATAGCTAGATATATATGCTGTGCTAATGCGTGAATACTATTCGTCCCTGCAGAAGATGCTGCGAGATATACCCAAGGTGCATGTACTCTTGGATACTCAGTAGTGTATACTGATTCTGGATTTGCCGTAGTAACTAATTACTGGTAAGTGCTCTGTTTAGTCGAGCCACCATTGTCTACAATACTGTCAATAGGACTGATGGTGAATAGCTGTGGATCTCGTATTCTGAAATGTGAACTACAGTTACACTAGTCGATTGCTCTCTTGCGTGTGGGTGGATATGGTTCGCATTCCCTTTAGGGGCACTTTCGTGAGTTGTGAGTAAATTTGTTTTCCAAGCATGAGCGCTGGAAGAAACGTTCATCAGTTTACCGATTATTACCGAGATTTCCCCTGGGCAAGCTATGTCATAGACGTTTGTGCTAATTGTTAGTCCCTACAGTTACTTGTGTCTGTTCACAATAGTTACCCTTGTTCTCCGCGGAGAGCATGCGCGCGCAGCCTTTCATTGTACGCCGTACATTTTCTGCGGGGTTCATGATGCCCAATACATGAATACGATAATGCGCACACCAAGGTGTACGTGTGTGCACTTGTTTAGAGCACAGTCATGTACATTCTAGGACAAAAGTCGATATTCCTGCCAGGTTTCACTGTGAAAAATAAAACTTCTCTGGCTTTGAGGCCAGAGCAAGCAGAACATGTTCTGACCAGGGAGTCGTAGAATATTTTACGACTCCCTGGTTCTGACCGATCCAGAACACGTGCAGTGTCAGCAGACCCAACCAAACGCACCGTTCAGGCGGAGCCTGTTCCCAAGTTATACTAACCTAATGTGCTCTAAGATTCAATAAGAAGGTGGGCATTGATTGTGCATGTGCCAGTACAGTACAGTCAAGTACAGTGCTTGCACCACCAGCCTTACATAATCATCAGTCAGTGCAGCAGGTGTACGAGGGCAATAATTTACCAGGATTTGTTTGTTTTGTTCTCAAAAAGAGGCCAGGCCAAATCACAGCACACTTTCTCATGAAACGATAAAAATATGATTGCTAAGACCCGCTAGCAGAACAGAATGGCAGAACAGAATAAGCAGAACAGAATGGCAGAGGCACGCCGTTGAGAACGTAAAGGCGGCGCACAGGAGAGCAAGAGGTGCAGAGAAATTTTGGGAAAGTAATACACAACTCTTTATTCGCCAAATAATATTGTCAAAGGTATTTAAACTGTGTAGAAAATAGCTCGGGTTTATATCAATGGCTACAAAGTAGAATGTCAATGCTCATAGATAGTACGTGTGCTGTCAACTTCAAAGCTGTGAACAACAGGACACACAAGAACAGATTGCACGCGTAAGAAACATGTAAATGCCGCACACGGACATGACTTGTGTGGCAAGTCAAAATACGGTGTGACCAACTTGCAGCAGATGCAAGGGGAGCTCACATCTACACCGGCTAACATGCTAGAGTAGAAACAACCCCAGAATGGACTCAACTGTTCTAGAATGCTCTATCAGACTATCACCACAGGCAGAAAAGGAATTGCTAGGCGTACGGACTACATTCGTAGCAAAACATAACAATATTGACCCTGGTGTGATACTACTTGTAGCAATATGAGACTTACCTCAGTGGTTTTGTCAGCATGCTGCCGGGGCTTGCCGGCATCCCCATTCGGTCGTCTAAATACTTTCAATGAATTTATACTGTCCGCCAACCTGTATAGAGACCAACATGGACATTGGGTTAGTAACTAAACTGTCTGTTTTAGAGTGCGCACCAGAGACAAGACAAGGCTGCTGATGCCCATCCTAGGATGGGCAGGTCACCGATCTAGGTAGACTGCAACACAAACCTGCCTAATTATTGTAGAAATAAATACTTTACTAAGAGAGCACGCAAGAAATAATGAGCACACAACAACACAGGCAAAAGGGACGGACTGACAACAATGGCCAACTCCTTACCGTCCTAAAGTGTTGAAGAGTGCTACTATTTCGGTTCTTTGGAGAGCACCACCCAGCCCGCTGGAGTACTGCTCGCCGTTAAACAAGATTTTCATGGCAGTTCCGAGACCTTGAACCTGACACAGAGTGGAATATAGGAAGGAAAATGAATAATAGAACTCCACTCTCTACTGATACTGCGGCAGAACAAGCATAGTAACTTGTATTTGCGTTTCTTTAATAGTTTGTAAAAGAAATGAAACGCACACACACAACACCAGTTCTCTGTATCTTGAACTTGACTGTGGTCTGTGTGCTTTGTTGTGTTCCTCACAGATATACTATCATTGCCACCGAACATGCACACGCGCATGCACACACACACACACGCTAAACCATTGCAAGCACGGAGTTCGACACAGTGCACATCGGCAAGATATCAAGGCAAAGAGGACTACAACTGCAAGGATCACCGAGGTACTAGTGTAGTACGCACCTGCAATTTGCCCCAGAGTCGACACCGTTGACAACCAACACAATCCATGATCAGTGAGATATTCTTGAAGTGAGACTGAACCTCTCGCTGAACACCAGCAACAGCACAAACAACAAGTCAAGACCGAACACAAGATGGAGGCACAGAACAGTCAAGCTTGTTCTCAGGTACAAGGCAGCTCTAGTCATAACCACAACAGCATTTTTCGCACTTAGAGTAAGGAGCATACACATAGAGAGTTTGTTAGATCACTGCTGCTGGGCTGGCTATAGAGAATCATAACACGTGTAGATCTACAATGACGTACAAGTATATGTACCAGGTCTTCATGGAACAGTTGTAGACAACACCATAGGGCTTGAAAGTGATGACGTCAAAAACGGCCAGGGAGTAGTAAGTTGACATCAGATTTCTATTTTGGATCCACTAAGGTGTGACTTTGCTATTGCCTCAGTATGTGGGTGCATAGCAACCCACTCATGTCGTATGCAGGGGTGACTTTTACTTCGCCACCAGTTGTAACCCCGCCCCCAGTAGCCAAATCGGTCAGTTTCACTGGCTACATCACCTTGCTGTGAGTAAGACGGCTTGAAATCCATACAAAAACTGGATCCAAGTGGATCCAGTTTTTGAATTTTTGAAATTGTTGCTATGCTGTGACGTAGCACTTTCAAGCCCTATTGCCTCCTCAACATTACTAGTACTTTCTTACCTTGAGGTGAGGTGCTGATTCGCTAGTGAACATCATCGTCTCATCAAAAGTACTTGGACAGGAGCTAGAGGCACACAGTCAGACAACATGTAACATGCATGCACTGAATAACAAGAGAAGGTGAAAGGTAAGGTAGCCCTCAGTCAACTCTGACCATAGCCACCGTTAGGGCACGAGGTGTTGGAGACCTCCTGCTTCAGTGACGGCGGCAGAGCTTATCTACTCTCCCTCGTCACCTCCCCCACCCCCCTCCCCCTCCCTAACCAAAGACCAGGAGGTTGGGGTTGTGGGTCGATTCCTAGTTTCAGGGAAGATTGTATCCACCCCTAGGAGAATCAGCTGGAGAGGCTAACAAGGGAAAATGAAAAGGTTGCTTCAGCCTTCAGCAATGTAGTTGCATGATGCCTATACCAGTTACATGTACTTGGTCAGTTGTGCCTCTAATTTGCAGTCTACAAATACAACTAACATTCCACTATTTCTCACATTCGAAAATGTCTAAGCATACACGTTTATTGCCTCGCTGAGTAGGTGCTGGTGGTAGTGGTAGCGAATTACATTGTACTACTTATACTTACTGTGTACTCGCCAGAATGCGTGTGACTTGCTCCTTGACGAACCTGTCGACTTTGCCATCACCTGTGTAGAACAGCTCGGAGCGCCACAGGTTCTCCGCCTTGATGACGGCCCTCAGCACCATCAGGAAGGTGAAGTAGAGGTTCTTCAGCCACTGTGGACCTAGGAGCATCATCACACACAGCAACAGTACAAGACGTACAAGTCAACAACAAGAACAAACGCAACAGGTAATAACGTTGAACAGCAGCATCCCAAAATCATTGTCCACAAGTACAACCTACTAGATGTACTATACTCGCCAAAAAATGCGGCCAATGCTGCACATGGTAGTCGACTACCATGTGCAGCATTGGCTACATTTTTTTTAAAAAGTATCAGCAGATAAAAACAAGGTGGAAATGTTTCTTTGAAGTTGACATGCATACGAACAGCACACATACCTTCACCATTCGTTGTGGATGGGTCGAAGCGCTTTGCAAATTCCTCCTGGTTCGGGCCAAATTCTTCTGCCAGGCCTGAAAAGAAAGAAATACCGGTAGTAAGACGCCGATTGTGACTCACTGTACAGAACCCCAGCAAAGGTGATGAGTCATCCAACAAGATGAACACATCTCCAGGTTTACATCTCCACGACGAGAGAGCTTGGAAGCTCAGGGCCCTACGCTATGCTTTTTTTCCTTGATGACCTAGACAAAAAAAGCATAGGGATGTTATATTAATTCTTATAAATTTCGTACGGTCGAGGGTAATACGACACCGTCTACCACCCTGATGACCTAGGCAAAAAAGCATAGGGACGTTATACATTTTTCAATTCTCCTATTTTTTCAGGCATAACCTGGGATTCGAACCCGCACTATCGCCCTACATGCATTCCCCCATACACTTCGCATTCATACTCATTCTTCCAAGTTGCTTCACGTTATGATCTTGCGTTTGAAAGCCCTATTTGAATATTGCGGCCAGCTGTATGTGGCCAGCTGTGTTTGATGGTATGGTACGGGACAGATACGGGATAGCGCCAGGCGTGACACAAACACACAAACAAACAAACAAATACCAAATTAAAGCTGTGTGGACCCTGGCTAGCGCCAGACGTTACTGAAGTAACGTCTTCTGCATAGCTACGGGAATTAAAATTAATATAGCTCACGGCTCGCGTGAGACTCCGTCACACTAGGAACTCCTTGATAAGTACAAGTGTGATAGCGATACGTTGTGATTCTTGTTTTTACACTTGTACTGTAGCACACATGTACATGTAGGTGTTCATGATAATAACCATCCGTGCCACTGCCTTACGTCAGCGACTTACCTAATTGATACTTGGCGCACAGGTGGACGTTGATGCTGGCATGCAAACCAGACACGATGCGATAGTATGCTCTCTTCTCACGACACAGACCTGCACATACACACGCACGCACAGTAGCAGTAGAGCGAGGAGGGCCAGATTTAAAAAATAAGCTACAATGCTTTGGAACACAGTGACATACTTGACAATTTCTTGTGCTCCAGGAATCCCGAAATTCCTGTCGGTTATCACTGAAAATCACTGTACAACATACAAGTCTAGAAACAGTAGAAATCGAAAGACAGTTTCTTCAACTCACTACTCAGCATGCTGGATGGAATGAAGGGCATGGCGGCCGGTGCTGACTTTGGCCTGCACACAAGACACAAAATACACAGTCACACACATAACGTTATAACTGATCTAATCAAGGTGGATGGTACGCAGCTTGACGCCGGGCAGGACTTGGACGTACGGCAGTGCACCACGAGACGGTGCTCTTACCAAGGACAGGGAATTTCAAATACATGTACTGAATGATCAGTGCATGAATCATCAAACTGAAAACAAGAATTAATGGAGGTACTGTAATGATAGCTTGATACGGGACAGTTTCTCTGGGTCATGCACAGGACAGTTTCTCTGGGTCATGCACAGGAGCAGTTTCTCTGGGTCATGCACAGGACACTCAGTGACTGCTACATCAACATGAGCAGGAGCAGTTTCTCTGGGTCATGCACAGGACACTCAGTGACTGCTACATCAACATGAGCAGGAGCAGTTTCTCTGGGTCATGCACGGGACACTCAGTGACTGCTACATCAACATGAGCAGGAGCAGGTCTCAGCCCATCAACTCACCGGAAACAGTTCTCCCGGTAAATAGCGTTCCAGATACGATGCGTGGATTCACCCCTGTAGCCAGTATACCTCTCCGGATTGATGGTCAAGTCGACATACTCTAGGTGTGTGGAGTTCTCCTCTGTGCAAGAAGGCAGCGTGAAAAAGCAAAAGTAAAGCAAAGTGTGAATGACTGTAGGACTACAATGTACCAACGGGTACGCACACACGGATACACACACACACAGTCATGCTGGCCGCACAAAAAGCTGGTAGCAATTGCCAATGAGAGGTTGACAATAATCACTGACATCACATGATTTCATGAAGCTACACTCTCTCCAATCAGAACAAACGTACCATCCAAATGGCAGAACGAGTCGCTTGCGTCGTGTCTCCTCCATTCACTGAACACCCGGCGATTGGTGTCACTGGAGTGGGGAACAATGAGAGCGACATACAGCTGAACAACCCCGATAACAATCAAGGATCAAAGAGCAGATGCAGCTCATGTACACATTCTCATTTCTGGTTTTCATGCCAGGAAAAAATAGACCTTCCTGGATCATGAGTTTGACATGTTCCCAGCATGATAGTTACAGTAATATACCGGTATTGGTCCCAAGTTGCCATTATGGCAAGCATCCAAAGTAAACAATAAATCACTATTACCTTATTGTGCCGTCAACACTGCTCAGCTCTTGTTCCCTTGAGCAGGATGGCTGCAGCAGTGAGCAATCACACAGCCATACACACACATAAACACACATACCATGTACCATGTATACGCTCGTCGCAAGAGAAGCATGCAAATCTGCAAATGCACTGGATGTACACCTACAGATTTTCTCTTACCGGCACCGTATAGCAACGATAGCGGACAAGATCCGAATGAAACATGTCAGATCAAGACTAGCGCCAGAAACACACACGCACACACACACACACACTGTATATGTAGCTATACTGTACATGTACAAGTACATCCTTACAACACCATTTACTTTTCCGGCAAATCGAGCGCCATCAATACTCTGCGCCTTGATCCCCGTCGGGACATCTTTCTGGAAAACAAACACAACAAAAGTGACATCAGTGTAATAGGGTTTTTAACAAGATCCGTTGCGTTCTACAAGAGGAAACCAGAACGGCCCTAGGAGTACATACATATCTTTCACCTTCACTATTCTGCAGTATGCTGCTCCTTACGCTTGCTTGTCAATAATCATCGGTATTAACATACCAATTTCTAAACAAGCGTAAGCCCCAACGTACTCCATGCTAGTCAAGTAGAGCCATTTGGTAAAACAAAAACGGCTCTTCTAGAATGATGTGGATTGCATCGGTGCTTACACTTCTTTCAAAATTGGATATTCTTCCAATTTGTTCTTAAAAACAAACATACCAATGCTAAACACACGGTGAAGAGACAATAATTTGATAACCGCAATCAATAAAACTAGCTGAACCGACATTTGTGTACTTTATTCATGCAATGTAAAAACGGTGGAGACGATGTGCAATAAAACGATGAAACTATGAAGAAATGGTGTAGGGAAAAAATATGGATTCAAACAAGTTTTCGTACAACACTCATCAGGAATCGTCGTTGTACTAAAGTACTAAAGTTCAATGGACCCGGTCAGGCGGGATGGACGAGACAGAGAGAGTACAGAGGAAGCGGAGGATGGAACGGACGGCGGAGGGAGCAGTGAGTCGGAGAGCAGTGATGGGAGTGATGGTGAGAATGCCGGTGAGAGTGTTAGTGTTGTGCGTAGGTTTCGTGGTAGCAAGTCTTCAGTGTACAATCATTTGCTAGCTAGTCCTGATTGTTGCAATTCGTATTCCGACTCTTCGTTCACTGTATTGTGCCGTGGTCGTCATGGTTATGGACTACAGTTAAAAGTGTTGGAAGCTATCTATCAGCGTCTGTACAAGCCTAATTTGTGTGTACAGAAAGATAGTATAATTGGGTTGAAATTGTTCAAGTAACGTGTCGTGTTTAGTGCGGCCCAGCTTGGCCGTTAATGTTCTAGGTGTAATGTACTGCTGTTATGTGTTATCACGTTGTCTTTCCTTCCTTTCTCCTTTGTTCATTTCTCGCTTTGATTGTTAAAATTCACACTTGTAAATTTCACTGTTGTTGCTCATAGTGTTATTTCTCTAACTTAGATTTTCTATAATAGTTCAATTTTTGTTTCAGTGTCCTTTAGTACAACGACGATTCCTGATGAGTGTTGTACGAAAACTTGTTTGAATCCATATTTTTTCCCTACACCATTTCTTCATAGTTTCATCGTTTTATTGCACATCGTCTCCACCGTTTTTACATTGCATGAATAAAGTACACAAATGTCGGTTCAGCTAGTTTTATTGATTGCGGTTATACCAATGCTAGTAGATATATCTCTTGTCCTCAACACCTACAACTCACCTCATCACAGGGTGATACAGAACAACCCTTCAACACACAGCCGCCATTCTCCGTCCAGAATGGACAAGGACGGTCCAAAGCAATCTGAACATAACAACAGAAAGTGCGGAGAAGAAAAGATTTCAGTTCAACGCTTTCTTACCAACGTTACAGGTTTACGAACTTAGAAGTAGCACCTGGGCGGTAAGAATTGACGATGTTGGTTGCTCCTACTTAGAGCTCACGCTTCCCGCCGGATTAACTGACATTTGACTGACTTACGCCCGCCATCCAGAGCACATGAGGAGTATTGTTGAACCCTCCACGTGTACATTGAGCAGCATTGCATATGCACCAGCAGACCTCATTGTGTAAGACGTCATTATGATCACACACAAACCACCATTACAGGCCAATGCATTGCCAGCACGGCATGTGCAACATACCCGGAAGAAGCGGAAGTACGGCGAAAGAAGCAACTTCTGCAGTTGCGGGTGCAGCTTGTCAACAAGCTCCTCTACAGCTTCTACATCACAGCAACATTCATCTACCTTCCCGTTGAGCTGTACAAGTACCACGGGAGGCACAGAGCACAGAACAGAACAGAAAACAAACAAATGAGATCCCACACCATGTACACCACACAGCCTAAGTAAGTATGGTCACGACTGGAGCCCAGAATGAGGGATACATGTGCTGCACTTGTGCACTTAGTGTCCCTGAGGCACTATATTTCAAAGTCCATCACAGGCGAGGGCATTATTTTTCAATGCTGGTACAAGTATAATTACGTCACCCAGCCTAAAACAAAGACAGCCAAAAAAGAACAGAGTCTAAACTATCAATAGCTGTGGAGCGTAAGTACTGCTGAAATAGAAGAGACGCATAACTCCTAAGAAACTGCCGCAAGAACTGCGATGGTGGTCGTGAAACCAGCAGTGCAATGACACAGACAAGACAACAATACTAAACTTGCACATGCCCTTGATTACAAGCTCGGAGCACTATTCAAGACTGGGACGCTATTCGAGACAGGACTCTAATCGCGCGAGTACAGTGTGTGTCTTACAAACTTACACATCACTCATTCTGGGTTCCACCTATGGCCACACTTAGGTGATAGAAACAGTGCAACAAAGAGTAGCCAGAATATTAGCTGCTGGGCAGGTCATCAACAACTAATTAACTTGTCCATTGGTTGTCTATTGTTGGCGCAATATGTCACACGCTTGTTAGATGTCACATTTGCACCTTTTCCTCATTCCGTCGAATATAGGTACGAGGTCAAACTCTACAAACCTCCTTTTGTGTGTACAGTAGAGTCGCGCGCCCAAGAACGTTGTTTCCAAGGGGTTTGCCTGGGACGTTCTTATTTTTCATGAAATCTGGTTACGTTCTTATTAAGTTATAGCACGTTCTTAGAAACAATCCGTACTGGATCATATGTATCCCACAAGATGCCAGAAAACCAACACCGCCGTTCTTAGCTTTAGGCTGTTGCGTTCTTAGAATTTCAGGCTGGACGTTCTTGGGCTCCACGTTCTTCAGCGCGCGACTCTACTGTATGTCTGAGGTCACGCATTTTACCGTGTTGTTTCTGGATACTCCTCCTTGCACGGTTTTTATCACACCTCTGCTGGATAAAATCCACTGTGCTTATTCAGTTTCTTTTTGCCTGTATTCACCCTGATGAGAAAGCCTCGAAAGTACTTGTGGATAATTTCGAAAATTTTACTCGTAAGAAGTCTGAAGCTTGATAGCATTTGGAGGTTCTTCTCCCCCCCCCCCCCCCCCCCAGACCCACCATTAATTTTGATATTTTAACCAACAGACTACACTGTGAAATGCAGGATTTTCTTTAGCAGGATCAATGAGCACAGTGCAGCATGACGGCAGGAGTGTGATAAACTATTCAACTTGCAAGGTAAGAAAAAGACATGAACGCTGACATTAGTGCGGCCTAGTACAGACCCAATAGAGACAGAGGAGCACTTCACCAGTCGATGCAGCACAGGTGCAGAGGTGTGCAGAGTGCATGCATTCAAGTGCCCATTGAACATGATAAAAGGCATGCGCACCTGAACCTACCAATACACTTCTACTATCTACAGGACATGTACAGCACAGTGCCAGTACTCCACTAGCTCACAAACATGATCATGTAGGATCTGGTACAATGACATTGTGTGCTATTGACGTATTGTGTGTATTTTCCAACACTCGCACCTGCTCAGCTGAGCTGGTTCATGTACTGTCTGTAGTGTAGTACGATATTATGGTCCAGCAGGACAACAGGGTACATGTTCCACAGATACAGATAATTATGCTCACCAAATGAACCTTGGCCACTGTTGCACATGCCAGGGTTTTTTCATGAAACACGTGTCAAACTGTCATACGGTATACGAGTGATGGTCACGTAGTGTGGGCTCCTATTGATAGACAACTACTATTTCAATCAATTGGATCAACTTTGCGCATGGACATCAACTAGTGCGGCGTGAAAACTTACCTCACAGAAGCAGTACTCTGTGTTCACAGATCTCTTCAGCTGCCGACGATAATATCCGACTGACGATGAGATTGGCAGCAGAAAGCACAGCAATATCGCTGCATACGTCACATGTATTCTAACGTTACCCATTTCAACACTATCATCATCGAAGAGCAAACCACTGAGATCGGAACGAAAGCAAGCACAAAGATATCACAAATGTAAGGGAAGCGATCCAGAACTTCGCAAAGCAACAAAGCATGAAGAACAGGTGTACAAGTCTGTAGAGTTTCTGGTGATCGACTGACTGTCTGTGGCTGAATGAATTATTTCGAAACAACAGTCGAGTCGACACTTGATCGATGACACCTGTGGCTGTGTAGAACGTGGAATCGAGGTTCATGCGTGTAAAACACGTCACTTTACTTTGAACAACCAGAAAACACACGTCACTTATGCGGTGTCATTTTGAATTTTTGACTGATTTGAGCCATGGCGCCACGGTACGGGACGATCGAGTACTACTGTAGTACGGGATGAGTCAGGTGAGTGACGCATATGGCGCATGTAGCCCAGCCGTGTAGGCTGCGGGGATTTCCCGATGAGTGTTTCAAGTCACATTCGATGTCCACGAGAAATACAAAAAATTGAAGATAGTCACTGTAAAGGAAAAGAGCGTGCTGCTGTGTTATGTACTCTTGCCAGTGTTGCTACTACCTGTACTAGCTTATACTATGGCGAGTGAAAAGTGGCGAGACACTGTGATTGTTGCTGTGTTGGGCAGCACAGGGACTGGAAAATCTAAGTTGGGAATTGAATTGGCGCAGGAGCTCAATGGTGAAATCATCAGCGCTGACTCCATTCAGGTAAGCTGATGAATGAGGTTTTGTTCGAATCTATTAAAAGTGGAATAGATGTACATTTAATGATTGCTTTTCGGAAAAAGCGAAGCGATTCGTTGATGATTCTCCTTTATCTTCTTCTTCGGTGACATACACAGTCTACGGACTGCCTAATGTAGGAACAAATCGTGAAAAACCAAACAAAAAAATACGTTGTGGGTATAATGAGTACGTGGAAGCTGGAAAGGTTCCTGTTGTAGTGGGAAACAGCATAACCGTTATAGTTGTGTATAATTGTGCATATGAAGAGGGATACAAGTAGTCGTTGAGACTACTGTGCACACGTACTTACGTTAGATGAGTTCCTCAAATTGCAGGAACCGCACGACCATTTCTGATGTGTCTGTGGTGGCGGACGATGCGGAGGTTGACGCTCCAAAATCCACCCAGGCTTTGTTGAGGCTTCTGCCGACGTAGCGGAGGATCAGGTGGTCGGCATCTTCACACTCGAGATGACATAGGTGGCAATCTGGCGAATCTTCAGCCGAGATTTTGTGGAGGTACTGCTTTAGGAGTGGACAGTGACCGGTCAGGAGCTGGTTTAGGACGACGGTGTTCTTCCTTGTCAGGTCGCCGCAAAGTTTGCGGCTGTCCAGAAGAGGGGGTTGGTAGTGGTACCCTGTCTTCTTACGAATGCAAACTTTGGCGGCCTGGATGAGAAGAGGCACATCTTGCTGCATGGCTGTGCCGGCGTTGACAAGGCGGTTGATGCGGTAATTGTACAAAAGGCCATGGTGGCTGCTCACCCACACCAAGTGGATGGTGAGTGCTGACTGAGCAGCCCGCAGCAGCGCGTTGTACGCTGGGATGGCATCTGGGCCGATACAGCAGGGATCTGCCTGGACTACGTCAACAAGAGACCGGCTGTCGGTGACGATGACAAGGTCACAGCTGTGGGCTCGATCTACAATGTCGCCGAGGCATGACAGCGCCGCAGTCAAATCCGCGACCTCTTCCATGAAAGATAGATATTGCATTGATGATAAAGAAGTACTGGTAATAGGCAAGTGGCTGAATTGCCCATGCCACCATGTGCCCATGCCACCATGTGCCCATGCCACCATGTGCCCATGCCACCATGTGCCCATGCCACCATGTGCCCATGCCACCATGTGCCCATGCCACCATGTGCCCATGCCACCATGTGCCCATGCCACCATGTGCCCATGCCACCATGTGCCCATGCCACCATGTGCCCATGCCACCATGTGCCCATGCCACCATGTGCCAAGAACCCACTGGGATGAGGGCCGCCCGCTCAACTTGTGTGATCCTTTCTTCGTATGCCCGGCGCTTCTCACGCTCATGTCGCTTGTAACATGATGATGAGCGGTTCGATGGAGCGTGCAGATTGAAGACCCGGATTCCCACGTAGCTCCGTTCAAACCGTCCGCCATAGACTCCGCTTGCGACAACATCCAGCCAACCCAGGTCATCCCGCACTGCCTTTCGGTAGTGCAAATGCCCCCCCCCCCCCCCCAGTCAATGGCTAGAGGGATGGCTCAACATTGACGTCATGTGCCACACGACCAGGCAACTGTGCCGTAAGATCTCTCACCTCATTGTGTCGCATTACGATGAAGCCGCCAGTAGCACATCTTCCGTGCTTATCACCGTTAATTTGACCATGGTAGTATAACTATAACCAAGAGTAGATAAACAAGAGTGTGCAACTCCGGATCTCTCCTGCACAATCTGCAGATACCCCCGCCCACGGCGGAATTTTTTGTTGACGTCACCTTTTTTCAGAGAAACGCGCAGTTTGCCGCATGCAGTGTGAGAGCACGTGCTGGACACCGACCTTGTAGTGTAAAGCCCGGCCAAGAGCACGAGGGAAAACTTTCCGAAAGACTCGCAGCGCGTGCGTCGTCGAAAAGATTACGTCAACAAAAAATTCCGCCGTGGGCCAACCCATCCGCGAGTTGCACACTCTTGTTTATCTACTCTTGCTATAACTGTATAAGCCTTTTTGGGTGAATTACTGGTGTTTAAAGTGCGGTGGCGTATGCTCCGGAAATACGGTACGTGCTCATGTAGTATCACTTGTCATGATGCATCGGATGTAAGGATAAAATTGCGGAAAACCGAAGCGTACGCCATAGCCGATATTGCCTGTATTGGGTTCTCTTTATACTTTATACTTCGAAGTACCTGTATGTAAGGCCGTGACTTATGTGTGCATGCATGTCCCCAGGTGTACAAAGGTTTGGACATCTGCAGTGCCAAAGTGACGGCTGAAGAGCAAGCCGCAGCTCAACACCACCTTCTCAGTGTGGCTGAGTGCACGCATAGCTATGATGTGGTGAAGTTCCGTGACACCGCCTTGAGCACTGTATCCTCTACTACATGTACTATGCTTGATGTCAACACGGATGTGACCTATCTCGGTCACCATGCACTCTGGGTTGCCCGGTTGCCTTCTGAAGTACTACGTTGTAGTACCATTCATACTTGCTTGAGTACTAATACTCGTATGCTGATACATTCAGTGCAATGTGGATTACTAGTAAACACAATGTCATGTTGTCATGGTGATGGTGTGTTGATTCTCCTACAATTGTATCTGATAGCAATTCTCCATCCCAACACGTGTAAATGTGCCCCAACAGTGGCATGCATGTACTGGTACTCGTGAAAACCCAGGCTATTCTAGTTTGACAACGTTGTGTTTTACAAGCACGTTAGCCTTGACTTACTTGACTTGGGTTTACCGGACGTTAGCGGCCGTCGTGAGTTCCCTTCGGGAACGGACACGCTAATATACCTTTACTTACTTTGTAGCCTTGACTATGTGCATGTGCAAAGATTTCTGATATCCTGGATCGAGGCAAAGTGCCTATCATTGTCGGTGGCACTAACTACTACATTGAGTCGCTCATCTGGGAGACCCTCATGGTAAGTTTATTTGTTTTGTTTGTGTTTTGCCTCAATGAATGCAACTCCTGCTTTCAACTGCTCTGTTTAGCTGGCTGAGACCAGGTGTGCATGCTTTGCTTACAGTTGAACATTCGCTTGTTAGTACAACATCAATGGTGAGGAGAAGAAAATCAAGATGACGAGCAAGCTGTGATTGTTTGCGCTGAGTTTAGTCGTGATTCTGTGTGCTGTGTTGTGCTGTGCCATAACGTGACCTCAGCCGGAATCATCAGCTGTCGATCAGGAGATGAAAGTGGAAACCAATGCCAGTTCTACACCAGGTGGTGGCTGTACAGTGGATGATGAAACCCATCGCCATCACCCACAAGCTGATGTGGATGGCACTCCCGTGAAAACCACCGAAGCTGCAGCAGCAGCAGCGCATGCCTCCATGGTCTCGCCACATGAGCGCTTGCAGAAGGTTGACCCAGATATGGCGGCACGTCTTCATCCGAACAACATTCGGAAAATAGAAAGGTGTGATGGCGATATTCGCTTTGTGTGTGTGTGTGTGTGTGTGTGTGTGTGTGTGTGTGTGTGTGTGTGTGTGTGTGTGTGTGTGTGTGTGTGTGCATCTTTTTCTCTTACTTGCCTCTATTGTAACTGTGTTTTCTAAATCTGTATGGATATGCCCATTATACTGTGTGTTCCAGTTTAACTATTACATGTTTGTTTGTTAGGGGAAGAGTGTGTTGCTCCCTACGTGGGAGCTCGCGGTTTTCCTGCCGACTTGTCCACGGTTCGATGGACTTTTCGTGTGCTCTGGATGGCAGTCGTGAGTCAGTCAAGTGAGAATTCAAGTCGGCAGAAAAACCGCGAACTCCCATGTAGGGAGCAACACACTCTTCCCCTACTATCGCCGAAGTCGCACCAACCTCTTCCTCACATTGTTGTCCCCAGCGCGGGCTTGCGAATTAGATGGTTTGGAAGCAACAACGTCGTGAATGGCCAACGGTCCTCAGCGCTTGTTCAGCACCTCCATGAGCGACACTGACTCACGCTGCTATCTGGTGTTCACGAGGTGTTTGTCGCGCTGGAAACGGAGCGTCTCTGTAAGTTTGTATCCCTGGTGATGTTTGTGCTTGGAGAGCACTATATAAGTGGTGCTCTTCAGGCACAATCTTCCTCAGCCTACTCAAGCTCAACTGATGAGGGGTGAATTCCCCGAAACACTGTGTATTGAGCAGGGAGTGGTGCTTTCTTGCAGGTTTGCCGAGTGGACGGTTCGATGGATTTCTCGTGTGCTCTGGATGGCAGTCGTGAGTCAGTCAAGTGAGAATTCAAGTCGGCAGGGAAACCGCGAGCTCCCATGTAGGGAGCAACACACTCTTCCCCTACTATCGCTGAAGTCGCACCAACCTCTTCCTCACATTGTTTGTTTGTTGTGCTTTTATTTATAGTCGTTCAACCAAACAGGCAATGGTGCCTTCTCACAAGGAGACGACTTAGAAAATGGGGAGGGGAGAAAAAGCAGGCACGGATGGGAGATAGAATGGAGAGGATGATGTAGTATAGATTAGGAAGCAGGAGTAAGATCCAGATCTTTGGCACAGTACAAAAAGTGGTTTAGGCAACTGGGAGGTCTTGCGAGCGCAATGCATCACGCAACCGCTTCTTCTGTCCAATGGATCGAAGTTCGGCCGAGAGACTGTTCCACAATACGCTTCCCACAAACTGGATTGACGATCGGCTATAAGGGCCTCTTAGGAAGGGTATTTGCAGGAGATTGAAGGAATGACCACGAGTTATGCGGCGGTTAGGCGGGCATGCAGCATTAATTAGACTAAAGAAATTGTCGAAAAGGGGACTTGTAGCAGACTGGATACAGCTATGGACGAATACTAATAGTTTTAGCCTATATATGTGGACAAGAGGAAGGATGCGTGTCTGTGCAAGCAAAGGAGTGGTAGGGGTAGCAGTTGGTGCCAGCAAAATAGACCGGACTTGGCCATACGCTCCTGACGACCAAGTGCATGCTGAGAAAGTGCTGGGTAGAAGGCATTGCGAGCATAGCAGAGTGTGGTCTGAATCATGCCAATGTACCAAGTGCGGCGGGCATTCACTGTCAAGCCATGTCCATGCCGCCATAGCTTACCAATTGCTTGCCGGGCTTTCTGCACGAGGTGATCGACATGTACATGCCAAGACATGTTGTCATCCACGTGAACTCCAAGGTACTTCACACAATGTACAACTTGTAAAACGTCCTGACCGCCCTGTACTGGATGGTGGATGTCTTGCAGACCACGGGACTTTATGAACATAACTTGTGTCTTCTTGGTGTTTAAAAGTAGACCTAGATCAGCCAACCAGGCAGAAACACTAGTGAGTCCATCAGTCAGAGATGAGCATACGGCTTGTGCGTCACGTCACGACTCGAGGCCTCCAGGACAATGTCATCAGCGAACTCTTGGTGAACTATGCCTTCTTGGCCTCCCTGTCGGGGTCGCACGGCAAGTTCTCCGGCTGCTGGTTCTCCGGCTGGGATAAGCTTTCATTGTCGACTAATGATTCAGCATCAGCAGGAAAAGGCAACTCTTCTTTTTTCATCTCAAAAGAGCTGGAGTCGCTCTTGTCAGCTGCTGGGAGACCAGCCTGCTTAGACTTGGATGTTGGGCATTGTGATTGGGCTTTACTTTGCTGCGCTGTCTGGGCTGAGTTTGCGACCACATCAGATAGGAGTGGACGTGTGCGTTCAGTGTCTGTACATGTAGGTGATGTTGAGTGATGTGACTGCTGCTGTGTACTACCCGTATTGGCAGTGGTACAGCGGGCCTCAGGGCAGTCCTTGGCGAGGTGCTCGGGCTTGCTGCAAATCCGACACGTGGGCTTTTGGCCACTATAGTGTGCGCGGAAAGTGCCTTTCCCGTCTCTGGATTTCACGTACGAAGGCACGGCTTTATTCGACCCCAGTACGAAGGTTGCAAAACGGACTCCGGTTGCAATAACTATGTTGTCCCGTACCTTAAGTTTACCGTGGCGGATGGTGCCCTGCACGGTACCGTATGGAGCAAGTGCAGCTGTAATGGCGCCATCCGACACCCACACAGGAACATCGTGAATGTGCAACTGAACATGAGTGTTTTCTGGAGAGGATTTTGGAAGGATATGTTGTCCATTTATATGAAAGCCATTCTTCATGACTAACTGGGCAAGCTGGATATCTGCGAACGTTAATCTGCATTGGCCTACTGAACTGACCTGGATGGAGAGGATGAGCTCCGCTCCTATTCCGTGCTGCTCGAGGCAGCTCACGTACTCGGCGAGTTTCAAATCCTTTGGAGCTGGAAATATCACAATTCGGGCCATCAGGTCCCTGACGCTTACTTTCCGCCATGGGTCGACTTCAGCTGGTTCCCGAGATATATCAGTGGCCTCCATGGCCCCGGAACGGGCATATGTGGGGCTAAAATGCCCAACCACGAGATTTTTTCAGAGCTAGAAAAAGCTTTACCACACGTCACTGAAACAAGACATAGTGCTTACCATCATGAACAATGTCCCCAAAGAATTCACTTACTTCCTCAACTGACACCTTTGGTTACTGTCTAGGTGCACGCCTACCGGTGACTGTGTTCATGACTTGCCACAGCTTGCGCTGATCTGAAGTAGCACATTTCCGGACAAAGAGTTTTTTTCTTTTTCCCTTCCGTGTCCGTGGGATTCCATTCGTTTAGTGCATCACCCTGTTTTTCGTGTAGTACCTCCAGTTTGGAGACGTACTCCGTATATTCTAGATGGTGGCTTCACCAGCAATCACGGAAGTGTCCAACCAAGTCTCTGCCCCAGCAATTAGGTTGGCACCAGAATCCTTTGCCAACTGGTCGAGCTCTGCAGCTTTGTATCTTAAGCTGCAGATGTTTATAAAGATAGCTATCACTGCGTCTTGTGCATGGCCAGAGGTATTTTGCTGGGACGACGTTGCAAGCGCTGTTCTTGTAAAAGTGGGTTGGAATGGTGTAGCGTTCGGATTTAGAGGAACTAGAGCATGAGGAGCAGAGGTTGTCGAAAGATGGTACTGTTTGTCAAGTTAGCACTCAAATGTTATTCCGTTGATTGTGACCTGTGCTCCACTGTTATCAGCATCTTCAGCACCTGAAACTTTGTCACTTTCAGCTGCAGTGCAGAAAGCATCAGCGAGTTTGGCAGCCCAGGGAGTTGCTGGGAATGTATGCTTCCCTGACGCCATGGTAAATCCATCTTTGTCAGTGTCAGGTGACTGCCTTCCCTCTGCCGCTGTGAAATCTGTTGCCCTCCTGCATTGTCGTCCTGGTCTCACTGCGTTCCTGCTGCAGTGTCTTTGAAAGCATGTCAGTGGTTTGACAGGTTTGCTCTTCGCCCTGAACTGCAGGCTGTCCAGCAGCTCCATCTGTAGTCATCTCCGAGTCAGCAGTTGAACTATCATGAACCGGTACTTCACGCTCAGGGTCCATGACCTGACCTGTACTCGACCTTGAACCAGCCTTATGAATGCGAGAGTACAGCGTGGAGTTTCCTGCAGATACAGAGTTGTTGTTGTGCTGCGTGCAGTCCTTCGCGAGGTGCGTACGGGAGCCACACTTGAAGCACGTGGGAACTTGACCCCTGTGCCAAATGCGAAGTTTTTGACCGGAGCCAGACAGCACAATTGTAGACGGTACGGTGGACTTGGGTACAACATTTACAAATACAGTGCCAGTCGTGAACGTAGATCCATCCACAGACTTCTCTTCCTGCTTTGGGAGACCAACGGTGGTTCCAAACTTCTCCATCGCCGATGTAATGGCCGGCAGTGGAGTATCATCCGCCACGCCAAAGATGTGGACAGAGACTACAGCTCCATCACCAACTAACAGTACTCATTGAGCTCCGTCGACAGTGAGCCCTCTGGATAACACCTCGTCTCTGACAGAAGTGCAGGAGAACGAAACTCTACAAACCCCTCGCCTTCCGCTCAGGTCAATTTGTTTTATTTCATCTGGTTTGACACCAGAGGAAAGCATGGCGTATTAGTGTGACATGGCAACTAGGTGGGCAGGAGACAAGGGCTTTGGAGGCATTATCGCTATGGAAAGCAAACTTTGAAACTGAACTACTTTGTTTTGGGTGTAAACCCTGTGACATTAGTAGTATTGGAGAGGATGGTTTTACTGACATTGTTCTTTCACATATGGGATATCTGTGTGTGTGTGTCTGTGCAGGAGTTTAGCTGTATTTGAGGAGCATGGCATACCACACACTCAGCTGCTAGCACAGCAACATAGCGATGGTGACGGCGCTTGTCCGCAAGGCGCGCGCCTACGCTTCCCCAAGACGGTCGCATTCTGGATACGCTGTGACACGGACGGTAGGTACCGATAGCTGCACTGCATCTGTAGCCTGCTGACTGCGAGAAAACACATCAGCATGGCCTTCAGCCATCAGCAAATGTTTTAGTGAAAACTTGTTCAGAGCTCTGTTTGCTATAGAGTAGGGATTCAGTCCAATACTAAGACAGATGTACTGTATTGGGTGGGTGCCCTTGGTATGTTGAGATTCTTGTGTACATGATTGTATTGAACACCATAACTGCATCTTGTTGTTATCCATGGTATGTTACAGTGCTGGATAAGCGGCTCAGCAAGCGTGTCGACGGCATGGTGGAAAGTGGTATGATGCAGGAGCTGCAGTGCTTCCACTCAGAGTATGGCCAGCATTGTCTAGATGAGACCGGCAGGTTAGTGTGTGCTGGATTGGCTGTTGTGTTCTCTAAGTTGTTTTCATCTTCATCTAGATACCAGCTCATGTTGTTGCTCCATGTAACCCTTGTGTGTTGGCAGAGTCGATCCCGTCCCATTCTGTCTGTGTGAGTATGCAATATGCATGTATGTCAGAATCATGCGCGATGCTCGAAATGCATCAGTGGTGTGTTTGTATTTCAAACTTATGTTGTGGATATTCTTGTTTTTTTCTTGTTCTTGTTTATATTGTGTAGGCCGAGTTTCGAGTCTGGCTTGTTTCAGAGCATTGGCTACAAAGAGCTTTATCCATACCTATCACGATCACCAGATATGGATGAGGAGAGTAAGTTTTTTTGTTTGGCATTATGTTGCTGTGTGTACTGTTGCTGGCACAGAAAGCAGGGGAGTAGTCCGCACTGGCCCAAGGGATATGTTAGCCAGTTGACTGGGACTGCCATCTGTCGGTTTTTTAACTCGAGCATCTATCAATATGCTGCTTAGGTAGAAATTGGCATTCCGCCGGTGTTTGGCTGACGATTGGTTGGGCTGAGACCCTGCTGAGACCCTGCCTACCCTTGCACAGAGTGTACATGTATGCATTGTTTTACGCTGAAAGACAGCATTGCAATTGATGCTGAATGAGGTAAATTTTGTGTTCGGGGGTTTGCTGACCGACTGCAAACTTGCTACTTACTTTCATTGGCCAAGTGTGTGCAACTCCTATCTTGAGATGTGATGGACTCAACCACGGCGGGGTTTTCATTGCGGACTTTTTTGGCAGGAATATGATCAAGTGCATGTGTGCCCCCCCCCCCCCCCTCTGAGTTTGTAGCTACGGTAACAGTTCATCGACTACCGTAGCTGCGATGTACAGTACAGGTTCTTTTCGCTTTTGAGCTGAGGCTACGCATGATGGCATCAGTGAGCCAAATAACAGTGGAAGACTGATGTCATGAATAATCTCCGCCGGGGGCTGAGGGCTCATGGAGTTGCACACTCTTATTTGTTTATTGTTGGTGTGTGCCCGTGCCTGCGTTTGTCCCTGTTGCAGAGAGCAAGTCTTTACTCACAGAGTGTCTGCAATCTTTGGTGGCAGCAACCAGTCGCTATGCCAGGAAACAGGTTTGTTTTGTGCTGTACTTCTGTGCACCCTCGAATTTTACTGAGAGAAGAGAGAGAGAGAGAGAGAGAGAGAGAGAGAGAGAGAGAGAGAGAGAGAGAGAGAGAGAGAGCGAGCGAGAGAGAGAGAGAGAGAGAGAGAGAGAGAGAGAGAGAGAGAGAGAGAGAGAGAGAGAGAGAGAGAGAGAGAGAGAGAGACACACACACACACACACACACACACACACACACACAGGAGCGAAGCTGCCAGAGAGACTGGGAGAGGTCGAGTGAGACTTTGGTGTCTTTGCATGCGGCTCTCAGAAGAAGAGAAGAAGATAGCGGCCGAACAGCTTTCTTGTAAAGTCAGTCTTGAGGACTAAAAAGGTGGACAGCAAAATTGGAAAAGGTGCACATAAGAAACGGTACAAGGAACCTGTTGTGGCATCAGAACAGGACAGGTGCATGTGACACGTGCTCAAAATAGTGCGGGAATTTCCTGATCTCTTTTGGTTCTCCTCCAAGGCTGGAGAGCTTTGGAGAGTCTCTATTGTCTTGGAGAGAGTGCCTGTACGCTTCTGTGAAAAATAAGACTCAAATTTTCTTGACAGCCCCAAGTGAATGTTCCCGATACTAGCTGGCAAAAAGCTGCTTGCACCATCAAACTTTTCTCCCACGATTTCCTCTGTGTGTGTGTGTGTGCTTTGCCTCTCTTGTGCTGCAGAATGCTTGGATAAGGAATCGATTCCTCAAAGGTTAGCTTATGAGAGACAAGAGTGATATGAAAGCTGTGTGTGGAGGGGTGACATGTTGAGTTTTGATGCCGCTTGTTGTCACTATTGAGTCCAGCGACCACATCTCTTTCACATTGATTGCTGGTGCGCTAGTGACGAACATGCTCGGAGTAGGCACCCTAGTGTTACTTGGGTAACATGCCTTGAGATGGCTTGAGATCTTGCACTTGGGACAATCTTGCGCTTGAGATGATCTTGAGATGATTATGTGCTTGAGACGATCTTGAGACGAACTTTCTTAATCTCGAAGCTACAATTGTAGAGAGGACAAACAATGATAATAGTTTTGGCACCATGGCACCAAGGACTCAAAAAGAGAGCAAACGAGTCAACTTGATAAAGCAGTGTGGCAATCGTGTCATGCTGTAGTGGAAGTTGCACTTGATTTCCACTTTCAAGTTGTAGAAACGCACTAGATGAAGCGACAACAGGATGAAGTGAGATCGAGCAGTGATGTACTCGCTGCTTTATATGCAGCAGTGTTTGAACAAGATAACAGCTGTGATGTGAAGAGCTGCACCAGGAATCATGAACAACTGTATAACAGTCATAGGAGAAGATGTGAGAAACTGAGATTGTGAGAATGGCCTCTTCAATTTAAAACTAGAGCTAGAATCGGCACATTGCACCAGTACACTTGTCGGTATTTATCATTCCGGCTTTCTAGCTCGGCTCTCATTTTGCCCAAGCATTGTGGATAGCTGGTTTATTTCCGGTTGTCTTTGACTGGGCGCTGCTATCTTCAATTATTGCTTGAGAAGTACTTGGGGCAGCTTCCAAGGCAATGTTTCCCATTTGTGTAGTACTTGGTGGCAGCTTTCACGGCAATGTTTCTCATTTGTAGTATTCTTACTTAAATCTTGCTATTATCTGTTGATGTGTGTGTGTGTGTGTGTGTGTGTGTGTGTGTGTGTGTGTGTGTGTGTGTGTGTATCAGCTGGTCAGAAAGTTCGCCTATACGGCGTTGACAGCAGTCATCCGGAGAACTGGAATGATGATGTGTTACAGCCTGCACTTAGCATAGTGCAGGCACTGTTGACGGTAAGTACATAGACTGGGGAGCTTAGCACTACAGGACTGTCACATAGTCTAGTGCAAGTGGTCTGATTCATACTTTTTATGACTTGTTCTACAGTATCACTGAGGCTGTGTTTACACGAGAGTTTTAAAGCCGGTTGAGTTTCAGCCTGCCCTGAACACAGATTTACTCCATGCACTGGTTCTCATTCAGTCCTGCTCAGTACTGCAATATACATTGTCATTATTTGAGTTTGACAGCACTACTCACAGCTTTACTTCTTAGTTCTAATTGCAACAGTTTAATGCTGCAATTTAAAAAAAATCACGGTTCGCGTCAGACTCGGTTTATCTATACAGAGGCCGAGTTTTCCGCATCCGTAGGAATGCCACCACCCTTCAAGGATCAAGGCGCAGATGCAGCTCCTAAAGCGGTGTTCTAATTGCTGCAATTAGAACTGAGCTATATAACTCAATGCAGGGTTTCTGTGTGCTGTAACTGCTGTTGCAGTGTTGCATACACTTCAGAATAGATAATAGTTTCAGGGGCTAGCCAGGAAAGTCTTCCAGGGAATTTGTTTGAAAACAAAGTCCAGAAAAGCAAAATGCAACAGTGCCGGGAAGTTGTTGACAACAACCCCCTCCCCCCTGTCACCCTGTAGTTTTACTGCAAGTATTGACTACAAGAAAGTGCATTTTCTCTGTATATTTTCTATTTATATCTTGTGTATATGTATTGCATTTTAGGACTCCCCAGCACCACTAGCACCTCTGCCATTGCAAGCAGCCACGAAGAACTCCTGGACAAAATATGAATGTACTGCTTGCAATCGTCTGCTCCATGGCGATCAAGAGTGGAAAGGTGAGCAATCCTGGTGGTATCTTTTGATTTTAATCTCTCCTCCTCCTCATCGTCGTCCTCTCTCTCTCTCTCTCTCTCTCTCTCTCTCTCTCTCTCTCTCTCTCTCTCTCTCTCTCTCTCTCTCTCTCTCTCTCTCTCTCTCTCTCTCTCTCTCTCTCTCTCTCTCTCTCTCTCTCTCTCTCTCTCTCTCTCTCTCTCTCTCTCTCTCTCTCTCTCTCTCTCTCTCTCTCTCTCTCTCTCTCTCTCTCTCTCTCTCTCTCTCTCTCTCTCTCTCTCTCTCTCTCTCTCACACACACATGTTTTCTATGTGAGCGGGTTTTGTTGGACTTACCTGTATCTCCCAGCACTTTGAATTTTTGTCAGCAGCTAGTCTGCCTAGTCTGCTGTGCTGCCGCGGCTCTGAGTGCTCATCCTGTACATAGGCATTGTGTGTTGTATCACCCCGGTTACCCCGGTGACCCCGGTGCTCTGAGTGTTGTTGTTGTTGAATTTTATTTAAAGTCGCAACACAAACAGGCGATGGCGCCTCCTTTAATACATGTGAGCAACATGACAAAGTTAATAGTAATGGGGAGGGGAGGAGAAAAATGACAGGTGAAAGAAGTCACCAAAGGTAACTGAATACTGGTATTCTACAGATAGAGCTGCGGGGAAAAGAACCCTGTTGAAAACCGAAAACATGGAGTATAACTATAACTGGCCGATTTAATGTCGAGAAGTTTATTTCCTAACATCCTTGCAAAACATTAGGTACCAATAGATAGGATTTGATCAGATAGAGTCTTACACAAAATTAGAAAGGATTGACCATTGGTGAACAGATAAAAAAAGTAGAGTGGCCTACTTTGAATACTTCGACGCTTTCGAGAGAGCACAGAAATGGGCGTGACAAGGTTCACAGCACATCATGGGCGGTGTCTTGTTCCAGATAATGGCACCAATGAATTGGATTGTGCCTCTACCAGAAGGACTGGGCCAGAAGGGTACCTGCAATAGGTTTTTGTCAGCTCCACGGGTGCAATCACTCTGTGTTCTGACGTAATAATTCCGAAACAGGACACTTGAACGGCCATGGATGCAGCGACGAACGAATATTAGGACTTTCGCTGCCAGGGCATCCTCGAGGGTAGGAAGACAGGAGGCTCTTGAAGAGCCCTGCAGTGGAAGTCCATGGCGGAAAGCCAAAAAGGCACGGATTGCAGCTTTCGTCATTCGAGTGAGGGCGTCCATGTTTCTGGCCATCAGAGACGGATAGATTGCATTGGACGCGTATGCTAGTCTGGACATAATCATTGCATGATAAAATAACGTTTTCGAGGAGACTGTCAAGCTTTGATGTGAGCGCCATTGCGCACCAATGGAGCGTCGAACTTGGCGAATGGTGTGGTCGACGTGGCCATCCCAGGAGAACTCATTATCAACAATAACTCCAAGGTAGCGAGCCTCTGACACAATTGTTAGCATTCCCGTCGCAACGGATCTGGAGCGGTTTTGCACTTTGCTGCCCACCACAAGGTGTTATATGCAAGACCTGTGTCTTCATCTGGTTCAGCTTAAGGCCGCAGTCCTCAAGCCAAGTTACCAGATTGGTGACGGCGGTGCTTAGGGAGGTGCACACTGCTGCTCGACTCCCAGAGGCCTCGAGAATGATATCGTCCGCAAACTCTCGATGGACGACGGGACGTGGGATGCAATTGGGGATGCCGCGAATATACAGGGTGAAGAGCAGTGGGCCGAGAACGGATCCCTGTGGCACGCCTCGACTACACTGTGTGTAGCTTGACATACTTCCGCCAATAACCACACGCTGGTACCGGTCGCTGAGGTAACTAGCAAGCCAGGAATTCGCAGTGCCTGTCACACCCATGTTGGAGAGTTCTTCCAGCAGCAATTTGTGCTTGACGGAGTCGAACGCTTTGGACATGTCGACAAATGCTGCGCCTGTTTCTTTCCAAACAATCGACGAGGAGACAATAGTCGTAAAATGGCAATAAATAAGATAAATTGTGCACTCATAACAACAGCAAAAATGAAGAAAGTCAAGTTCCATAACGTTTTCTTGTGACTGTCATCAGTGGAACGCCGTCACGTAAAAATGTAATAACCAAAACACACACTTATATACATGTAGCTAATATGGTTTCAGGTAGAAATACAGCAGCTAACAAGTACAAAAAGCGAAGTTTGCACCTTTGCAATGTGTGAATATAGTGTATGTGAGAAAGGTAGTGGCAGATGAATGTGATACTGTGTGAATGAATGTAATGGTGCGTGTGTATTACTTGAAGATATGTGTATATTCGTACTCGTGACCCTGTGCTATGTAAACAGAAAGAAAACGTTGTATCACTCACACTCTTCAAGTAATACACACGCACCATTACATTCATTCACACAGTATCACATTCATCTGCCACTACCTTTCTCACATACACTATATTCACACATTGCAAAGGTGCAAACTTCGCTTTTTGTACTTGTTAGCTGCTGTATTTCTACCTGAAACCATATTAGCTACATGTATATAAGTGTGTGTTTTGGTTATTACATTTTTATGTGACGGCGTTCCACTGATGACAGTCACAAGAAAACGTTATGGAACTTGACTGTTTCTTTCCGCTCATACTTTGCTATTAACCAGCGGTTTACCGCTAGGACAAGGGCATCCTCAGTGCTGTGTCGCCTCCTGTATGCAAACTGCGAAGTAGGGAGGAGACCATTTTCCATTATGTATGACATGAGTTGGGCCTTCACTAGTTTCTCCAGTAGACGAGGTACAATAGGCAGGAGAGAGATAGGCCGATAAGAAGCAGCTTGACCAGGGTCAAGGCTACCACCTTCGAACAAAGGAAACACATTAGCAAGTTTGAACTGGCGTGGAAATCTGCCCGTCGAGAGCGAAGCGTTGAACATCATGCACAGAGACGGAGCTAATTCTCCTGCGGACTGCTTTAAAACAACACCTGGCAATTGATCGTGGCCTGTGGCTTTGGATGAATCAACGGACTGCAGTAGGGTCATGACTTCTTCTGTTAGGGCGGGTCGAAACTGGTTGAAGGTATCGGGATCGTTACATCTTGAACCATCCGGAAGCAGGCTGGATGGGCGCCCAGGATCAGATACAACTTTCCCAAATGCTGCAGCGAGCTCCTCCGCAGCTACCAGAGGCAGAGGTGTTGACTTCGTCCGACCACTGACAGTATTCACAATGCGCCACAGCTTTCGAGAGTCTGTCCGAGCAGCCTCCAGGCGTTCCTTGAAGTACTGGTTCTTCAGCTTTCTATCCAACTTCCGTGCAACTGCACAAAGTTTCCGGTGGTGGTCCCGCAGCTGAGCATCCTCTGGGGAGCGAATAAGCAATTTGTGCGCGGCATTGTGCTGCCGTGCAGCTGAAATAAGCTCAGGGGTCAGCCAAGGACAAGAACGACGGTTGGCTTTACGCGGGTTACGGAGGGGTGCGTGACGGTCAAGAACAGCATGTACCTTTGGGTACCACTTGTTTACCATGTCATCTACATCGCTACACTGGCTGAAGTCATGGAAGTTTGCAGAGCGTAGATCTGAGTTAAAGCGACTCCAGTCGATTTTCCAGAGGCTTTGGTGCAGCTCTCTCAGCTTCTTTCGCAGTTGCTTCCAGTTCAGCAGTAAATGTGTAGTGGTCACTGATATCACATTCGATCACTTTACAAATCTTCACTAGTTCAGGGGGTGCAAGAAGAAGATCCAAGAGGGTGGAAGATGACAATGTTACTCTTGTGGCGTTTGTTACATGGTTGATGAGGCTGTGGTATGGTTGTGCGTGTCGTTCGTCTTCTCCCACCGTCGGGATGGTCGCTGCTGTGTATGTGCCCGTTGCTGTGTTCGACTGGGGCAGTCGCTGGCCATGTGGTCAGTTGGGACCGGTACGGCTGTGTCATGGTGAACTTCTGATGCTCAGACTGTCACTTCATCAGGTACAGTCTCTCCGGAGGCGTGGTTTCGAATCCCACCGCTGCCACCAATGTAGGATTCCCTTTCCTAAGACAAGATTCCCATTCTCAGGTTTCACCAGGCACTCAAATTGCTCATATCGATAGTAAAACTTGTCGTAGAGGAGAAGAGAAAGAAAGGCAAGAAACACGTGAGCATGCGCGCGGCTTACAAGGCCAGTGATTCGTCACGTGGACAGGAGCAGGAAATACGAAATACAAATGTAAGAAACAACAATCGTCAATTCGTCATGCAATGATTACAGTAATACTCAAGTAATCATTGGCCTATACTACACAATTATTGGCCTATACTACACAATTCCCCTCCTCTCACTATTCACAACCTCGTGAATAATAGGCAAGCAGGGCAAAAACAATTAAATGTATAATATAGAAAACAAATTACGGGTATACAATGACCTAACTACAAAACATAGTCACCAAATCTCGCAGGAGCAGTGCGGATCCGGCCTGATCGACGTGCTAATACTGGAGTAGCAACAGGAGGAGGTAGAGGTGATACGGCAACAGGCGGCGACAACAGAGGCGTACTCGGCACAGAGTCATCGGCATCATGTGGCACGACAGGAACATAGTCATTAGCTGACAAACTCACTGGGTCGGGGAGATCATTGACAGACGACGGTAACTGGGCACGATGAACCTGGATTACGTCCACAGGTGGTGCATCATCGGCCATACTTGGGCCCACAGTGGCACTGGCCATACTCAGCGTAGATGCACTAGGTTGCTGTGCTTTTGAGCTTGTAGTGGGTATGCTAGATATGCTAGATATGCTGTCAACGTGCTGGGATGCGCTGGTGTTCACTTCAGAGTTTGAACCTACGCTATTCGTACGGGTACTCCCACGTTCGGAGGTCGACTGCGCGTGCGGTACAGAATCAGAACTAGAGTTACTGTTAGTACAACTTGAACCTTCAGGCTCTCTGCCCACCCTTACTTTAACACTCTCGTGCTTCATGACCCGTTGTGCCACAACCCCGGCACGTCTGGGTCTACCATCTGTGCCACACCCGCAGCTTTCTCTTCCCAACGGTCACACAGGACGGTACGGGTTTAGACAGTACGATATTGACGTACCCGATTCCGGTCTTGAAGGATGTGCCTTCTAAGCTAACTTTGCCGTGTGATGGTGGACCATTCAGCTTGCCGAAACCGACAAAGATGCCGAAAGCGGGCCATCAGGCATTTCAACAGGGCAACCAAACACATGGAGCTGAGTGGAGCCCTCGTCGGGGAGATGCAGCTCCAACTGCACCTTGTATGCACATTTCCTTGCTGAAAACCGTCTCGCGCTGGGCTCTGCTTGAAAGCGTGACTTGGCACCAACCAGGTTTTCCATGCAGATCAATCTGCTTGACAGACTCTTTAACGTTTTAAAAATGCATTTCCAGACCGTTCTTGAAGTATAAACTTATGGTCAGAAGGCCAATCTTTCGATGATTTGAAAGAAAACATGGATGGAGCAGGAGCTCCAAAACTTACCATAGGCAGTTTTGTGGAGACCAATTCTCTTATCCGCAATTAGGCGCAATACCGCCACCACTATCACCACCATGACCACGGTCTTAGACACTGCTGCTATTCCAAAATTCCAACTCCAAACACGTTTTTGACTTGGTGCTTCATCAGGGAGTAAATGAAAATGAAGCTGGCTCATCGCGTACTTCGCAACTCAGCCTTGGCTTCTTCAGAAACGTGTGCCCAGTACTTGACCACAACAGCTGTCTCAGTGTGTTCAAACTTTTACAAAGGCTTCATTCGCCCAACTGAGTGCTCATCTTGTGCAGTCCTGACCAGAAAAATCCAACCTCATGAATGTATGGGCCACGCGGCCTAGCACCACACGCACCACCACTCTGCGTACTTCAGCGCGGCACTACTTTATTCATGAGATCAGATTTCGCTGGCCAGGATACTGCACATTATACAGGTCGTCCCTCGTTAATACATAATCTCTGGGACTTGACCAAATGTTGTATTACGGGGTTTATGTACTAAACGAAAGTGTACATACCGGTAACTTGCTTGTGTACCAGAATTTTTCACTTTTTTCAACTTTTCTGAGTGTTTCTTGCTACCATGAATAGGCACCGAGATATTCTTGATTCCCTCGATATAACATAAAAATTATGTTATAACGGTCAGAGTTAGCGAAGATTCTACAGTTTACATGATACATGCCCAGCCGCGCCTGTACAGTCACTCGGAAAAAACAGAGCTTTGTAGGTTGTGATGTGCGCTCTGATTTCTGAGCCAATTGCGTCCACAAGTAGAAACTAGAACACGATGTGCCTCCACTGGAAGGCCAAAAGACCAATAAATTATGTACTATTGAGGTAGGTGACATGCGGGTACGGAGAAATGTTATGTACTAACGGGGTTTATGTACTAACGAATTATGTACTAACCGACAAAATTTGTATGGAAGTGACCACGTTTCGTCCGGGACTTGAGATTTCTTATGTACTAACGGGGTTTATGTACACACCGGACTCGTATTAACGGGGGACGACCTGTAGTAGTAAAATATTTACTCCCTGTGCTGTCCTCACGCACATAATGTACATCGTGCATTGTATCACCTGTTCTCTGTCCTGTGCAGCTCATTTGACTTCACGAATGCACCGACGCCGGAAGAAGCGAACTGAAAAGCGTAGGGTGAAGGAATCTACTTAAAGTACACACTTCTTGTCTTCAACATCATCAGCAACAGAATTATTCTGCTGCTGCTGGGGAATTTCTAGACAAAGAAAATTGAAATCTAGGGGCACCCAGCAATTCAAACTCGTGAATATCACAACCGCAATTCAAACTCATGAACATTGCACATTGCAACAATTCTTGAGGTTGAATCATGTAATTTCCCCCCATGCTGCTATGCCCCTCCCTAGTTGTCACAACTCACTAAAACCATGCTATATTTTTTACAAATTTTCTATTTTGATACAAGCACGAAAATTGGCCCTTTCACTTTCTGTGTATGAAAGAAAATAATGATTTTTACAGAATTTTTAAAATCCTAGTGAATAAAATAACAAACCAATGTCCGGATCAGCTTTGTGTGATGTGTGCCGGGCACACATGTATGTGCATGCATGTTGTGTGTGTGCACGTGTGTGTGTATGTGTGTATGTGTGTGTGTGGTGTGTACCTGTGATATTTATGTGTTTCATGACTTAATTACACACATGCAGTATCCTCAAGTAAAAAACAAAACAAGCAACGATGGTAGCAGTAAAAGAGTAAACAAATAGATAATGATAGACAAACAACAATCCGAACAAAATTCACATGTCCTTGCACCCAATCTACAGCTAAATGGACAAAGGGGACAACTAGAACAAAGATGTCGAGCTAGACTGATCTACGTTGACAACTTGAGCGAATCGGCTGCAAACCCATCACCGCAGTGTTTGGCCACAAGGCGCAGCAATTTCAGCTTCTTGTCATTGGCACGCGAAGACTGCAACTCATACAGCGTACACAGGTTGCAGATTGAGGCCGATTGAAGATGGGTTGGTGGATCTTTCCAAACCAACTCCTCAAGTACTTGAACCGCCTAGAAAATCCATAGATACAGAGGACACACGCATGAATAATACTGGTTTTGTGAATTGCGAGTCTTGTTTACCAGATACAATGTAGGTAGCGTAAAACGAAATACAGCAGGGCGAATGTGGCAGCATTCTGGAGCATTAGAATTCAAATCGTGTGTGTGTCCTCAACTCAACTGTTGAAGTTGTGCCAAGACAATCATACTGAATGTACAAGTAGGCCACACCAGCCAATAGTTATGAAGAGAAAGCGCTATCAGTAGCGAGTTTCCGTTATGCATTCCGGCAGAGTGTGCTGTGACTGCTGTCTCAGAAATAAACCACACGGAAATCTGGTACTTACCTCAGTCAGCTTGCCTGTGTAGAGGAGACAGACGGCCATGTTGTTGATTGCCTTAACACAAGCACAATGAAAAAGAAGCGAGTGAGTTATACGAGTAAAAGAACGTACTGGTCCAATGCCTTCATTACATGCAGCAGCAAACTTTTAAAATTCAGATCTTTTTTTTAAACCTACCGACAGTGGGGATTGTATTCCAGTTGCACAGTCCAGCATTGGCGTTTGTTAGGGGAAAATGCACATAATAATGAACAACTCTGGTGTTTGCTCAACTGTCCAAGAATCCCAGAGGAGATTCAGTCGCTCAAAATATGAGCGACTCTTACGTGCACAGTGTGCAATGCTACAACAATAGGGAATAGTACAGTTGGACTTGGTGAAATCCAAGCACAAAGTGCAAAGCTGGCGAGCTGGACCAGTTCCGATTACATCATTGTGTTTGTACATGGGTGCATCCAGCCGCTTTTGTGCCACTTCCAGGGCGTCAATGGCAGTGCAAGGTGAGGGCGCCATATATGCACTCTAGGTCGGATATCACCGAGCACCACTGTACAATATGGTAGAAACATACCACAGGATTGAAGGACTCCACACGCAGCACTCCTTGGAAGTGACGGAAAGCATCTTGGTACTTGGCTGCAGTTACATCGTTAAATCCCCTGCAACATTTAACACACAAGACAAGAAAGGAATGAGGCAAAGAGAGAAACAGAGACAGACAGATAGAGAGAGCGAGACCGAGAGCATGATCCATACAAAAGAGACAATGTCCCTGAAGAGCAGTATTGAGAGCAGTATTGAGAGCAGTATTGAGAGCAGTATTGAGAGCAGTATTGAGAGCAGTATTGAGAGCAGTATTGAGAGCAGTATTGAGAGCAGTATTGATTATTGAGCTGAACCGGAACTCGGGCACAACTAATCAGGAAGGAAGACAACCGGGTGTGACGAGAACGTGTCTGGCTTACTTGTGCATTGCATGAAGTTTGCGGCACAGATCAGAGGATTTATCACCGGCCTTGCTTTCAGCGGCTTGGAACGCTTCCTGGGATGATCTCAGGTCGCCAAGCTGACAGATAATAAAATACACACAGACACACACGCACACACAGATGTACATGTATGAGTAGTTGCAAAGGGGTAGCTTAGGCAAATTGCTCGATGCACAGAGTGCAGCGCGTTTCAAACGAGAAACGAGGAAAGGGGGCCAGTTTGGATTTGTCAATCATCAGACAACTGATCCTAAAAGTTAGAAAACCTTTTGTGTATGTAATCATGCGCGAGACTTAACGCTGAATTGAGTAGACACAGCATTACCCTACATGGATAAAGGCTAATATAACGCAGACTTCATTGACGGTATGAGGGATAAGTAGAGCGTTGATGCTGAAGCTGCGACTGGCTACTAACTTGTTGCTCTAGGTTCGAAATGTCTTGGCATTTTGATACTACAGGTCCTACCTCGTTAGTAGATAATCTCTCGGCCATCGAAAAAATTATCTTATAACGAGACTTATCTTGTAGCAGGACTTGCAGCTAAAGGTGAAATAGGCACTACTTCGTACTTACCGGGGCTACCCTCGATACAACATAAATTATCGATGCTTCAACTCGTTATAAAATAATTGAAAATCTCCAACTCTTCCTTGGATGCAAAGAATCGTCCATATTCACGAATACATAGATTATTACGTTTCGTCTTTCTGCTTTATCCGACGTGTTGTGGCCTTGGTCCTGCGTGGTCAGTATTATCTTATACTGAAGGTTTGGCACTCCAGGGACCTGGGCAAAGGGTCGTTATAACGAATTTTATGTACTAACGGATTATGGTGTAACCGGACCTGTAAACAGTTGTATAGACCAAGTTTCGCCAGGGGATTTCAGATTTCTATTTACTAACGGGGTTTGTTCCGAATATGAACTGCGTGGCGGAATCACGCTTATGCTATTTCTAGTAGTTCTCACGACAACTCCCCCAAGCAGGGAGCAACAGCAATATACAAAAGGAAAGAAAGCGCCGCGCGTACGGCACATGCAGGGCCATATGCGCAACCTACAACAAATTAGCAGCAGCGCTGGTACAACAGAAATGTACGAACGCCGGAAACGTAAAGGTCATGAACCCATGCGACCCCCTGCCGGCATGGACAGGGTGGCTACAGCTATAAACGGACTCATATCGAGCCAAGAAAGATACGCGACAGATACAACTCAAGCATATAGAAACAAGAAATAATTAGTGCACTGCAAGTGCCAGCGTAATCTGGCATAATGGCAAATATTGCATAGTAGTGAAGGTGAGTCCTGAACAGGGTTTATGTACTAACCGGACTCGTTATAATGAGGGAGGACCTGTAGTTCACCTTTTGTTCAGGAACTTCATTACATACGAAATTTCAAACGTGGCACAACCTAGAGCGACACGTATATTGATATGGGAGTGGCGTCATGTGAAACTACAGGGCAAGTCCTCTGTACATGTAGCGTGCAAGCGGCTACGTTCCCATGGCTGCTCACATATCACTTGGTTGTCACTTGGTCAGGTGACATGGGAACAACGTCGGCCTGTGATCACAGTTTAAACTGTGGAGAACCCTGGCTACAGCAGACAATATTACATCACCTTGTCACAGCACACATTTTTTCGCTTGCGCCGGGAATAAACTACTTACTTGTAAGTAGATTCTGCCGATAAGACTGAGAAGCAGAGGCGCTGAGGACTCTTCCGTCTCCGCTATGGACAGGAACATCTGAATGGCAAGATCATAGTCCTGAGAAACAAACAAAACCAGACAACCAGACAACATACCCAATACGACACACAATTAGCTATACACAACACACAAGTGGAAGGCAACACCATGAAGTCAGCAAAGGTCACAGAAGTGCCAAGAGTGAAGACTATAGTCCGTACCTTGATGCTGAGCAAAGCATTGCCCATGGCGTATTTGACATCCAGCAGACGTCGCTCCCACAGATCAAGTGACACTGCAACACAGTACACAGCACATGTTACCAGATGACAAACAACAGACATACATCAGGGACTTGCAAATTCAAACACATGCACACGTGGCACTGTATACACACACTATAGTTCACAAGGGCAAGAAGTTGCCCAAAACACCTTGCACATAATAGAGGATTATGATGCCCACTACTATTGCGTACTGTACAAGCATACTGCATACCTCTGTGATCTGTATCATCAAGCTGCGCTTGTCCATCCTCAGAACGACCTGCATGCAGATTGTTCACAATCTGTATATCAAACAAACATACGCACATACACACACATGGGCACATACACACACATGGGCACATACACACACATACGCACATACACACACATGGGCACATACACACACATGGGCACATACACACAGTGTTACTTAGGCTGTGTTTACATGAGAAATTTCAACCCGGGTCGAGTTCAGCCCGGGTTGAAAGTCTGTACGATAGACAAAAGAGGTGAGCGTTTACATGAAGACAGTTGACCCGGGTCAAATACTGATATGCCGCCAAAAGTCCACTTCTACAGTCCTGTATGGTCACGTGAATCCGTTCGCGCGAAATTTGCATCTGCAGTGCTGTTCAAACCTGGCGCGAGATACGCACAGAAGTACGTTTGTACGATTTTCTTGACCCGGGTTGATTTCAACCCTCCCCTTGGGGGGAGGGTTGAAATCAACCCGGGGCGAAATTTCAACCCGGGTCAAGCGCAATGCGTCATGTAAACGCGCCATTCACTTTGTGCACATGGCGGGTTGAAATCTGACCCGGGTCGAACTCAACCCGGGTTGAAACGCTTCATGTAAACACAGCCTTAGTGCAGTATAGTAAAGATAATGAATGCGGGCACACACAATGTGGCAATCCTAACAACCAGCAGAATTGGCCAAGGATTGGATTCTAACACAGACCGACTGTACTTCTGCCTCCTCTGACTGCATGGAAACATCCATAGCTAATGAAGGACATTGACAATAGTGCCCAGAAACCAGTTACTAGCACCTGCCCGCCAGCTACAGATGGAAAATAATTCTAGCTTCAATGGAATGGCAAGGGAACACACTTTGTGCCCATGCTTACAATTTCAACATAGTCCTTCACGTATTGCAGGCGATCCACTGCCTCTGACGGCACTCCGGCATATTGCGGTACAATCGCCTGGAGTAGGCGCAGGCTGAAAGGAACCATAGATCCTAGCACACACAGAAGAAGAAGAAAAAAAAACAGGGAATTAGGAAAGGGGAAAGGTAGAGCAACAGCAAACAGACCAAGGATAACAAGGGAAACAAGCAGGACGAAGAAAACTCCTTACCATGGTATAATGGGAGATAGAGCTAGAGCAGATTAACTCTGAAAACAGCTAGGTTGAATGAAGGCTGCCAGCACACCAGCACCTATTTATTATGCTAGTAATCTGGCGCAAAGCAATCAACTGCCCTGCTAACCCATGTCCCCACCACCACCACCACCTCTCCAGGCTCTTGCACCTCCTGTGCAGAGCTTCACACTTACAGCCCGCCATTAGTCATACTGTCAACCTGCACAGTATGCCATTAGTCATACTGTCACCCTGTACAGTGTGCACACTGAAGTAGATGTGAGAGGTACCTGTAAGGTGTAAGGTGTGAACTGGCTGTAAGCTTCAATGTACAGTGTTGCTGATCAATGAAATCCAGTCGATACACTCATGTACGCGCCGGGCGTTGCGCAGCCCTAGACCTGCGAACACTGGACTTCGGAATGGCAAGAGGCGCAAACTTGAGTGCCGCGACTGGATTTCATCGAGCAGGACTGTACGCCCATACACTAGTATCCACCATGCATTCGTACCACATTTTGACACAGGCTGAGAGTGGCTAGGCTGGGAGCTGCATAGTCATAATAATTATTTCAACTCATTGAGTCACTCATGATTGCAGAGAGGCATGCATCACAAGCAGACAACCAGTAGATAGGGAGAAAAGGTACAGTGAAGAAGTAGACCTACTTGTAGAATGTACACGTAGCTAGGTTGCAGTCTTACCAGTACGGTTTGGGTAAGCATCTGGATAGTACTCAAAGTACATATCCGGTGCATCAAAGTTACCAAACGCTTTCAGCTCATTGTGTGCCACGGAGAACTGTCCCAGCTTCATGAGCAGTGCAACACGAGCTAGCCACATCTAAACACACGCACGCACACGCATCCAAAGACACACATGCACACGCACACGCACACATACGAGCAGAAACAGAACCAGAATGTATATGCACAGCACAGGAGACACCTGTACAAAGTCACAACACACAGGATTGCACTTCATCCCTACAGACAAATTCGCACACACAGCAAGGAACAGAAACTATCAACATCAACAATAACAACAGCACAATAACAACAGCAGCAGTAGCAGCAGCAGCAGCAGCAGCAGCAGCAACAGCAGCAGCAGCAGCAGCAGCAACAGCAGCAGCAGCAGCAGCAGCAGCAGCAGCAGCAGCAGCAACAGCAGCAGCAGCAGCAGCAACAGCAGCAGCAGCAGCAGCAGCAGCAGCAGCAGCAGCAGCAGCAACAGCAGCAGCAACAGCAGCAGCAGCAGCAGCAGCAACAGCAGCAGCAGCAGCAGCAGCAGCAGCAGCAGCAGCAGCAGCAGTAGCAGCAGCAGCAAAGCCTACACACCCACCTGTAACGTCTTGTGCGTGTGTAGAGCTGGCTGACCTCTCTGTCCAATACCTTGCCCGTGGGCAGTCAAGAACCGGGCAGTCAGTTCCAATGCAGCTCGATAGCAACCGCCCTTCTACAAAAGCACACAGATCCCATACAGCACACGGATCCCATGTAATCCCACTTAGTGTGACAATGTTGCACGGATAGTACACAGTATTTTATTAGCCAAGTGTTGACTGTAGCCATACTGTAGCCATACTGTAGCCATACTGCAGACTGGATTTAGTCATACTGTAGACAAACTCACACACACACACTCTCACACACACACACACACACACACACACACACACACACACACACACACACACGCACGCACACGCACACACACACACGCACACACGCACGCACGCACGCACGCACACACACACACACACACACACACCGCAGTAGCACTCATGACCACACAGCTTCAACAGGTAGATGGATAAGAAGGGCACACTAACCAGTAGCTTCTGCAGGCCAACTTGATCCATAGTGACGTTATCCACATTGAGTACATGACGATCTTTCGCTTCCGCTTCTAATCCATAGCGAGTGAGCAACTCACGCACTGGATCAGACTGTACACAATACCAACATACAGCAGAGCAACTCACGCACTGGATCAGACTGTACACAATACAACATACAGCAGAGCAACTCACGCACTGGATCAGACTGTAGACAATAGTACAACATACCCGCATGCACAGGTGCACGTACACATGCACACACGTGCGCGCATGCACAATACACACACACATACATACATACATACATACATACATACATACATACATACATACATACTCAGTAAGACTATGCCTGCAGCTGCAGAAAAAGTGCTCAACATCCAATTTCTTGGGGGAGCAATGACACATGTCAACAAACAATGGATCACTTGTAATATTTTGCTACTCCGAGTTTCATGCACCGTGTGCAATCATCAGGCAAACAATATTCAATGCAGACTGGTCAAAGCATAATGGGAATTTAAGGTGGATGCAGGCGGAAACAAGTGTAAGGCTTAGCGGGACCCCTGATACGTAATCAATGGGCTGACTTGCCGGCTGAGAAGTGTGTGAAGCTGAGTGCTAGATGACTTTAGCATAGTTGGGCAGTGCAATTTGCCAAGGCGCTAGCTGTTGGATGCCTGTACTACAGCAGAGCCAATTTGCAGTGTGTGTGTGTGTGGGGGGGGGGGGTGCTAGCTGTTGGATGCCTGTACTACAGCAGAGCCAATTCAGTCCGACAAGTTACAGTTAGGTGCCAAGGCGCTAGCTGTTGGATGCCTGTACTACAGCAGAGCCAATTTGCCAAGGCGCTATCTGTTGGATGCCTGTACTACAGCAGAGCCAATTAAGTCCGACGGGTTACAGTTAGGTGCAATGGCGGCACTTGCCTCTTTGGTGGTGTTAGGATTCAGGTGCTGGATGCCTGTACTACAGCAGAGCCAGTGAAGTCTGAGGGGTTACAGCTGGGTGCGATGGTTGCACTAGTCTTTCAGGTGTGAAAATTCAGGTGCGTGCTGGATGCCTGTACTACAGCAGAGCCAGTGCCACACCAGGACATGCCTTGCTTAGCAAAGCATACTGGATGCCTGTACTACAGCAGAGCCAGTATGCGCTATTTGGCTAAGTCACACCCGAATACTTGCTCAGCTGATATCTAGTGCTGTGCCGGCATTTGGCGATGAGGTCACACCTTGTGTTCAGGAGGGTTGCTTTGTCGGCCGTGATAATTTCTAGCTTCTCTGTTAGACAGAGGTTACAGCGCTTAGTTGTTGGGCTGTACGACTTGGCTCTGCGCTTGACGTTCCATGACACGTTGTACTCCTGACCCTGGTTTTTGAGCGACCAAACGTAGCTTGACAGCTCGGTGGAGTTGCGGTATTTTTCGTGCCGCATTGAGGTCTTGTGCGGTGCATGAAACTCGGAGTAGCAAAATATTACAAGTGATCCATTGTTTGTTGACATACATACATACATACATACATACATACATACATACATACATACATACATACGCATAAATACATACACGCATATAAACAGAATAGATAATACTAAGATATAGAGCTTGTTAGAGTGGAGACCATGCATTTTGTCCAGTTGAACGTTTAACATGTGGCACGTCAGAACTCAGAAACGATTCTCAAACTAGAGTATAGTCATACACACACCATGGCACGAGAGCACTGGCCCCTACCTGCGAGCCGTCTACCAGCAAACCTGGCATGGTGAGAAACGACTGGTCAACACGAGACAGCTGCGAGTTTGTGGCCATGTTAGCCAGTAGCTGCTGTGTTTGCGGACTGGCCAGCCATGACGTTCTGCGGCGCTCCACTGCAACTTGCTCCGTCATATTGTGATCCGAGTCGTGATCATAGAGTGGTGATATCGAACCAGCCAGTGTTGGTGAGGTCATTTGACTGCGGTTGACTAGATGTACACCCGTTGAATCGAAAGCAGCCGGTGGTAGCTCTGGCTGTTGTTTCTTGCGCCTGAACAGGCTACCGTCGGTACCAGTGGACGACGTGGACTTGATGCTCTCATTGGATGGAACGGCTGCAACATGCTGCATAACCAAACGTACATACATACACACACACATACACATACCATGTACAAACATTCCCATGCATGCCAGCACACACGGACGCATGCATGCATGCATGCACGCACGCACGCACACACACACACACACACACATGTGCACACACACACACACACACACATGTGCACACACACACACACGGTCAGGTAGAAAATTGGTGGTGGCGGGCCAGATAGATAAATTGATAATGTATTAAAAGAATAACTCCTTGGTTGAGCCTATCTTGGCACCGGTGATGCTACGAGTGCTACATGTAGTAGCAGAACAAACAGAATACAATGTACACTATACATGTGCTGTTCATCAGTACAATACTTCTGCACTCTGAAGTACCAAACAGTTACTATTGGTACATACTAGTACTCAACATGAACCTACCACTCTAGGGAAGAAATTGCCACTACATGTGAACTATGTATACCGGAGGATGCAGCCAGTGTGCTGACAGTGCTCAAAACCGCGGAGGCAGAGCGTAATACAGAACAATAAGGGCAATCAAGGATTGTTAGTCGCTACTTAAAGTTTCATCCTCTCGCAATCATCAGGCAACATGAGGATGCGGTGCCGACCATGCCGGTATATATATGCCAGGAGAGGGTGGGTCTTGTAGCGCTGTGTGAAAAGCTGTGTGAGAATGTGCGGGCTCTATAGGTTTCAGGGCTAGCGGTGTTATTTTAGGCAGGAGGCTATGTGCAGAGTGTGTGATTGTTGAAGGCAGGGGCTAACAGTGCCATGTTGGCGCAGAAAGTGTGGCTGGTGCGGGCAGGAGGTAGTGAGCAAGGTTTGTGGATGTTGTAAGCAGGAGGCTGTAGAGGTAATGTCAGAGCTAGCAGTGTGATATTAGCGCAGTTTACATGTATATGGCTGGTGTGGGCAGGGTGTTATGAGCAAGGTGTGTGAATGGTGTAGACAGGAGGCTGTGGAGACATATTTAGGTGACACTGTAGCATTTCAGGAGATACTTGTGTTCCCTTTGTACCAGAGAAAAGTACCACATCCTGAACACGCTAGGGTCACCGTGAGAAAAGTACCACATCCTGAACACGCTAGGGTCACCGTCCAGCATCAACAAGCGCTCGGAAATGGTGTCCAAGTGCCGACACAAGAACAAGTATCTCCTGAAATGTTACAGTGTCACCTATATGTCTCCACAGCCTCATGTCTACACCATTCACACACCTTGCTCATAACACCCTGCCCACACCAGCCATATACATGTAAACTGCGCTAATATCACACTGCTAGCTCTGACATTACCTCTACAGCCTTCTGCCTACAACATCCACATACCTTGCTCACTACCTAATGGCCACACCATCCACACTTTCTGCGCCAACATTGCACTGTTAGCCCCTGCCTTCAACAATCACACACTATGCACACAGCCTCCTGCCTAAAATAACACCGCTAGCCCCCACATTCTCACACAGCTTTTCATACAGCGCTACAAGACCCACCCTCTCCTGGTATATGTACCGGCATGGTCGGCACCCCATCCTCATGTTGCCTGATGATTGCGAGAGCATGAAACTTGAAGTAGCAGCAAACAAGCCTTGATTGTCCTTGTTGTTCTGTGAACTTCAACTATGCATACTACATCCAACAACAGTCAACCAACACTCGGCAACAGCACGGCACAACAGCACGGCATAACAGCACGGCATAACAGCACGGCATAACAGCACGGCACAACAGCACGGCACAACAGCACGGCACAACAGCACGGCACAACAGCACGGCAGAACAGCACGGCATAACAGCACGGCACAACAGCACGGCACAACAGCACGGCACAACAGCACGGCACAACAGCACGGCACAACAGCACAGCAGAACAGCACGGCACAACAGCACGGCATAACAGCACGGCACAACAGCACGGCACAACAGCACGGCACAACAGCACGGCACAACAGCACGGCATAACAGCACGGCACAACAGCACGGCACAACAGCACGGCAAAACAGCACGGCACAACTCCCTATACTATTTTAAAGCACCCATGCTTGCACGACAGTAAAAACAAACAGAGTGCACAGAGTGAAAACAAACAGAGTGCACAGAGTGCACAGAGTGCACAGAGTGCAACTGAACAGTGTTCCAAGCTGTACACGAATATCGCACGTACTGCGTCTGACGAAGTCACCGGGGATACAGCACTTTGCTGCTGCGTGGAAGATGATGGCGTTGAGCTGAGCAAGAACAGAATACAGAGGAGGTATACTGGAATGTAGCACTACCCTATACATGTACACTACTCTATACCTTGCCCCCCCCCCCCCCCCCCCCTAACCACACACACACGTACACTAATGTACAACAGCATCCCTGTGTCCTTTGAAACAGAGGCCGACTCTCTTGCACCGGTAAAGTGCCGCACAATGCAAGTACAAATGCCTACACCAGCAGTATACTCAGTATACTGGACATGTGCAATCACGATGATGCCATGTCGTCCATACGTCCATACCTGCCCTGTGTGCGAATAAGAGCTGGCGAGTGACTTGGAGCGGGGCTGATTCGCGGTGCTGGCGTGTCATGTCTTGAGAGAGATGGCGTTGACGAGGGTGTGTTCAAGCCGACTTCATCCATGGGCGCAGCACTAAGACTAGCCGTAACATCCGCCTCGCGCAGTGCTGCGCTGGCTTCCGGGTCAGCACTCACATCAGCCGGCTTGATTTCAACTGGATCTGTTTCAGGGGAAGGTGTCCTTGCTTCATCCACTACCAGTGGTATTTTGGCACTGGACATTTCCTCCGAGATACCAACGTCCATCACGGCATTGCCAGACACACCCGCAGATGGAGGTTGATCCAGGAGGGCGCCTTGGCTTAGGAAACTTGCGTCCTTGATATCTATACTCTCCATGGTGGCATTGACGTCGTGAAGCTGGCTACTGGTGCTACCAATGCCTCGGGTGTTCAGCGTACTCCCTGCTGCCACTGCTGCTACGTTGTCCGCAAGTGTACCTTGCTGTTCACTGGCCTTCTCTACTGCGTCTTCAGTTTCTGCTGGCAGCTCGTCACCACCACTGGCAGCCAGGGTGAGTGCTGGTGTGGCAGTGCCCTCCTCTGCATTGAGTGTAGTCTCTTCTATACTGGAGCTGGTTGACTTCGTCGTGTTGCCGGTATTGGTGGTTGACCGTTGTGGTGCTGCACAAGTGCATACACATAATACAGAAAGCAGCACAAGAGAGACAGTGGAAACTGGTGTTAGTATCTTGAAAAAAGCCAGACTCTATTTGTACAGAGGCAGTGTTCAAGAAAACCAGAGTGTGTAGCTTCCAGATGGGTATCTGTTATGGCAAATTTCCTGGATCACTGACCAGGGTTACCACAGATAAGCAATGGGAAGTGGCGTAGTGCGTACAACTGAGCTTCAGCTATGTAGCAGAATACCTATTTGAATCTTGCTAGCGAGCACTGCATCATAAAAATGGCCTCATCCAGAATTTTCTACAACAGCAACCCATTCGAGCTGCACACTCTTGCGAGTAGAGTCTGAGCGCTAGTGCCTAGGAACAATGGCTTGGTGCAATGTAGAGCAGAGCCATTACATGAATGCTCTTAACCCTTTACCATCTAACCAAAATTCCCCAGCAGTCCCAAATGCATTAATTCTGACCTTATTTTGAGAATATCTTCGGCTCTAATCAACCAATTTTCACAATCTTGGGCATTCTGGAAAGCTCTCCACGAGCTGCGTACATTGAGCTCCAACAGGACACTACCGAGATCACATATCCAGCGCCAGGGAGCTTCAAATACACCCCATCGTTGGATACACGAGGAAATTCTCTCCTCGCCAGCCATTTCACGCTCCTTCATCGTAAACATTCCTATTTTTTGCTTGAGTTTCTTTTCATGCTGCCCGTGCGCTCAAAGCATGCCAAAATGACTCAGCATGTCAGGAGAGGGAAATTCCCCGCTCAAGGTCAGTCACTCGGAAAGAAATTCTACTTTTGCCGTGGCTGAAATGTCGAGCGTAATATCTTTGGAATGCGACATCGCAGCTCTTCACCGATCGATGCAATGGAAAGCTGGAAAGCTGGACAGCTGGAAAGCTGGGCTCTTTGGCTTCTTCCTAGATACTTTTAATTCCGCCAGGAATCGATCGAGTTACGAATGTTTTAGTGTATGCATGTCCATCGATCTCTAGAGACCGATTCAAGTAGGCACGGATGGTAAAGGGTTAACGATACATCTCGGAGCACAGGAGTACATGTATTGGCATAATACAGTTTTACAGTCATCGTCTACTTATGCCAAGCCATCTGTATTGGGAGGTAGGCATAAATATGTTTGGTGCAAGTAAGGTACCATGAAACACGCGACACACCCACATCCACACATGCACGCACGCACACACACACGCCACACACGTACACGCACACACACACACACACACACACACACACACACACACACACACACACACACACACACACACACACTCACCAGGACTGGCCGTTCGAAGCGTAGGGTGTCCATCGGAGGCCAGCCGGGTTGCCTTCATACGGGACCGCCAGTTCAGGATGGATTCCAGCAGCTCAGGCTTACGTCGCATCCACATCTCAAACTCCTACAGACAGGCCCACACAGATGAACAGAGCAATTGGCCTTGACAATACTGTGTAGGCAAACTGAGAAAACACTCCTCAAGTATGACTCAGAGAGTGAGCTGAAGAGCACAAGGAAACACCACTAAAAGTCATCAGGTATGGATCATCACACCAAGTATACTGCTAGTGCTGTTGTTTCTCATTCTGAATTAGGCTAGAGCGTGTTCTGGTGGGTGTGGGGTGTGGGGGGGTGAGAGAGAGAGAGAGAGAGAGAGAGAGAGGGGGGGGGGGGGGGATAGGGATAGGGAGAGCGAGAGACAGAGGGAGAGACAGAGAGACAGAGGAGCATGACAGTGTTGAACATGTACGTAATACAAGAATATAGTTTCAAAGTACTTACATTGGAAAGCAGTTTTCCATTGCCAGTGAGGTCACATGTTGTGAAGGCTTCATCCACAGTGCTGTGCACAAGCAACACACCGCCCAGTTAGGGCCGGGATCCACTGCGGCTCCGCTGCTCGTCTTTCGCGGCTTGAAACGTCATCATTACCATAGTGACCGCGGCTCGAGCTGGAGCAGCGAGTCCGCGGCTCACCGCGAGCTTTTGCTACGATTCTTGACCAAAAACTGCGAGCCGTGGTCGCGGCTCGACCTGTTTCCCGTACTTTGCATTGTTTTGTACGCCAGCATTTTAAAATTCAAATTTTAATTTGTTGCGCAGGCCAGAACACGAGGATTTTTTTGATTTCGCGCGCGCGCGCACGCGCGCACGCGCGCAGGCAGGTGAAACGTCATCAAAAAGTGTGGAGCACGACCGCGGTACCGCGAATGGCGAGTGTCAGTGGAACCGCCCTGCTCCGCTGCATGCAGCCAAGTGTCGCGGAGCAGCGGAGCCGCAGTGGAACCCGGCCCTAAGGGAATACACATTACCACAGACACTGACAGCAGTAGCAGCAGCAGCAGAAGAAGCTCCTAGCAATTGAGCACTGTACCAGTCACGACAACTAACTAACTTCTAAAACCATAGATCTTCCCCTGGAGAGAAGTAGTCTACAGCTGGCTGGTGGTCAGGCAAGCATGGTTATCTCCTCATGTCAACAGGAATTACAAGCACCAGCCAGCAGTCAGCTTCAGAAACTACGTCTAAAGTACTTCCGAAAAGCAGCCACAGTGTCAAGAACAGCCGACTGAGCTAGTATCGGTTTACCAAATCACCGAAATAAGCACTTCTCAGACTTTATCGCAGGACCAATTAATTGCCAGGCAATTTGGCATATCTTTCAGAGTGCGCAATACTGGAGTAGTGGTACAATATGTGCATTAGTATTCACTTCAACTTCTACAAGTTCTACTCTAGGTAGCAGTACACTTGTGTTCTACTCTAGGTAGCAGTACACTTGCAGTACACTTGTGACAGTCTTACCGCTTAACAGTTTCACTGAGTGTCTCTCCCTCCAGTACAGCGTTGGCACGTGGAGACAACGCCTTCACAATGGTCAGCGCAGACTCAAGCGTGGCGTGCAGCATGAACTGCAGCTCGTCACGGCTCACTCCCTCATCACCAGCCTACACACACACACACACACACACACACACACACACATGCATCCAAATATATGCACATGTACAACAGTACAACAGTATAGTGTATAGTGTGTATACAGCCGTGAGTGTGTATATTACAGCCGTGAGTGTGTATATTACAGCCGTGAGTGTGTATATTACAGCCGTGTGTATATTACAGCCGTGAGTGTGTATATTACAGCCGTGAGTGTGTATATTACAGCCGTGTGTATATTACAGCCGTGAGTGTGTATATTACAGCTGTGAGTGTGTATATTACAGCCGTGAGTGTGTATATTACAGCCGTGAGTGTGTATATTACAGCCGTGTGTATATTACAGCCGTGAGTGTGTATATTACAGCCGTGAGTGTGTATATTACAGCCGTGAGTGTGTATATTACAGCCGTGAGTGTGTATATTACAGCCGTGAGTGTGTATATTACAGCCGTGTGTATATTACAGCCGTGAGTGTGTATATTACAGCCTTGACAAGCAGCCAGGCGTCAGACCCATTGGGATCGGCGAGGTCGTTCGAAGGATAGTTGGAAAAGCCATTCTCTACATCACCGGGCCTGCAGTTGAAGCCGCGACCGGTTGCCTTGACAAGCAGCCAGGCGTCAGACCCATTGGGATCGGCGAGGTCGTTCGAAGGATAGTTGGAAAAGCCATTCTCTACATCACCGGGCCTGCAGTTGAAGCCGCGACCGGTTGCACCCAGCTGTGCGCAGGCCAGGAAGGAGGCATCGAAGCAGCCATACACGCCATGCGCACTGCCTTCGCCGACGAGGCAACAGAGGGTGCCTTGTTTGCCGACGCTTCCAATGCATTTAATCGCATCAACCGGGACGTATGCCTGCGCAATGTCCAATGCCTGTGTCCTGAGCTGGCGACAACTCTTGTCAACACATACCGAAGCCCTGCCCAGCTATTTGTGGATGGCGAGACAGTGTGGTCTTGTGAGGGCACCACCCAAGGGGACCCGCTCGCCATGGCCATGTATGCTATCGCCACAATCCCCCTCATTGAAGAATGCCGTAGCAGTGGAGCCACCCAGAGTTGGTACGCCGATGACGCTACAGCAGCGTCAACACTGCTGCCACTTCGCCACTGGTGGGACATCCTATCGCAGCGCGGTGAGGCCTATGGATACTTCCTCAACCCGGAGAAATCCGTACTACTAGTGAAGCCTGCACATCTCGAGCGTGCCACTGAATTGTTCGCTGACACACGTATCCAAGTCCGCTCAGATGGGTACCGACATCTAGGTGCAGCACTCGGCACCCCGGAATTTGTAGCGGCTTATGTCACGGGCAAGGTGAACACATGGTGCAAGGAGGTTGACAAGCTGTCTACATTTGCCCACTCCCAGCCGCATGCAGCGTATTCCACCTTTACGCACGGTCTACGGCATCGCTGGGCATTTGTTGCCAGGACAGTACCCAACACAGCTACCCTGCTGGAGCCCTTGGAGCAGGCGGTTGTACACCTGCTACTCCCAGCCCTCCTCGGTCGCCCCTCTCCAGGCTCTGCCGAACGGAAGATCCTGGCTCTACCATGTCGCTTGGGTGGCCTGGGACTAATCATCGTCTCTTCGTTAGCAGAACAGTTCCATTCATCCTGCCACATCACCCAAACGCTGGTTGAGGGAATCCTCTCTGGCATGTCCTACCTGCCCGACGTCACGCAGCTTACGCTGCACAGGAAGTCCGAAGTCCGCAGCCGACAGCGGAATAAGGAGTCAACCATCGCCAAGGATGTCGTCTCAGCCGCTTCACAGGAATTGCAGCGTTGTGTGGAGCTTGCTTCGCTGAAGGGGGCCTCCAATTGGCTCACGTGCCGACCACTGAAAGTCCACGGCTTTTCCCTCAGCAAGGCTGGCTTTCGCGACGCCATCCATGTTCGCTATGGCTGGGTCCCCCCAATGCTGCCGTCCGCCTGCGTCTGTGGTCAGGCATTCAGCACCGCGCATGCCCTGTCGTGCCCTATTGGAGGGTATCCGTCACTCCGGCATAACGAGCTGCGAGACATCACCGCCTCACTGCTTTCACGCGTCGCACATGACGTAAGTGTGGAGCCGTCTCTCCAGCCACTTTCCGGGGAACGGATGAGGTATCGTACTGCAATCAGCGAGGATGGCGCCCGCCTAGATGTTGCTGCCAGCGGGGTGTGGGGCGGCCGTTTCGAGAGGACATTCTTTGATGTCCGGGTATTTAACCCTTTTGTCCGATCGAACACCGCTCCCTCCCTCAACAGCACGTTCACTAAGCACGAGAAGGAGAAACGGCGACACTATGAAGAGCGTGTTAGGGAAGTAGAGAAGGCATCGTTCGTCCCCTTGGTGTTTTGTGCCTCCGGTGGTCAAGGCAAGGCTGCCTCTGCTTTCCTCAAGCGCATTGCATCAATGCTGGCCGAGAAGCGGAAGGAACCGTTCTCCATGGTGATGGCTCACCTCCGTTGCCGCCTAGGGTTTGCCCTCATCAGATCGGCGATTGCAAGCTTAAGAGGTCATCGATCCAGGCGAGCACCTTTGGATCAGCAGCTGGAGTGCCCCTCTGCTCTAGTGAATGCTGAGTGTCGTCTGGGTTAACCCTCAACTCTTGTTATATGGCTGTATTGTTTTCGCTATTAGTTAGTTTTCTTTGTTATGATTTCTTTTTTTCTTTTTCTTTTTACCAGGCGTGGGCCATCCCCTGAATTCATAGGTGCCAAACATTTTTTTTCTTTAGTTTTCTTTGTTATGATTTCTTTTTTTCTTTTTCTTTTTACCAGGCGTGGGCCATCCCCTGAATTCATAGGTGCCAGACATTCTTTTTTCTTTCTTTTTCTTTTTACCAGGCGTGGGCCATCCCCTAAATTCATAGGTGCCAACTCTTTAAAAAAAAGTACAAAGAGTACGTATATTACAGCCGTGAGTGTGTATATTACAGCCGTGAGTGTGTATATTACAGCCGTGAGTGTGTATATTACAGTAACGTTAAATGCTCAAATGGCCATAACTGATGCTATGCATAATCATATGCAAAAAGAAAGCCATGCAGACAGTGGGAACATTGGAACACTGGCACAATAGTTACATAGCCATGGTCTTTATAGACCTGTACCACCACATACTCACAAACACTCAGACACACACATGCAGACACACACACACACACACACATGCAGACACACACACACACACACATGCAGACACACACATGCAGACACACACACACACACACACACACACACACACACACACACACACACCACAGACCTTAGACCTGCCCATCGCGGAAGCGATGATAGCGAACAGTTATGTTAGACATAGCAACTTGTGCAGGGATTACACCATTCAACAGCTTCCAAGGCTGATGAATAGACCGCTTCTGGCCAGTGAATCCCTATTTTTCATTTTTTTTTCACACACACACCAGGAGAATGTGACTAGCCCAAGTTACAGTTACAAGTTACAGAAGCAATATTGAATGAATACGTGCACTGCAAGTCTACAGCACGACATGCATACTGCACCAGCACCAGCACACCACTACGTCAAGACAGAGTGACAACTTACCAGGTTGAACATATTGAACAAGAGCTCACAGAGTGACAACTTACCAGGTTGAACATATTGAACAAGAGCTCACAGAGTGACAACTTACCAGGTTGAACATATTGAACAAGAGCTCACAGAGTGACAACTTACCAGGTTGAACATATTGAACAAGAGCTCACACTTGTCACTAGTCGTGCCATGCAGGCACACAGCTAAGCCACGGGCAAACTCCTCAAATGAAACTACACCATTCTGAGGAACAAGCAAGACACACAAAGAGAACAAAGCAAGGTTGAGAGCAGGAACACGACAGCACTGATATTGGCAGCTGAATTTTTTACTCATTTCATTGTCAACAATTTAGGAGAATCATCTTCTTGGAGGCAAAACGTCATGAGACTAATGGATAACACACGTTAAAGGCTCTTTCCATTCAACATTTCAAAATGTCCACAAGCACGTTCATTGCCTTCACTTCAGGTGAGCAGTAGGTAAATTAGCAATAACAAAACACAGAATAAGGAGTGAGTGATGATTCTCACGCACATGAAAACAAAACAAATCCTACAGTCGTGCATTAGTGCATTAGTGCTGTACGTGTGAAGACATGTGATCAGCATGGCATGCATTGTGATAGGTTAGAACACATAATCAACATAGAACATACGAGGATGTGGGAAATAGCAGACACTAAGCAGTATGCACACCATACAACACTAATACACTAGCACAAGTCACACGGGATTTTCTTTTTACAATGCAACACAATATTGTGGAAAGTACACAACATTAAGAGACGAGATCAAGAGGAAAGCTTTACAACAATAATACATGTAGTAATAATAAAACATAGCCTGTAAAATGTAAAGAATTACACGTGATACATGTAGCAGTGAGTTTCACACAGCTCTTGCATGCCATATCACTTTCAGGTGGTATGGATCTGCTTGCTCAGTCGTGCGCACAGCACGCCTCAGACAATGGGCAGGTCATCGCGCAAGGGAACAATGGTAAACTATGCAGCAATAGTAGTTTGTGCTGGGATTGCACCATTCTGCAATATGCTCTGTGGATAGACAGTGAGGCTGGGTACCCGAGAACCTGCTCGCGAAATATCCGACCCGACAAGTAAAGGCTGGCACTCGATAAGGGATAAGGCGCGACAGCGAATGTGCGTACAGTCAGACCTCGCTTAACCGCACACATCCACTTTCCACAAAATATCCGGATAGGCAAGGGAACCGGATAATCGAACACAGATACTGTATGTATGCATGTCAGATGCTGTAAATCGGTAACCAACGATTTTCTTCCGGATAGCGAGGGATCCGGATAAGAGAGGACCGGATAAGCGAGGTCTGACTGTATTTCCTGTCCAGCAGAGGCCTGCATGCGAATGTGCGTGCACTTGAGGGTTCATAAAATCCTGTGTTAGCCCCCTCAATCCTTGTTCATCCTTGGTTGAACAAGGACGAATAGGTAGTTTTTGTTTGTTTGTTTTCCTTTACTTCGAGTACTTTCTATTCTCTACTTCTTTATGATCTCTCAGCCGTGGTTGGTTTTCACCTGCTCCTCTTTGATTGGCAACTACATGCCATGGGATAAGGAATAAATAAATACCGCATTTTCTGGAATGTAAGCCACACGCTAACACTCGTAATTCCCCCAAAACTAATAACTAATTAAGTCTCTGTGCGGCCTATACTGAGATGGTCATGAATGGAGACATACATGTACATGGCAGATGTCTGTATCTCGTGACAAAAAAATCTGGGTGTAGCTTACTCCAGAAAATACGGTAAAAAAAGAAGGCGCCACAGATTCTAGCACATGCTAGTACTAAACTGTAGCTAATGCTGCAAGAGTCATGGTGTTTGCAGGTGCTGTGTCCACTGCCTGGTGCGGCTCAAGTTGTGCACGGCCAGAGTAGAGGACGCATGCACCAACGGCGCTGCAGATAAGATGCTTGACATGTGCTCAACTGTTGTGGCTCATCCCAAGCTTAGTAACGTCCACTATTTCAAAGTATGGTGTGGCACATTGAATACTACCAGCAGCAATCGTGATGTTCATGCACATCTGGGTGTGGTAACTTTCAATTACGTACATGACGTTTCTCATATCAAGAAATTATTAATCGTGAAGAGCTTAATTCACCTTTTCGGTATCGAACGCCTCGAAGAGCCGGTCCCCAAGGATAACAGGTACTTGGAAATGACGGGAAAATGCAGCACGATCCAGCAGCACGCCACGCTTGCCTTTGCTCTCTGAGTACAATTCGTTGAATTGATGGCCAATCACAGCCAGACGTACAGCACCGAGTTCTCGAAGCTCAACGCACTCCTCCTCATCCTCCTTTGACAAACCCTGCCCCATGATTGGTCAGGTTCGCATTGACTCCTCCAAGAACCAATAGACGGAATATAATAATAGTCCTGAGAGAAAGAAACGAAAGTCCTGAAAGTCTCCCATTCAGTGACACCTCAGAACCAAAAATTCATGTGGAAATGGAAAATAACTTTTTACGTTTGAATAATTGCACTCTTTTCGAAATACGAAAATATTGAGCTGCATTTTACTTGTTGTGATGATACTTGTGTCATAGCAAGAGAAACTAGTGAATCAATCAGTTCTCTGCTTGAATTGTTTTCAGCATGGCTAAGAAACTTCAGCTAACGCTGGCCGTCTTGAAGCCGGACATGATGGTCAACCCATTCCGTGCCAAGGTGTGCTGACATCGAAGCTAAATTATTTGTCTCAAGTCCATAGTATTGCTGCTCCACTTGTAAACTCCATATGAAATTTAGGCATACTGTATGTACACCCTGTGTCATTTCGTCGTTAGCTGATTGTTATGCGACATGAGTCGCGCGAGAGGATTTACTATGAATCAGATATAAGTGCGTCTATTTTGAATTCTAGAAGTTCAGGAAATTGTGAATATGGCTTATGATCCAGTAACTGACAAATCGATACCAGTATGTAACTATAGGGTTGAGGATATGGCTCTCAAGTTTGGCAATATGATTCTTTAGGTGGCTGAAATAGTGTGAATGCGATGGTAATAACTGAACACTGGATTTGCAACACATTGTATTCATCCTGCATCAATATGACTGAGGACCATGAAACCTACAATTATTACTCGCAACTGAAATACTATTGTCACATGACAAACAATCTCTTCCGCAGGCTGTCAAAGAGCATATCATCAACAATGGTTTCTTAATCGTGCGCTCTCGCTTGGTCAAGTGGAAGGTGGAAGATGCTGAGAAGTTTTATGCCGAACACGAAGGTATGCATGGGTTTAGATTTCGGAATGGCATTGGGGAACGGATACAGGTACATGTACTTGTGAAGTCACAGAATAGTACACTACACACTCCAGTCCATTGCTTGTTTTGCATAGGTATGTACATGTACTACAATTTATTCCTGTAGCTATGCAGAATCTGCGCCTTGATCCAAGAGGGTGGTGGCGTTCCTGCGGATGTGGAAAACTGGGCCTTTGGCCGAGTCTCACGCGAACCGTGAATTTTTTTTATTTTTTTTATGCAGAAGACGTTACTTCAGTAACATCTGGCGCTAGCCAGGGTCCACACAGCTTTAATTGTATACCACTGCACGTCTGTTTGTTTGACTTCTATAATTTGGTTGTCTGGTCTGTGTGTTGGTTTAGGCCGATTCTTCCATTCGCGTCTTCTTTGCAGCATGACCAAGTAAGGCAATGCAGGATTGTTTGTAGTAAATCACTATAAAAGAACTGTTGATACATGTACAAAAGAACTGTTGATACATGTATAAAAGAACTGTTGATACATGTACATGTAACGCCTAGCACAATCCATGCTACGGGAAAGTGCCAGCCAGCTGGTCCAGCCTAGGAAAAACGGCAGTCACATGTGGAACACTAGACTCGAGTGAGCTCGCCCATGAGGGCCTTGCATTTAAGGTGATGGTACATGTAGTTTTGAGGTTTTTTTTGTTTCAACGAGCTCTTGTTTGCATGCTACTGCATTGCGACTATTGCTTTCTGCAGCATGGTGATGAACCCGTTGATTCTTGCACATCCGGATGCCATCAAGGCATGGCGAGCTCTGATGGGCCCGACCAAAGTGTTACGGTAAAGCCATCCCGCCAATGTCATGTGTGTGTTTGTGTATCTGTCTGTCTGTCTGAGTGTGTCTGTGAGTGTGTGTATGTGTGTGTATGTGTGTGTGTGTGTGCATGGCGTGTATGATCAGCATACAATGCCGATGTATACCAATCAGTCGGTGTGCAGTGTACGTAACCATGGCAACCTGTGCTCTGCCCGCACATGCACCCATCCCTAGCTATGGTCCCTAGCACATGCACCCATCCCTAGCTATGGTTAGGACTCTGAGAATTGTCTTGTCGGTCAACTTGGAACGTGTAGTTTGAAGTGCAGTACTGCTCAAGGAAATCCAATCGTGTGAGTTGAGGACGTGCCAGATGCTGAGCAGCCCAAGAACTGCAAACACTGGGCTATGAACCAGTACAAGGCACGCACTTGACTTGCACGACCAAATTTCATTAAAATATTGTACAGGACAGCGATGGATCCAGCGATCTCTACAGGGGGTTCCAGTAAAGTCAAAACTGAATAGCTGATACATGTGCATGGACACGCATATGGTTGCCAGAGTACACTTACGATATTTAGGGGGTTCCGCGGAACCCCTGGAACCCCTCCTGGATCTGCCCTTGCAGGATGATGAGCTTGTGACATTGAAAGCTCAGACGAAATCTGACACGATCGGGAGGCATATTCGCAAACCTGGTGATTGGCATTGCGTTTCCTTTGTCCATTTGCTTGCTGCAGTGGTCTAGTGGAGCAGCCGAACACAATGCGTACTATGTATGGATTCACGGACACGCGTAATGGACTGCACGGTGCAGGTGAGCTCCCAGAAAACACGTGTCTGCTGACAGCTGTTCATACCTCTGGTAGCTGCTGCTGCTGGATAGAACCTGGTAGAATTCTGTAAGCCTTGGTTGATAGTTACCTTCAGTCAGAGCATTGCATTTCCTTGTGCTTGCATTCCTCTTCTGCAGATTCGGAGGAGTCTGTTCGACGGGAGATCCCATTCTTCTTCAAGGACTTTGATGTAGACAAATGGATTGCGGAAGAGGAGCATCGCTACCGCGCTGAAACCCCAAGATACGATCCTCACCAAGGCGTGCATACATTTGAGCCACTCCCAAGTGCCGCGCATATCACGGGGAAGCTTGCAGAAACTGCCAAACCAGTATCCTAAGGCACAGTGTCCTGCCCATGCAATCATGACTTCAAGCTCACAGCCACACTGATGCAGCATCAGCAGCAGCAATGGTAGTGTGTGCCCTGCAATCCTCGCCCATGCTCAAGCAACCGTGTCAGGTGCTTCAAGGTACCCACGCCGTGGACAGCTGATACAGGAAAGGCCGAGAAAGCAAAAAAAACGTCACCTGCTCTTGGTAGGTCGACAGTGCTCTTGGCGCAGCACATACCTGTTACGTGTACTAGACGGGTATCACATGCTCTTCTAGTGCCGGCGAGGGTCACACTCTCCACAGGATTTGCCCAGCAAAGCTAATCTTGCCAGCCCTGGCAGTCAACGTGTCATTACTGGCCTGCTTTTGGCCAACACGGGCACAGAACTTCACAGACATTAACCCTGTTTGGATATCAACTTGCTTTATTCTGCTTGTCATATTATAATACAGCATACCAGGCTGGATGAAAACACTATTGAATGAAAATGTAAAAAAAATTATTGACAATGAATTATGGAGGATTAGTGGAGTTAAAATTTCTCATTTCCGGTTCAATATTCGTAACGGACGTCGTCGTCAATGGAGTAAGGACTTGGGCAATACTATTCGTGTGTGATCTGATGGTTTCATGGTCATTATGCTAACTTTGCCATATCACACCAATGCTAACAAACACTGCAGTATAGACAGCCTATAGATGATGAACACAGCAGCAGCAGCTGCAGCTGCAGCAGGTAGTACATGTAGTAACTACAATATCTACATATCTACATGACCGTCTGTGCTGCTGCTGCTGCTGCTGCTGCTGCTGCTGCTGCTGCTGCTGCTGGCCTACTGTAATAGCCATCGTTGTGCAGAACGAAAAAGGACCGTGCTAAACAGACACCGACAAACAGACAGGCACATCGATTGGCAGGGGGAATTTGGGGGGGGGGGGGGAAGGGGATCGACAAGGAGTATTTCTACTATAAATAGTGTGATGACAACAGTGAGCAGCTGCCAGTGCATGGACAAATTACCAAACGTACTAACAGTTTAAAAGACTGATGATAAAAAGTGTTGTGTTGTACAGCAAAGAGAAAGGTTGAGCCTGCAGCTTGCGATGAGGAACTATGGACTTGGCCAATACTTGGGCTTGGCGATGATGATGATGGTACATGCTTAGAAAACGGTGAGGTCTTCGTGAGATGAGCTGAACTTCCAGGGAGCAGCAGCGGCCGCCTCTCTCTGCTGCGCTGACAGACCAGCTGGCAGCGCTAACGTGCTCGCAGCCGTAAGGGTTTGAGACACAGCGTTCCTAGAACACACAAACACATGCGCACACACAGTTCCTTCGCATGAAATGCCAACAATGGTACCTCCCTCCCAGAGAGTTTATGAGCATATGACACTGCAAAGAAATGGGTACTGTGTGTCACAGACACACTCCTGTCATTCTCAACAGAATACTAGTTCTAACCTACTGGATCTCTTCTCTCTACCGATGTAATGCACACCCACAAATGCGCACATGTGCACACCCATAAACACACGCGCGCGCGCGCGCGCACACACACACACACACACACACACACACACACACACACACACTTGTACTTGCTCACCACCATTACTGTCACGCACGCACACGTACATGCACAGGATGTCTTCAAGCAGAAAAAAGCAGGCATGCAGTTCATACATGTGATCCACACACAAGCTAGAAGTGAAGAACCAAGCTTAATCCAATACTGCCTGACAAAAGGACACGGCACACAATGACTTACTGAGCAAGACGCTCGACTAACTCCTGGAATTTCATCTGTGCATCAGCATTCTGCAGAAGAAAAGCAAGAACAACACACAACTCACAAAAGTCAAGAGGCAGCATTAAAACGATGTATATAATGGGGTGACGTCGTATCTGCATTATTAAAAGGAGACAACCACAATAGTGCTGAACCACAAGGCACGAGAAAAAGAAAAAATGCACAGGGGCCATCCAATCGGACCTCTCTTCCTTCATAACTGCATTCTCCAATGATGTTACCGAATGGTGTGAACAATACAAACACCAAAGCACTCACCCTGCGAAGAGCTTCTTCTGTAAGCTCCTCGAAGCTAGTTGGCAGCAGAGCGGGTTTCTCAGGAGTAGTCTCTGCGGGACAATATTACAAGAGATGCATGTAGCTCATTAGAAACTACCGGTACACAACACACCCAAGTGAAGCACTAGCACTTGTAGTCTGCAGCGTAGAACTGAACACTGTACATTAGAAACTTGTACAAGTAGACACCAGTGCATGTATAGGCAGGAGGGTAAGCAGCAGCTTTTAGTTGCTGCTGCAGTGAGTGAGGTCGGACGCAGAGCGCATGTGCCTGGAGTTTGGACTAAACTATACATATACATGATAATTATACGGAAAGCAGCAAGCAGATCTTCAACCGTACTTTTTAACACTGTGTACACCGGTACAGAGAAGTACTGGTAGTCAACACAGTAGCTGATACACACCGAATATTAAGTGCCAGGCGGGCATCCTTTTTCATTGTGCACACATTCAACCTACCCATTGACTTCATAATGGACGTGAAGGACACATGTTCGCTGCTCTGTGCATCGACCTTCTGTAAAGACAATGCGTAGCAAACACGAGAATAAGTGTTACAACATCACCCATTCCCTAAAGGACAGGTATAACTTCATGGTTGTGTTGTCAGCGACTAGCAAAATACCAGTATTCTGCTACAGTCCATTCATAAAAAGATGGGTCCTGGCTCTGGCGAGCTCCCGTATTTGGCGATTTTTCGTGATTTCATCGTACACAGTGCAGTGCTGCGAACTTTGAAATTTGAAAAAGGGTCCAAAAAGGGTGCCTGAACTGGGGTTCGAACCGCAGAATGCACTGTTGCAGGCGGGGTCAAACGGCCTGGATTTTGATGGTTTTTCCCAATTCAGTGCTTGTTCACAAGATCCAGTATGCATGTAGATAGTAGTGCTGTGGATGACCAACTGCTTAGTATTATCAAGAGTAGATAAACAAGAGTGTGCAACTCGCGGATGGGTTGGCCCACGGCGGAATTTTTTGTTGACGTAATCTTTTCGACGACGCACGCACTGCGAGCCTTTTGGAGAGGTTTCCCTCGTGCACTTGGCCGGGCTTTACACTACAAGGTCGGTGCCCAGCACGTGCTCTCACACTGCTCTGCGGCAAAGTCCGCGTTTCTGAAAAAAAGGTGACGTCAACAAAAAATTCCGCCGTGGGCGGGGGTATCTGCAGATTGTGCAGGAGAGATCCGGAGTTGCACACTCTTGTTTATCTACTCTTGGTATTATGCATATCCAATGATTCATGTTCCCGCCAGATCCCGCTGTTTGGCACGTGTGAGTGCTTGTTTTCCCGCCAGATGCTGCTTTTGGCACGTGTATGTGCCGCGTTTGGGCACCGCACGGAGTAGGTTTGGTTCTGTTGTGTTTTGGTGCTGCCGTACTTTTCTTCAGGGCTTTTTCTTTGTTTTGTTACGTTTTTGATATCGTTCCATCAGGTTGAAGAAACAGAAGATTCAGTTGTCTCCCAAATCGCTCTCTTGGTCTTGTAACCAAATTGGTAGCAGAGGATGGTTTTAAGAGATAGTTTTGAGCGATTAGATGGAGAAGTCAGTTTTGTCGGAGCAGTCCGACGGCACGCCTGCGATGGCTGAAGAGTATTCGGTTTCGGGAGGAGCTGCGCCGGGGGAGTTGTCAAAGGACGACCAGGCCGCCAGCTCGGGCCGGGATCGACGGCCAGATACAGGCATTGAGCATGAGGATGACAGGTCCTCCGACGAAGAAACTCCAAGCTACCAAAAGACGGAGTACGACATGAGAATAGTGAAGATCGAAGCTAAAACGGAATTCACCAACTTCCGTCGCGGACTGCTCGTGAGAGTTGCAGCAGGACAGACGATATCCACAGAGGACATGGATCAATTATCCAGACTCCACACGCGAGCAGTGGATGCCACGGGTGATGTTCTGGAAGCGGTTATGTCGAACTGGTCAGATGAGACCAGTGCATGGAAGGAGCGAACAAAGCTCATCACGGAATTGGAGAAGTTGGAAGTGCAGTTCTCTGCAGCCGTGGAAGGAGCGATAACCAGTACTTCCCAAGCTCTGCTGGGCCAAGCGCTCCACCAAGGGCAGGACTGGAGTTTTGGCACTACTGCTGGTGGTACTAGTGATGACGTGCAGGACCGGCCAGGGCGTGGATCCAGCAGTGGACTATTTGACTCAAATCCAGTGCACAGTTACAGTGGAAGTCAGTATCCACTTGACCAGCCCAGCTATGAGTGGCTCAGCTCAGGAGGCTCTTCAGGTCCACTTCCTCCATTAGTGCCAAGTGACAGCCTACTGTCAGCCACACCTGGCAATCACCCAAGTGCAAGTACAGGCACGGGTACTGGTAGTGCTAGTGGTGAGCATGATGCAGGTACTGCAGCCACCCCTCCAGTAGCCACTACAGTCAGCAGTAGCACCGGTCTTGGCTCAAGGAGTGCCAGCAGGGCTGTTACAACTCTGCCCCTGCTTGCTTCATCTGCAGTATCTGCTCCGTTATCCAGCGGCACAACCGGAACTGCTGGAAAACCCAGTTCTACGGCCACCACATCTCAAGTTGGGGGGAATGGTGACAAGAAGGCAGTGCATTTCAGCCAGTCAACGAAGCAATCAGCAGCAACCCCGATGACCATGTCCAGCACCCAGTCGCGGGGTACAACACCACCCGGATCATCTATTCACGATCTGAGGCCTACCGCCAGCAGTTTTACGCCAGGCCGTATGGCCGCTGCAACAGCTCCACCAAGGATGCCAGCCGTCCACCCTGGAGTCACTTCCAACCAGCCGTCAGCCGGACACCACAGCATGAATAACCCAGCTGCAGCCTCGCTATCAGCAGCCTCCCGCACCACGCACTAGCCTGCTCCATGGGCCCACATGCAGAGGATTGCCATCCCTGTATTCGAGGGCGAGAAACGGCACTTTCATTCGTGGTGGGCGGCATTCTCATCGTGCGTTGACGTCGCACCTGTCACGGTCGAGTCCAAGATGCTGAGACTCCGGCAGTATCTCAAAGGTGAGCCGCTAAAAGCGATTGACAGCTTTGGCTATTCGGCGGCGGCCTATGAAGCAGCAAAGGCGTTGCTTCAGCGCAAGTATGGTGGCGAGCGGCGTCGGGTGGCAATCCACCTCGAGGAGATTGGACAGTATGAGGCAAGTGCGTTATGGCAAGGCAAAAGAGCTGGAACAGTTCGCTGACTTGTTGTCAGTAGCCGTGGTGAACCTCAAGGATGCCGGGAGGAGTGCGGAGCTGGGGGCGGGCACGTTCTACTACATGCTGCTCCGAAAGCTCGATGAGCGAATTGTTGCACGATATCATCGCTGGCGCTACGATCACACATCAGCCGAATCTGTAGAGGGATTGCTAGAGTTCTGCCTACTGGAAGCGGAATTCTTGGTGACTGCGTCAGAGACAATTACTGGGTTTGGTACGAGCGCCAGCAGCAAAACCGACCAATCCCGCGTTATCAGGGACCATCGACAAGACAAGCCGAGGACACTGGTGACTACCAGCCAGCCGACATCTACCTGTACGGTCTGCCACGGTGCACATAAGACATGGCGGTGCCTGACATTCAAGTCGGCGAACCCCAACAAACGGTGGAAAATCGCAAAGGAGAAGAACTTGTGCTTCCGTTGCCTGGAGACAGGGCACAGCAGCAGCGCCTGCTCATGGGGGCAGCCGTGTGGTATCAGCGGGTGCACCAAGGCACACCATCGTCTGTTGCATGGTACACAGACGCCAGCATCTCAGGCCCAGACGTCACCTACAAGGCCATTCAACGTTCAGCCGCACTTTGCTCAGAAGCCAGCAACAAGTGACGCCGGCGCCACTGGAACAACTCTGTCTACATCGCGAGCAGGGAAAGCCGTAGCTATGCGGACCGTGCCAGTTGTCGTGAGAAATGGCGAGACTGAGCTCCGGGTGAATGCGCTTCTCGACGATGCGAGCACTAACTCGTACGTCAGCTCCCATGTGGCCAATGAACTTGGGCTTACTGGCGAAGAGGAGACATTGACGGTCAAAGTCCTGAGCGGACGCACAGAGATCTTCCGAACGACACCAGTCATGGTGGAGCTCAAGAGCGTCGACGGTACATCAGCTACCACACTACAAGCGTACACTGCTGACTCCGTAGTCGGAAGCAGCAGTGCCGTCAATTGGCAACAGAATCGACAGCAATGGCCACACCTCATGGCGGTCCCGTTTCCGAAACTGCAAACCCGCCGGAAGATCGACATTTTGATTGGCCTGGACTGCGCAGAGTTACACACGTCATTGCAGGAGGTCCAAGGCAACCCAGGCGAACCAGTTGCCCGACTCACACCATTGGGTTGGACATGCGTCGGCCCCGTTCACCGCACAGCGGAGTCAGATCCCGTCACACTGTTAACGGAAACGGCGCCACAGGATGTCCACGACAGCCTTGCGCAACTGTGGGTCATTGAGGAGTTCAACAAAATGCAGCCACAGCAACCCGTCTTGTCTTCTGAGGAAAGGGAGGCAGTTCGAGCAAGCCAGCAGTCGCTACAGCTGGTCGATGGACACTACGAAGTTGGTATACCGTGGCGTGGGGAGCGTCCCAATCTACCGGACAACTTTCCTGCGGCTGTGAAACGACTACGTAGCACCGAGAGGCGGCTCAGTCAAGACGCAGCGGCAGCGGCAGCCTATGGCAAGATCATCCATGACTATGTCACAAAAGGCTATGTGCGAGAGGTCCTGGAGGAGGAACTGAGTCCTGGTCGGCAATGGTTTCTGCCGCACTTTGCGGTACTGCGACCTGACAAGGAGACAACGAAGACGCGCATCGTATTTGATGGCTCTGCGAAGTACGACGGCGTATCACTTAACGACATGATGCTGCCAGGCCCAAAGCTACAGCGTCAACTGCCGAGTGTGCTGACGCGCTTTCGCCAAAACCCAGTCGCCATCATCTGCGACATCGCAGAAATGTACCTGAGAGTCGGACTGTCGCCAGAAGATAGGCCGTATCACAGATTCCTGTGGCGAGACTTGGACGGCGCGGTGCCGCCACGGGTTTATGAGTTCCAGCGACTGGTTTTTGGTGCCAATGCATCACCCTTCCTGGCACAATTCGTATCGCAGGAGCACGCAAAAGCCCATGCGTCTCAGTTCCCACTAGCAGCCGAGACGATGTTATCATCAACATACATGGACGACTCCATGGACTCTGCGGCGGACGACGACGAGGGCATCATGATGTACGAACAGTTGATGGAGTGCTGGGCAGGAGCTGGAATGCACGCTCGCAAATGGCTGTCTAACTCCAAAGCCGTCATGGCCAGGGTTCCGAAGGAGGATCGAGCGAGCCAAATTGATCTCGACTGTCCGCAACTGCCTAGCGTCAAGACACTCGGACTGCTGTGGTCTGCGACATCGGACCTCTTCACGTTCAAGCCAACTGCACCAGATGCGAAGAAGGTCACCAAGCGTACATTCCTGAGCGCGATGGCCAGTGTGTTCGATCCGCTGGGTTTTGTGTCACCCTTCATCGCCAACGCGCGAATCCTGCTGCAGGATATGTGGCTGCAGGGGGTTGACTGGGATGACCCTCTCCCCGAGGAGCTCCACCGAAGGGCCTTGAGATGGTACGCGGAGCTAGACGAGCTGGCTCAGCTCGAAATTCCACGCTGTTTGCAAGACGTCAACGCAGGAAAACCCGTCAGCAGACAGATCCATGTGTTCGCCGACGCATCGGAAAGCGCCTACGGCGCAGTGAGCTATCTTCGCTGTGAATACCAAGATGGCCATGTATCAACCACGCTCATCGCCAGCAGGTCTCGCGTAGCTCCCATTACAGCCGTGTCAATTCCACGATTGGAGCTGTCTGCTGCCGTAATTGGGACGCAACTAGCTGCTTGGGCGTCGGACGTACTTGGCTTGCCTGTTCGTGATGCTGTCATCTGGACAGACAGTCTAAATGTCCTCCACTGGGTACGGAACCGCGCACGTACCTTCAAGCCATTTGTCGCAACACGCGTCGGAGAGATTCAGGAGCACACTGCACCTGACCAGTGGCGTCACGTGCCGACTAAAGAGAATCCTGCAGATGTGCTTTCCCGCGGCTCGGCAGCGCGTAATCTCATCGAGGACACTTGTTGGTGGTCAGGCCCAGCCTTTCTCCGAGCTGCTGAGTTTGAATGGCCAGGGCAGGGCATCAAGGAGCCGATGTCGACAGCAAGCTTGGAACAGAAGAACACAAGCAAGCCAAAGAAATCGTCAGTGGCACTCGTAACATCGGTCTTGGGAGCCTCAGAGAATGAGATTCCGTGGAAGCTAGCTCCGGAGAGGTTCTCGAGTCTCAACCGCCTCGTGCGACTTCGCGCGTGGGTGACGCGGTTCGTGCAGAATTGTCGCACACCAGCAGAGCTTCGAGGCACTGGTCAACTGTCAGTCGATGAGCTGGACAGCAGCATGGCTAGCATTATCGCAGCTGCGCAGGAAGAGACCTTGGAAGAGTACCGTCTGCTGAAGAAAGACAAGGCCATACCCACCTCCAGCAAGCTGACAAAGCTGCGGCCAATGTTGAACGACGATGGACTTCTGTGTGTTGACGGCCGCCTCAAGAATGCACAGATACTGGATGAGGAATCGAGGTGCCCTGTGATTCTACCACGAGGCCATTGGGTCACGCAGCTCATTGTACAGGAAGCGCACGAGCAGAATCACCACACCGCTGGTGTCAGTCACACGCTAGCTCTCCTGTCGAAGAAATACTGGCTACTTGCGGGTCGTGAGGAGATTAAGGCGTGGGAGAAGAAGTGTACCCTATGCCACCGTCGCCGTGTGAAGCCGGGAGTTCAGCTAATGGCGCCATTACCAGACGTGCACGTGTCCCTGCCACTGCGGGCGTTCTCTCGAGTCGCCGTTGACTACGCTGGACCGTTCATGACCAAGCAAGGACGCGGAAGACCTCGACAAAAGAGGTACCTCTGCTTGTTCACATGCCTACAATCACGTGCCGTACACCTTGAGCTGGCTAGTGGTTTGGACGTTGACAGCTTTATGAACGCCTTTCTGCGGATGACGAGCCGCCGGGGTATTCCCCTGCAAGTCATTTCCGACAACGGCACTAACTTCGTCGGAGCGGCCAATGAGATGAAGAAGCTGCTTGATGCAATGATGGACGGAGTGGAGCGTCGCGCAACTGACAAAGGGATCAAATGGACGTTCAATCCGCCGGCCGCTCCACACTTTGGAGGTGTTCACGAGGCGTTAGTGAAATCGGCTAAACGAGCCATCTATGCAGTGCTGGCAGGTGCAGAAGTCAATGATGAAGAGCTAGCGACCGCAATGATTGGAGCGGAGGCCTTGCTCAACTCTAGGCCACTCACGTACCAGTCTGCCGACGCCAGGGATCTTCTCCCGCTAACGCCTAACCATTTTCTGTATGGGCACCAGGGCGAGCCGTTTGCACCCAAGGGCACGGATGATGTCCCACACAATCTGCGCCAGCGGTGGAGAGTTGTCCAAACGTTAGTCCTGCAAGTTTGGAAGCGCTGGATGACCGAGATGTTGCCTCTGCTACATCCGCGGATGAAATGGCGGCAACCACAACCAGACTTGGCAGCTAACGACATCGTCCTCGTGGTCGACACCGGAGCGCCCCGAGGTCAGTGGAGACTTGGCCGAGTGGAGGAGGTGTATCCAGGAGCCGACGGGCGCGTGCGAGTCTGCAAAGTCAAAGTTCGCGGCACGTCCCTTGTGCGGCCGGTTACGCAGTTGTGCAAGCTTGTCGCTGAGTGATCGCAGGTGCTGAAAAGTCAGATGGTGGACTTCTGATACATGTGCATGCAGCGAGAAAACTGTACGAGAACTATGTATGACTGTTCTTGTAACCTGAAAGTGATGGACCATGACATATCGGTTTATTCTGGATTCCAACATAACATTACTCTGGTCACTGTTCTCTACAAGTGTAGTGTGCCCAGCAATATGCGGCTGATTCTTGATATAGTCTAGAGCAAATATTCCATATTACTAGGTTCTGTTTTTTTTTACCTTTCTGTTTTTAGTTGATTAATCTGCGTTTAATCAAGGTAGGGGAGAAATTGTTCACAAGATCCAGTATGCATGTAGATAGTAGTGCTGTGGATGACCAACTGCTTAGTATTATGCATATCCAATGATTCATGTTCCCGCCAGATCCCGCTGTTTGGCACGTGTGAGTGCTTGTTTTCCCGCCAGATGCTGCTTTTGGCACGTGTATGTGCCGCGTTTGGGCACCGCACGGAGTAGGTTTGGTTCTGTTGTGTTTTGGTGCTGCCGTACTTTTCTTCAGGGCTTTTTCTTTGTTTTGTTACGTTTTTGATATCGTTCCATCAGGTTGAAGAAACAGAAGATTCAGTTGTCTCCCAAATCGCTCTCTTGGTGTTGTAACCAGTGCTTTTGGGGCAAAACCTGGCCGAAATCCTATTCTTGCTATGGCTTGCTTTTTGGACAAAAAAACTTCAGAAACATAATTGGAAGAGGATTCCATATGGGATTGCAGAAAAAAATTCTAAAAAAACTCAACGTTTGACCCATTTATGGCCAAAAGCTAGAAGTTCATTTTTTTCTGAATGGACTGTAGTCGCTGGTTGAAGTGCAAATGACTTGTCATGACTGTGCAATACCAGCAACAAGAGAGCACACTGCAGTGAATGAATTCCAACAACAAACAAAGAACCACCGGCTGCACTAAATCTAGGAGATTGATACACACTAGTAGCCAGCAAGTGTAGCGGCCATAACGAGGCTTACCGATGTTGGAAGGTTAACTATAGAGGTGGCATCAGATGCAGATTGTTTCTGTGGTCCTACAACAGAGAAACCAATACGGAAATAGACAAAGATTTCAAGTTCACTGGAGAGTAGAGACTGTGCAGAAACCATAGGACTACTGACTACAAAGAGGAAAGCCTGGTGATCGCATTATGCAAGAAACTCGAAATTACGACACTTTGTAAACCTCCTGTGTGCCTTTTGTGTGACTACCGACTATATAACTGAGCTTCTTGGGATAATACAAGTACTGGATTATCCATGGAGTACTAGTCCATAGTACAGTGCATGCTGCTCAATGAAATCCGATTTTGCGAGCCAATGTCACGCCGGGTGCTGTCCAGCCCCAGGCCTGTGAACGCTGAGCTGTGCACTGGTGCAAGGCGAAAACTTGACTCACACGATCGGATTTCATTGAGCAGCACTGCAGGCTTCCTACACCCCGAACGCGACGACGTCACAATTATTTAAAAAAAATTACGCCAGACAACGATTTCTGGGTTAAATCGGATCCACTCTGCCCATAGTAAAGTATTGTGTGTACACGGCGGGTAGGCCCCTCGTGCCGTATGCTGGTATGAATGTCTCTATACCAGGAGTGGGTCCCTGACCGGGAGGGCCCTGGCCAGGTACTACCGGCGGATATGTCAAACTACTGTAAAGGAAAACCGCCCAAACGTGTATTAAAGAGTCCATACAACAACTGGATCCGAGTGGATCCAAAAGTCAGTGATGTCATGACTGCGGGCTGGCGGTGACGTAGCACTTTCAAGCCCTACACTACTAGTGAATACCCTAAATGTTAATGTACACCAGCTATGCATTCGAGCTTGATTGTCATGGTAACTAATTTCTAACTATAGCACCGAAACATACAAATCTACGCCTAATGGCATGTTCGATTGTGGGAATCCGTGCAACCTGGATCCGGATTTGCCAAGTTTGGACCTGTTCGATTGTACGAATCCGGATCCAGGTGGCACGGATTCGGATCTGGTCAACCTACCTCCCAAAGGCGGATTCGACGGTTTCGACAGTACATTTTTCGCTCTGCTCCCAAAAAAAAGTAGCGAAACTTTTCTTGCGTTTCTTGCCGCGGTTCAAAAACACCTGGCTCTGCGTACGAGTGCCCTTGTCAATCAAAGTTTTGGGTGCACCATTCTTGCTTGCAATGCCAACCCCATCATTGTGAAACCACATGGATCTGAAATCAGTTTGAACTGTTTGATTGGATCCGTTCAATCGAATTTATCAGCTTGGTGGGGATCTGGATTCAGACACATTGTACTTGTAGTTGTACCACAATCGAATGCAGCCCAAGACTCCTTGCAATGTTGCCAAAGTTGCCACAGTGCACATGACCACTACATGTACAGTGCTGCTCAATGAAATCCGATCATGTGAGTCAAGTTTGCGCCCTGCACCAGTTCACATCCCAGTTGTCATGTTGCACGCCTCCTGGTTGATACTATATTAATAATATTGTATTGTACAAAGGACGAAACAGATCTGTCGGCAGATTGAGTATTGTACTATTATGGTATACTAGTACAATTGTATGTGTATCTGTTTTCTTCCCTTTCTCCGTATTTTAAGTTCCCGGTTCTTGGTCGTTGGTTTTGTCTTTGTTAGTACTTTGGTTTGGCAAGTACCATAATCATAACGTCCCAGAACATTGCATTGGCGACGAAGATAAATGTTTTATATTAGAAGTTATTGATGACCTGAGTAGGCCTCAGTGGCAATGGCGCTCACAGGAGTAGGCCCGGCTTTGGAGCTGTTCCATCTCGAGGGTTCCGCCCATGGAGTTACGGCAAGATGGCGCAGGTGGAAAAGATCATTTCAGTACTGTGTGGATGGGCAGAATATACCATTCGCGAAGAGACAGAGGAGTTTGTTGTTGTACTTGGCTGGTATGCCAGTACAAGAGAAATTTGAAACAATAACAGATGAGGGCATCGACAATGTATTCGAGCGAGCCTTGAGTGCTCTGGACAAGGCTTTTGAGTTCCTGGCCAACAAGAGGTTCAAACACTATAAGCTCCGTCAGATGTCGCAAAGGACTGGAGAAGCTGTGTCTCAGTTTTCCACGCGTTTGCTTGGGCAAGGCAAGTACTGTGATTAAGGCACCCGACATGGAGGATCACGTATGCAACCAGCTACTCATAGGGATGTCAGACAACCGCCTTAGAAAAAAATTGTTGGAAGTTGATGACCTCACTTTGGCAAGGGCCTTGAGAAAAGGTCGCCAGTGTGAAGCCACGGAACAGCACGCACGTGATTTGTCAATAGCGTGACTTGCACTTAAAAGTGCAAGTCACAGTGCAAGCCATGATGGGTCCAGTTTGAATTCGTACGGTACGGGAGACGCTGTATCAGCAGGAAGTGTGAATGCTGTGCACAGCGTACCCCAGCAAGCACCGGAGTGTCACAACTGTGGAAAAGTTGACCACTTCGCCCGCGACCGGAACTGTCCCGCACGTAGCCAAAAGTGCAGAAGGTGTGGCACAGACACAGGCGTGTGTCCGCGGGCCTGGGGCTGCACAGCACCCGTCGTGACATTGACTCACGCGATCAGATTTCACTGAGCAGCACTGTACATGTGGAGAGGGTAAAGAGTCAACTACAAGCATAAACTGTACCTGTATCCGGCACTAGGCCAGAGTCACGCCGTGTGTAGCGACTTGCAGCCATATCCGCAGCCAGCGCTGCACTGACCTGGTCCCGCTGGAAGAGCAGGTGGCTAGTAGAAGTGGGATTTGTGACATTCCTGACAACAGCGACAACAGTGACAACAGTGACAACAGCAGCAGCAGCAGCAGCAGCAACCGCAACAACAACAACAACGACAACGACAACGACAACGACAACAACAACAACAACAACAACAACAACAACAACAACAACAACAACAACAACAACAACAACAACAACAACAACAACAACAACAACAACAAGTTTAGCAAGGAAACCTATTTTAAAGACACTTGTTGAAGCTTCAGTGTCACAAAAGGAAAAGGAAGAATGGCGAAGTCAGGAGCATTAGCAGAGAATAAGCACACGCCCATAACCAAACCAACTCAGACTGTTCCACTGCTACAGCCTCTGCACAATCTTCAGTCATGACTGGGGTATCCACCTTCACATACACTTACACACAATAGACAATGGTTCCGAGCATCATTACTTTTTTTTTAATCAAATATCGTATTTTCCGGAATAACTTATCAGCCGCATCCAGATTATTTCGCTATGAAATACAGACATCTACCCTGCTTTTCACCGTTAAGTTGACCACCGTATTACAAGCCGCACCAACTTTTTTCGGGTGAAATACAGATGTTTAGAGCGTGGCTTATACTCCGGAAAAAGGTACCTTGGCCAGGCCCACAGGGCGTGTACAATAGATGATATGCCAAATAACGTGCAACTAGACTTGAGAGGGCATCGCACACAAGTTGCATACACATTATCCTACAATGTGTACACGGTAGGCCCTGAGCTCTGCATGCAGGACTACAAGTCACAGGTACCCATACAACTTTGAACTTTGTATGCAACTACTCTGCAATGCCCTCCCAAGTCTAGTTGCATATTATTTGGCATATCATCTATACTGGACATGCTGCCTGGAACATGCCTAGGTCACAGTGGAGCACTACTACTCGTCAAGAACAAATACGTGCAATTGGAACAGTACTCATTAGGGAGTTCATCATGTGCAGCTCGACGAATCAGTACCATGCATCAATTTGGTAGAGAAAACTTCCTTGAATGGACTGCTTATGCAAGATGAGATTTCCTTGAAGCCAAACGTTCAAGGATACCAACAGGGCAGTACACTCTACGAGTACACGGACCAAAAAGTGCAACTTCACTTAGGAGTTTGTAAAGCGGAATTCACTGTTAACCTTGTTCTGTGATACAGTAAAACTAAACTTGAATATCATACATCCTATCCACCTAATATACTGGCACACTGCGGTGGTCATGGACCGCAGCTTCCAGGACTCATCATTAATGAACTCTTGATATTGATCACATGATATTTACTTGTGTAACCTATATTTTAACGTACTCCCAAGTATACGTCGGTGAAAAGCAAGTGTCTGGCAAGAGGTGCGGTGCTTCCTTGTTGCGCACTGACACAACCTGCAATAGGCAACCGAATAAACACACACACACACACACACGCAAATATACCAGTACAAATTTACAAAATGTCCAACATTATCCACAGCCATTCACATCCAAGTTTTGCACCTAACTTGGTAGGATCTACATCACATAAAGAAAGGGGTCAAACTGGCAACATTAGAGCGGTTTCGCACTACGTAAAGTCGAGCAACTTTACGTTAGTGGGCGGGAAAACCCGTGAATTCGCGAGTTTGCACTCCACGTACGGAAAGTTGTCTACGTAGAGTACGTTACTACGTAGATACGGCTCTGATAATGTAGGTGCTCCGTAAGTGGATTAGGGTACACAATTATGACTCTCGATCTGTTCATACACTGCGGCGTTCCGAGTTGCCAAGGGCAGCTACGTGATTTGAAAACTCCGTACGGCGGAATACAGATCCGCATGCAGTTACGTTTTTACTAACGGAATTACATTATGCGGAACCTCTCTATTATCCACCATGAAATGCCCAAGCAGCAAGGGAAAACAGCCCCAAAAAATGAAAATTTCAAAACCATGGCACAATTGCCACGGAAGTTACTTCGAGTGTTGTTCATCCTATCAAAAAAGCATGATACTACCAGTACTGGAACGCTTGAGACTTTCTTTCAATGTACATACGTTGACTCTTGGAACAGGACAAAAACTGACTGAGTTACGGTAGTTTGAAGTCTACCTGTCAAGTATGCAAAGAGTAAGTGCAGAGTTCACTGTAAAAATAATCAAGTATTCATACAAGAATTCATGCAAATATATCAAGACTATCCAGATCATTGTTAGAAGTGGAGACAGGAGAGAGAGAGAGCAGGAGAGAACAACATACCTTATCCACACAGTCTCTGAAGACACTGTTCTCACTCGACAAGACACCAAAGTGCATGAACAAAGCCACCACAGAATGTAACGATGAGATCCGCTTTGGCCCCAAGTCTGTCGTTCGCGAGTCCACTGCAAAGTCCTGCAGAGGTTAAGATGGCAAGACAATGAGACTTAGTGCTGACTAGAGAGAGACTGAACAATTGTCAACTGAAACAACAACTTTCAATGAGATGCAACACATGCCCAATAGCCCCCTGGCACACGCACAGTCCCCATATTCTGCCAAGGCTAGAGCATAAAGACTGGACTTAGTCATCTTAGCACGCTCCCTCCCTTTCTCAATGCTAGTGAGTACATTGTTTATGAGCTCATATGGGTGTCTCACTCAGCCCCCTCCCCGCTACCCGTCAAGTACATGTACCTCCCTCTGTCTCCATCCTAACAAATTGCAGATGAACATGTATCACTACACTTAGCCTTAGTGCAGCATGTGCATGTAGTATTGTACAGTGCTGCCCAATGAAATCCAGTCGCTGCACTCAATGAAATCCAGTCGCTGCACTCACGTTTGCGCCTTGCACCATTTCGAAGCCCAGCGTTCGCAGGCCTAGGGCTGTGCAACGCCCGGCGCATACACGATGGACACAACTGGATGTTATGCATGCATGCACGTGCGCGCGCGCGCGCACACACACACACACACACACGTACACATACACACACCTTGAAGACTAACCTGCAACGCCAACACCATCCTGGTGATGTCCACTAGGCTGCTCTTCGGACCCAGTTCAATGCAGAGCAGAGTGAGCGTCTCATACACTGCCATGTACACATCCACATCATTGTCCGGTAGAGTTGCATGAGCATACAGCTGCTGCAATAGAGCCGCACCATGCTACGTGTATACACAGAAACAAACACAGTGAACACAAATTACACAATGCATCAACACATACAAGCAAAGACATACGGTGCTCAGCACAGCGCTGTATGGACAGAACGTCATCTCGGTGATAGCAGCTTGTTCAAAGTAGCTTCCCGATGTGCGGCATTGAGCCTGTGCGTATTAGAGAGTAGTACTGCAAAGTAGAGAAATAACTAGCCCCAGAACAACGGATAAGCCGATCAAGAAGTTGTCACTTGTGTACTGGACTGGCATAGGTACATGCAGCTTTCGAAGCCAAGCAGCTGATCATGATTCTGTCTAGGTAGAACACGGCATCACGCATATACAGTGTATGCTTGCTGATCGGCTATAACAGTATTGAAAAGACCTGGTTATTACTGTACCCTGGCAGAGATGTAATGTACTCACTACTACTACTTCAGTAGTACTTTAACTTTTCCATGTATCAGTCAGAGCTGGCACAAGCCAGCCAGCGGTGGCAGCAGCAGTGGCAGCAGCAGTAGCAATGGCAGCAGCAGCGGCGGCAGCAGCAGCAGCAGCAGTGGCCACATGGACAGGCTTACCCTCTTGAAGTACAGCTCGTCTTCACGTAAGACATCCATATCCTTGACAGTGCTGAGGTGGCCTTGCTTGATAGTGGCCAGTGAGTTACAGGACCTGTGTATATGTGTGTGTAGGTGTGTGTATACACAAACACATGTCCACTGGTGTAAGTCCATACATGACACAGCCAGCACACTGTACATGCACACTTTGGAAATGAGCATACAATCATGTACATGTATAGCTAAAACCTGTCATGATCATGAAGACCTATCTGTAGCAGCACAACGGACATTGGTGGGTACATCAGGTCGTGTGCCAATAGAGAGAAGCAAGCCACTTCTTGAGCATGCAGTTCCACACTTGATAACAAATTACTACAAGCAATAGTACAAAACAAGTATGATGGAAAGAGAGGGACAGAGAGAGAGAGAGAGCAAGTAATTGTGTATGCACGTCTTAATGATACCCAGTTGATGTGGCTCAGATTTATCATTGCCTTTGCATTAATTATTAAAAGAAGATGCAACAGATTGCGTAACTACAAGCAACAGGAGCAAGAAAAGTCTGTCTGCTAACTTGTGCAAAGCGAGAGACACAAAGAAGCAAGACCAAGAACAAGAACGGAGATGAATGGGACAACAGAGGCATGCAGAGCAAATTCGACTCACAATGCCTTTGGAAGGTGCTCCACATTGCCACTGATGTCGATGACTTTGTGCAGTATTCTTAACACACTCAGACGTACCTCTGCAGGACAGGTTATAAGCAAAGACAGCGTAGCATGAAGAATGGTCACAGAATACATGAACACACATCACTAAGTCAGGAGGTGTGCTGAGGCTTTTTACAATTTCATCCAAGTAGCAGAAGACAGATCAGGTGGACACATCCATTCCAGACAACACTGCACATCCAAACCCACAGCTTCGATATGTTTCGGTGTTTCGACACTTCGCCATTATCAAGTACAAGAAATGACACTGTGAAGCTAACCAAGAGTACATAACTGCCAAGAGTGTGCAACTGCCTGCACAACCTCTAACAGTGCTGCGACAGCAGAACTTCACATCACGTGACATGGTTCAAAAGGTTGTGCTGGCAAACAGTGCAAAGTGACCACAAGAGAGTTGAACCCAAAGCAGTATCTATCATGCACAGGGTTAAAAAAAATGTGTACGGGTCCGTCACGTGATGTGAAGTTCTGCCGTCGCAGACCCCATAGCTGGAGTTGCACACTCTTGGGGTTATGTACTCTGGAGCTAACAAGGAGCCGCTTATACACGGAGTGTGCAGACAGACAAACGGATGGACGGAAGGCAGACGGACAGATAGACAAATAGATAGACAGATGCTCACACTGAAAAAACGAGCACACGGGCACACCCATCAACTGCCTTTGCGGAAACGGAGTGGAGACAAAGTCATACTTTACCTTTTCTTGCCACTAAACAATGCTTGAGAAGCGGCTCAAAGAAACTCGGTGCAAGTGCAGTCGAAAGCTTGCTGGGCTTGTAAGCATCCGCTAGCTATACACACAACACACAGAACAAAAAATAAGCGTACAGAAAGCGTGAGAATTAGATATCATACATGTATGTGCAGTAGAGCAGAGCATACCTAATACTAGTACATGTAGTACTAGCCAGCTATATGCCACCAAGCTATACAGACTGTCCCTCTGGAAACTTGCGAAGAAGTTTTGAAAAATATAGCAGAAAAAGTTGCGAGGTATTAAAAATACAAAAAATTGCGGGGAATATTGCGGATATTACAGCACAAATAATTACAGTGATTCATGACATGAAAAAACCAGAACGTGTACTTCGCTGAGGACAGATGAGTCCCAAAACTCGAGTTACGACTGTGGTCAACTACGTGTTTAGAGAGCTTGCAAAACAGCTTCCTCCATCTTCATACAACACTTGACGAAATTGCCGCACTCTTTAGTTAGCAGAAAATGCCAGAAATACATCAAGCCTGTTTGTTACATGCCAGCACTGGCTTGCCCAGAAACGTCTCTATTCCGGTGTCAATCTCACAAGAAAATCAGTAACGAACTGGAAGAACCAAACAGCATCGAAGAAAGACTCCAAGTCTACTGGAACATCGCGGGTGCTTTTCAAGTATCGCGGACGGTTTCAACAATATCACGGACTTTTGTTGAAATCAGGAAATAACGCGGCCGTGGAATCACAAGTTCCTGGAATGACAGTACAGTGTAGTACTAGCCAGCTATACACCAGCACCTTGTAATACAGCCTTGCAGATGCAAGTAAACATGGCTTCCTACAAGATTCAACTGCAAATACAATGTACAGTATCAATCATCAAGAGCCCGAAATCAACTGTGTTGCAGAGTAATTACTTGCACTTCAGAGATGAACACTTCGAAGTAAGATCGTTTACAGCTGCACAGAGACAAGATGTGCAGATCGCTTTAAAGATGTGATGGATCTTCTCCAGACATTGACCTGGCATGACCATGTAAAATGCCCTACAAGGAGTTGGCAAAGTGACGTGTTCACCTACCTCAGCTATACATTTGACAAGCATTTCTCTGTAGAGATTGAAGCCATCCACACTGTATAGTACAAGAACAACGCAGCAATCAATACAAGGGACGTCACGCAACAGCCACGGTACTCGAGAACTAGATTTTTTTCAAATTATTTCAACAAAACACGTAGAACAATCAGTGAACCGCAAAATAGAGTAAAGTGATGTCACGTCGCTTAAAGACACTGTTCACAAACAAAGCATGTCAATATGCTCACTCAGCGACTCCAGCGACTCGTTTGCGCGGTTCCAGCTCACCTGGTAGCCCGTGATATGGCAATGTTGGCCTCCACTCCATCGACATCACCCTCTGCTGACCCGGGCGGTGGCAACTTTCCTACTATGAACTTCATCACATCAGATTGAGCATAGCCAGGCAACACTTTAGCAAATTTACCTGTGCAACAAAAAAAGAAAGAAAAGAGAATGGATCCATGAGAATGCTGCGCTTGACAAGCAGTGGAGAGAAAAAGAGAGAGAGAGAGAGAGAGAGAGAGAGAGAGAGAGAGAGAGAGAGAGAGAGAGAGAGAGAGAGCGAGAGAGAGAGAGAGAGAGAGAGAGAGAGAGAGAGAGAGAGAGAGAGAGAGAGAGAGAGAGAGAGAGAGAGAGAGAGAGAGAGAGAGAGAGAGAGAGAGAGAGAGAGAGAGAGAGAGAGAGAGAGAGAGAGAGAGAGAGAGAGAGAGAGAGAGAGAGAGAGAGAGAGAGAGAGAGAGAGAGAGAGAGAGAGAGAGAGAGAGAGAGAGAGAGAGAGAGAGAGAGAGAGAGAGAGAGAGAAGAGAGAGAGAGATGTCCCAACTCTGCTTATACAAGTAAAAGTGCTGCTACAGCCAAACGCACAATTTCAGTGTCAGGGAAGACACCACCCAGGACATGGCTTTGAAAACAAAATACAGGACTTCTTCCCGCAAACTATAGTCAAACAACTACATGTGTTAGATGCAACATGAACTTCTGCAACCAAAGAAGAAGATCATGGCTACACGGTGTGTTAGAGTGCAAATAAAAGTTTTACAAAACCAAGGTAATGTTCACATACCAACGGCGACAGTGATTGACTCCTGCAACTGTCCTGTCTCGGATGCTTGCTGCATGTCACAAGAAAGAAAATACAGACAAGAAACCAAGTATGCATGAAAAGCGTGCAAGTGAAGGCAGAGACTGGCAGCATGCCAAGAAACCAGGCCTGAGGCACACAGCATACCGCTCACTGTAGCGATTGCAATCAACTCCACCAGAGAAGGCCAACAGATCAAGAGACTCCCAAGCAATTGTACACACAGCCTATGCGACAACAGGATCCGATAAATACACTGGTATAACATCAATAGGAACCAAGATCTCTGGACCGAAGCAAACCATCCAGTCCTCATACAGACGGCCATAAGCTGAAGTCCACTCAGAGCAGCCGTTGCATGAAGAGTAAATCACATGGACCTTTATTAGGTGTGCATCATGCACACACACACACACACACACACACACACACACACCTTGACCTTGACCTTTGACCTTTGACGCCCATCGCCGGAGGCGATGATAGCAATGCTACGGCAGAAGCCATAACAACTTGTGCTGGGATTGCACCATTCAACAGCTTGCAAGGCTGAAGAATTGACCGTCACTATTCAGCCTGGTCTACACCATACAGCTATTTGAAGTGACTTTTTCTGGCCAGTGAATCCCTATTTTTGGTCTTTTTCTTTTTTCTTTTTTTTTCTTTTTTTTTTCCCACACACACATCACACCACATACTCCGGCATGCACTGGCTGTTGGTAACCACACACACACACACACACACACACACACACACACACACACACACACACACACACACACACACACACACACACACACACACACACACACACACACACACACACACACACACACACACACACACACACACACACACACACACACACACACACACACACACACACACACACACACACACACACACACACACACACACACACACACACACACACACACACACACACACACACACACACACACACACACACACACACACACACACACACACACACACACACACACACACACACACACACACACACACACACACACACACACACACACACACACACACACACACACACACACACACACACACACACACACACACACACACACACACACACACACACACACACACACACACACACACACACACACACACACACACACACACACACACACACACACACACACACACACACACACACACACACACACACACACACACACACACACACACACACACACACACACACACACACACAACACACACACACACACACACACACACACACACACACACACACACACACACACACACACACACACACACACACACACACACACACACACACACACACACACACACACACACACACACACACACACACACACACACACACACACACACACACACACACACACACACACACACACACACACACACACACACACACACACACACACACACACACACACACACACACACACACACACACACACACACACACACACACACACACACACACACACACACACACACACACACACACACACACACACACACACACACACACACACACACACACACACACACACACACACACACACACACACACACACACACACACACACACACACACACACACACACACACACACACACACACACACACACACACACACACACACACACACACACACACACACACACACACACACACACACACACACACACACACACACACACACACACACACACACACACACACACACACACACACACACACACACACACACACACACACACACACACACACACACACACACACACACACACACACACACACACACACACACACACACACACACACACACACACACACACACACACACACACACACACACACACACACACACACACACACACACACACACACACACACACACACACACACACACACACACACACACACACACACACACACACACACACACACACACACACACACACACACACACACACACACACACACACACACACACACACACACACACACACACACACACACACACACACACACACACACACACACACACACACACACACACACACACACACACACACACACACACACACACACACACACACACACACACACACACACACACACACACACACACACACACACACACACACACACACACACACACACACACACACACACACACACACACACACACACACACACACACACACACACACACACACACACACACACACACACACACACACACACACACACACACACACACACACACACACACACACACACACACACACACACACACACACACACACACACACACACACACACACACACACACACACACACACACACACACACACACACACACACACACACACACACACACACACACACACACACACACACACACACACACACACACACACACACACACACACACACACACACACACACACACACACACACACACACACACACACACACACACACACACACACACACACACACACACACACACACACACACACACACACACACACACACACACACACACACACACACACACACACACACACACACACACACACACACACACACACACACACACACACACACACACACACACACACACACACACACACACACACACACACACACACACACACACACACACACACACACACACACACACACACACACACACACACACACACACACACACACACACACACACACACACACACACACACACACACACACACACACACACACACACACACACACACACACACACACACACACACACACACACACACACACACACACACACACACACACACACACACACACACACACACACACACACACACACACACACACACACACACACACACACACACACACACACACACACACACACACACACACACACACACACACACACACACACACACACACACACACACACACACACACACACACACACACACACACACACACACACACACACACACACACACACACACACACACACACACACACACACACACACACACACACACACACACACACACACACACACACACACACACACACACACACACACACACACACACACACACACACACACACACACACACACACACACACACACACACACACACACACACACACACACACACACACACACACACACACACACACACACACACACACACACACACACACACACACACACACACACACACACACACACACACACACACACACACACACACACACACACACACACACACACACACACACACACACACACACACACACACACACACACACACACACACACAGGACTTCTGCTATACTACTGTGCCTTCAATGCACGCTGCTGCGCCAAAGAACACCAAGAGAACACACCTATGTGCTGTTTACAACACCTGGAAAAATAATCAATCCCTACGTGTTCTGAGGAAAAGCCAACTGTGTGGTGCTGAGGTTTGTCACTAGTCTTCATTCAGGATCAGGTGAAGTTCAGACGGGCAGATCAAAGTGAAGGTTTTCAGAGAGGAAATATGCACGATAACAAGCAGAGGCAGGAGATAGTTGCGACCACTGTGACAATCTCACAAAACAATTGAAACAAGACGTACCGAGTCGTTTCCTGCTTTGTCAATGGACAGACGCAGCTGTCGCAACAAAGTATTGAAGACATCCAAATGAGAAGGACCTGTGCCAGAGAAAAAACCAAATTCCCCACAATATCAGCAACACAGAGAAATAACGTGTCTCCACATTGATGTACTATGGCACAAGTCTGTATGCACTAACGAAGGATAAAACAAAAAATACAGTAGGATCAACTATAACACGTTGTAGATACTCTTATACCAAACTCAACAGTAAGTCAGGCATGTACTGTAGCAGCTACGCAATAGACAGCAACAACAAGTCACCGTTGAAGTGTTGTGTACCAGCATATACATTTCCCATAAACAAAGTTGTCTAACCAAGAGTACAAGCACTTGTCAGGACTGCTCCACAAGCCACCAAGCTACGATGTACAGGCAAACAGTGCACAGCCCTAACTGACAATCCCCTGAACAACAAACGTGAAACTGTTAAGAGAGAGACAGGCAGAGAGACAGAGACAGACAGATATACACAGACAGGCAGAGAGGCAGAGAGGCAGAGACAGACAGACAGACAGACAGACAGACAGACAGACAGACAGACAGACAGACCGACCGACCGACCGACCGACCGACCGACCGACCGACAGACAGACAGACAGACAGACAAACAGACAGACAGACAGACAGACAGAACCACCAAAGCAGCAGGCATACCTAAAGAACTGCCATCAGCAAGAGCAATGGTTGCACCCAGCACCTGGACAACACTGGTACGAGTCTGCAGTGACTGTTCACCAGAGATGTCAATAGTGTCCAGATGCTCCAGCAACATCAGTACAACCATATATGTGTACTGTGACTGCAATAGCAACACAACACAGCATAACACAAAGAAGACGGCATCTGTCTGCATGTAAAGACATATACCGTAGTATCAAAACAGGGACAATTGGATGGACACGTACACAAAAAGAAACTTGGTTAACTCTTGTAGCATTTACGGAAGCAAAGAACACACATGAGCACATGAACACACACACACGGATACAAACACATACGTACACACACACACATGCACACACGACACAGAGCACCACGCAACAATCGGTGCAATTAATAGTTTCATGCCCACAGGCAATTATCAGACAACTAAATTAGTTGATTAGTTGTCTGATGATTGCCTATGGACATGAAACTATTAGTTGCAACGAATGATGCGTGGTGCTCTGTGTCGTGTGTAAGATAGCTCTATTCGAATGCATATTAAGCACTCTACTGAGCTGGAGGACTCTCATTTGTACACACACATACCGTAGTGTCTTGTAGTTTAAAAGACTATCTCATATAGAAGCCTGTTTTGAATACAAGCCTGACTTTTCAAGAGGTTGACATGCACACACACACACACGCGCGCGCACACCCACAGACACACAGACAAACGCACGCGTGCGTGCGCACACACACACACACACACACACACACACACACCAGCGCATACATGCACACTTACCTGTACGGAGAACATAACGGTGTGCATAGTGAACTTTGCAAAGTCATTCGGCATCCACGCCTGGTACTCATCCAAAAATCTACATGAGCCAAACAAAGTCAAGCGACGAAATTAATTCCTTTATAAACATAACGAACTGCAGCTTCAGTCATTCTGGCACAACAATGGTGATCCCACACAAGTAATAATCATCAAACATGACGTACAGTCGCAGGGCGAGTAGATGAAAAAACAACGTAACACGTTACTGGTGCCTCTAAAGCGCAACAGAACCCACATCTTGTTCCAGCAGCAGCAGAAGCAACATATTCTCCATGGCACATACATGAGAGCACGCTACTTAAAAAAAGGTAGGACATACCTGAATAGCGGCCGCAGCACACTCTTCAAGTGTCCAAAGCCAGCTCGGCCGACGAGGTCCCGCAAACACAGCTCAGCTAGCTTGCTAGGGTGGCTCTCATCTTCATCTAGCGATATGCCAGTTGCTGGCACGTTGGAAGTGCCCGCACTGAAATACAGGCGTTGACACAAACGCAGACACGCATACAAACATTTACACACCATGCACTGCCTGTTCTGCGTGCCTGCCTACTCCAGGGGAGCATGCCAATCGGCGGGTGCAAGTGCATGTATATGATTGTACAGCAACCAACAGCTCTGTTTTAGCAGCTGGTGATTGCCAACATAAAGCAAAAAGGAATATTTCAGTACAGTGATTGTTTGGACACACAGCATGCTAACTAGGTAGTTGAAGTACAACAGATACTGTGCAATGGCTATTCAACTGGTATGCAGCACACCTCAAACCTATAGCAATCACAACCAACTGCATCACTGTAGCCAGCACTAACCTTCCAGCCTGCATATTGATCAACAACGCCGGCACAATCTTTCCCATGTGTGTGGATTCCCAGATGTTTTTCTGCAGGAAATCACACAAACATTCAGTATAGATATTTCACTACAATGGAATGATCGGCATACTTCTCCTATACGCCTTGTACGACTAGAAATTGATGAGGCTCGGCAAGAGCTCTTGGCATCTTGTCAGCAGAGCACAATGTCACAGATGTCACAATGTCACAGATTTTGCAAGGGAGAGTTCACTTCACAGTGTGTAAATATTGTTCAGAGCTGAGTAGCATAATTATAGTTACAGTACGTTATAGACGTACCAGCATATGTACTTCAAAGTGAAGCAGGCTGCTGATACATTTTAAATTAACTAAGCTACCGGTATAGCATAATCCGAACTGCATCTACATGTATACCGGTACTTCAGTGCTAGCATGTTCAAGTACCTGCAAATCATCTGATACTGTCTTGCGGATGACACCTTGTAAGCCATGCAGGCCAGACAGACGTTGCCTACATAACACAAACAACACGAAACACAGAGATGGGGACAGACAAACACAGAAACAGCAATACTAAGTCTCTCACTGCAGGAAATTCAATTCAAATTGCTCCAAGGTTTAGCCTGAGTGAGCATAGCCAGGGAATAAATCAACCTGTTAATTATCAGTACACTCGTATCTCTCTTATCTGGACCTCAACGTTACAAAGTCACTTTATCAGCTGTGCTCCTATTCCTGGAGATTTTCAGGTCAATGTCCCGCCCATTGTGCCTGCACAATGAAATCCGGTCTAGCCCTGCTACTACCGGTAGTATACTTGTAAGTTAGTCCCGAGTATGACAGGCGCGTACTGCCAACTTCTCTACTCAGTTGATAACAAGTCATGGACTTGCTTTTTCAGGTGCCCATGTTGACCATGGTGTATTTATCATTTCGTTTGTACCTGTACCCCGACTGCTATGTCATGTAATGATGTTGGTAAGTGCCAGTGACTGAGTGAATAGGCATTCTATCCTACAGATGCGCTCAATGAAATCCGACCCCAAGTTCAAAGCTGATGCCCTGGACCAGTTCCGATTACATCACTGCACGGTAAAATCTGGTTTAAGCGACCACTCCACGGTGCAAGCAAAAGCGGCCGTTAAAACCAGGTTCCACAGTGTCTGTGTAGAACTGTCGGTGCATGGAAAAACGGTCGTTAAGAGCAGGTGGTCGCTAAACCCAGAGGTCGCTTACACCAGGCTTTACTGTACTTGTACATGGGTACATCCAGCCGCATTCGCACAACTTCCAGGAGGACGTCAAGGGCCGTGAAAGTTGAGGCCGGCAAATATAAACTTTGGGTCGGATTTCACCGAGCACAACTGAACATAAGGGTTTAATCATACATAGGGTTCACCGGGTGTTAGCGGCCGTCGTGAGTTCCCTTCGGGAACGGGCACGATGGTTTACTTTTTATTTTATTTTTGAACTGTACATACATCTGGAAGAGAGTTCAGTACGTGCCTACTCTCAACAGGGGTTTGAAAGTGCAGGGAACCCTCGTTGGGCAGCGTGAATGCATACTCGACACTACACAAGGTGTCTAACGTAGCAGAAGGTGGAGGCGTAGCAGGTCCTAACCAAACAATAGTACCAGATCCTAAAACCCGCATTGCGTTACACTCAGCAATGTACCCAAATAAGCACATCCATCCATCCATGCACATCCATACATCCATAGCCAGTCCATACACCCATAGCCAGTCCATACACCCATAGCCAGTCCATACACCCATAGCCAGTCCATACACCCATAGCCAGTCCATACACCCATCGCCAGTGGTATACTAGTACCCGTACATGTATGTGTGCACGAAGTAAGCAAGCTAGTAAAGTATACTAGTAAGTAGCAGCAGAACTCACATGCTCTTCAAGCGTTCGTCAGTACCATGATGGAAGCACATTGCGCTGAACTTGGAAATGAAGAAGTCATATCGCCGATGATAGGATGGAGTGTCCTCCTCAATGTTGGCAAATGTCATGAACTGAAGTTTGCAAGAGTAGCACACACACAAAAAAAGATGCCACCATGAGATTTCACATCGTTATCAAACACAATGTTGCTCACGGTATTGAAATATCAAAGAAAGAGAACAGGGACATCAATAAAAGAAAGTATTAGAGAAAAGAAAGAGAAAAGGGAAGCACAACTAAAACACAATGAAGCACAACTAAAATACACTACAACTACAGGTAGGAACTAGGAACAAAGAGAGAGAGACAGACAGACAGAGAGAGAGAGAGAGAAACGCCACTTTCAAGCTTATCATCATAATATAATTATCAAAACAATACAAACAATAAGAGGACGGAAAAGGCGTTTTAACTCTGAGTTTCACGCACTAAGCGATCATGAGAAAACAGTAATGAGTGAATCTGGATCAGTACTGGTTTATATATCCTCATGAGTCAAAGCAAAGTGTAAATGACTGCATCACGGCACAAATCTAAAAATAATATACATGTAATTGTTATATCAGGAGAGCACTGGACTGGAAAACACTGTATAAATCGAAGATAAGTTCAAACCCCCGGAAATCGACACCTACGGTGCACCCAATGATGACTCGCTCTGCCCAGCAGGTAGCAATGCTTGTCAGGAAAACTACCAACAGACACTCATTAGCAACCTGCTGCAACTCTCATTACACAGTAACCTGGCTAGGAAGGTTCAGGACCGTAGCACAGGGATTTCAGGTGGTCCAGCCAAATAGGATGATGCTCGACCGGAAATGAACAATATTGACGAAAAAATGAGGGGCCGGGGGGGGGGGGACAAGCTAGACATCAAAATTAAAAAATAAATAAACAGAAAACAGGTGGCTTAGAGGAAAAAATTAACACCTGACTTACAGATCTGGTAGCAAGCTGCTGAAAGTCTGGCTGTGAACTCTCCAGCAGAAGCTGAACCATAGTAAGAAAGCTCTCAACGAACAAGTTCAGACTCGGGGCATGGCACGCTTTGAGGAGCTCATCCAGCGCTTTCATTGCGATGAACACATAGCTATTACCGCGAACAAGAAACCAACACATTCGGAAAACAAAACCATTGACGTCACACTACTCTGCTCCAACAAAGACAGGTTACTGCACAGTGTAAAAATGTGATGAAATAACAAAACATCACAGACAATTGTACCTTTATGTTGGGGGCACTAGGAGTGTTCTGATTCCCCGGTTGTACAGTCCATCAGTTGGATCGCGAGTTAATTTCTACGTGGCAGGACTACACAAGCTGTATAAACTATAAACCCTGGGCTGGTCAGCACGGGATGACGATGGTTTCCAAATGTACCATGTCAACACTCAACCAGTTAACATCTTCCCAATGCCCACTGCTGAACCTTAACTGAGTAGGAATAGAACCCCCAACCACCCCAGGCTGCCCACACCGCCCCAGGCTGCCCACACCGCCCCAGGCTGCCCACACCGCCCCAGGCTGCCCACACCGCCCCAGGCTGCCCACACCGCCCCAGGCTGCCCACACCGCCCCAGGCTGCCCACACCGCCCCAGGCTGCCCACACCGCCCAGAATCTCCAACCACCCCAGGCTGCCCACACATACCAAGGGATACACACCACCCCTGCTGCCATGTGGGCCCCACAGGGGCAGCGAGCCATTCCTTTCCAAGACTAGATGAGCACGTTCGCAGTGAACCCTCCTCTTTCTTCGGCTAGAGAAACTGCTCTGAGTTTCTGTCCCAACCTACCAGATGTGGTGGCAAATAGCCATACATGCCACCTCATACCAACAACCCTCTCTCCTTTCCTCGGTGTTTTCCCCTTCCAACTGCTTCAAACTAAGGGATATTAACAGTGATTAACATTTCATAACAGCTATATTGAACATTAACGTGGAAGAACGTGATGTGTCACGCTATCCTCAAATAATGGATATTTATATCTTGTTTCGATAGCGTTAAATTTCAGTATCTAGCATATGTACTGTCTCATCATGCTGTAGGGTTCTAAGTTCACCAAGCCGTAGTTACCGAAACGGAAGAAGATTTTTTCTGACCCATAGACAGTTCGGACACGATTCGGTCCCCAGGTGTGCCAGATGAGACAGAAATGAATGCATTGACTACACATAATAGGGAGGTTAACCCTTTGTGTACGGACTGTACAACTTTCGATCCCCTGGGATCGAAACTTTTCAAATTTTCAATCGATCGTAACTCAGTCATTTCTGGGTTATATCCGAAAACTAAAATATGTAAGTCAAAGAGAAAACTCCCAGCTGTCCATTGAAACAATCGCTGAAGCGTTCCGATGTGTGGTTCCAGAGTTACGAAGCTCGAAAGTCGAATCGCGGCAAATGTCACTCAATAGCCGCTCGCGCAAATTTGAATGAGGGATTTCCCCATCATTCTGGGCATGCTGTGACGTAGAAACACGTTCAAAATGGTAAACGGACTCATGGCAGTTTGTGAAATTTTTCTGAAGTAACAGCTAGTTGTTACGAGCAAGGAGAGCGAAATGGCTGATGCAAGACGACTTCTGTCGGAATATTGGCGTTGCAGCTAAGACGCTGGGCTGTAGCGCTGGTGTTTTGACCTTCGTGGTGGCAAGCGTGGGCTCAATGTGTTCCTCTTGCGACGAGCTTTCCAGGAAGCCCAAGATTGAAAAAATCGTCAAAAGGAGACTAAAGTTATGACCCGGATAATTATAGAATTTGAGGCGAGTCGAGATCAAATTCAGTCTGTGTACAATTTTTCAGTACATAAAGGGTTAAGTCCCACGTAATCCGTGGGTACTTTACGTGTGTGTACCACGTGATACTCAGTGACCCACGTACAGGCGTTTTCTGATTCACGACATACCGTGTATGGAGGCTCACCCACGTTCCGCCAGAACGTGGGTGAAAATCAGAATGGAGCGCATTGTGCGAGCTGTGAGGGTGCTCAGCTGAAGAAGTTTACGAAGCACGAAATCAAAATATTGGATGAGCGTCTTAGGCCCGGGTAGCTTCGTCTTTGACCAGGTTTGGGCCTTTCGCTTCATGCTTTTGTCTGTTCCGTGTGACTAAACACAACATTGCAACGTGGGTGCCCTTCATCCACTTTACGTGGATCACCTACGTACGCGTTTCCGTTACGTGAAAACTAAACCTCCCTAATGTGAACCAATACCTACATGTACTAATTTTTTTTTTAAATGGCATACTCGATGCCCTTCAATACTGATGTCGATTGGCATACAGAATGCTAAGGTAAACAGAAAAGGACCTATAACTTACTAGTTATGACTAACGGTCCACTAAGGTAACGAGATAATACACAGCCAGATAGTGTGACAACGAGGCACAAAAACACTATCGCACTATCTGACTGTATATTATCTCGTTACATTGGTGGACTGTTAGTCATAACTGGTAACTTATTGGTCATTTTCTCTTTACATATTACTATTGGCTCAACATCCGAGTTTTTAGAATGCTAAGGGCATACTTATAGAGTGTGCATGTGGTGTGCCTATCATATCCTCAATAATTATGATTACATGATTGTATGGAGTTCTAGGTTGATACGGCGTGTCAAAGTCATGTGCATACATTTCGAGCACACTACTAGTTTCAGCTTGTGTATCATGCCATCCAGAATGACTTCGTGACAAATCTGAACAAAAATACTTGCAGTTCTGTTCCGTAATAGAAATTCAACACGAGTCAAAAATTTGATTCTGGAAATGAGTCACTCACCCAGCTCTGTGGCGCTGAATATCGCGACTCAGCCTTTGAGCCAAATACGTGCCAATTCTATCCAATTTCTCAGGCGCTGAGAGGGCATAAAACGTCAATTTCTCCATATTGGACGATACGATACCATCATCAGGATTGGGAGGAAATATACTGTCGACATGGCGTTTGTACCGCGGTCTGCAACGCTTGAAACAGCCGCAGCCAAAGCAAGCCATGGTTGGAAGCAGATACAAGCCTCCACGCTCGAAAGTAAGCTAAGACTTTGAACCAGGGAGTCGTTCAAACCCCACGACTCCCTGCCTGGAACACATTCGAATCAGTCAGTTTGGGAACAATTATTATTATTTTCAGTGAACAAACTCAAGCTACGGTTTGTGTTTCTACACACACAAAGTCAATGCTCGGATCGTACACCGAGCTGTAGACAGCTAGATAACCTTGCAGAAACGCAAAATAAAACACTGCCTACTGCGTTTACGTTATAACGAGTTACGTTACCGCTCAGTATCACTATCAGTGCAGTTTGACTGATTCTGTGACGTCATGACGCGAAACGCCTGTTTTCACGCGTCTCCAGGATGCCCGTCACATGGTGGGAAGGAGGGGTGCTAGGGCCCAGTAGGGGGCGCCTGGGTCTCCCCCCCCCCCCGCCCCCCTGCTGTTAGGGCCAGCATAGTAGTACAGGGAGTCCCAGGGAATCGTACAAAACCCGGTTTTTACGACTCCCTGGTGAACAAAGCTTTTCACATCCTCTCTCTGCAAAATCTACCTACATGTATGGCTTTACTCTTGCTACTAGTACTACTAGTGGTATGTTGTTGGTTGACAGCATGTAACAAGGCGGAGACCACCGTGTTCGGAAACAGTGACCTTACTACAATCTCCGTGGTTGGCAGAGCCACGGTCTTCAGGACCATCTGAACAGTATGGGTGTTAGACCCGGTTCTGACCCTCTTTATTCTAGGGAGTTGTCTTAGTTTTTGGTTTATCTGATACACAGGGAAGTGTATAACTTCCTGCTACTACAGGCATAATGACATTGTGTTCAATCTCAGACTTCGCCAAAGTGTTCGATATTATTGCCGAATTTGGGTTGTCTCTTTCCGGCTTTGGTTCTTGCTTCATGGCTTCACGCAATCGGCTTTGAGAATAAAAAATAAAGTTGAATGAACCTATTCTCGAGTATCATGCATGTACATGTACATGTATATGCAGCGTGTACATTTCCAGCTCTGAAATTGCCAAAATAGTGCAGGACGCGCAAGTTGGTTAGGTCAACAACCAGTCCCTTCAAATATCTTGGCACTGTTGAAAGACTGTGATAATTGGGATGAGAAAGGTCAACAACCCTCCATCAGCGGACTGTGATGTACAGTTGGAGAGCTTGGGGAAAATAACCCGAGGGCGTGGAGAGTCTGGACACCACCATCTGACGGCCTAGGGAATGGTCTTGGTCCGAGGAAGCTGAGAAGCTCCCTTCCTCCTTTATTCCCAATCGAACTCACGCACTTCCACCGAAACTGGGTGACTGCGCCCTACTAGATGGGGATTTGTATGCAAAATGTCACTAAAAGCGCCATTTTGTTCTTGTAAAAGCACGGATGACCACGATTGTCCCATATGTTGTAGTCTTTTGGACGCTGAGTTGACTGGTTTTTGTCCGAAAAGGCTGCGATGAAGCGTTCGGCCATTATTCCCAATCGAACATGGCTGAACAAGCAGTCACGTGCTCCTGTGTGCCCACTGCCCAACTAACTTCGTCACATGGTCACCGCGCCAGCAGGCGACAACTTTCACACCAAGGTTCAACTCGAGTGACAGGACTGCACCCAAAAAAGGTCAAAACAGGCTGTAAGTTGTACCCTGCAGGCACGGTGACCAGGTGATATGACTGGTGTACGCAGGAGCATGTGACCGCTTGTTCAACCATGTTCGATTGGGAATAAAGGAGGAACGCTGCATCGCAGCCTTTTCGGACCAAAACCAGTCGAATCAGCATCCAAAAGACTACAACATATGGGCCAATCGCGGTCATCCGTGCTTTTATAAGAATGAAATGGCGCTTTTAGTGACATTTTGCATACAAATCCCCATCTAGTAGGGCGCAATCACCCAGTTTCGGTGGAAGTGCATGAGTTCGATTGGGAATATAGGAGGAAGGGAGCATCTCAGCTTCCTCGGACCAAGACCACTCGACACAGCAACCCGAAGACTACAACTGGTGAACATTTGATTTTAGGCTTAACTTCCCCTTTAATAGTTACTGGTATATCCGGTCTTGCATGCACCTTTCGAGCGCCAATTTCTAGAACCGGGAAGCTAGAATGCCCCACCCCCACCCCTTCAAGTGCTTATTCATAGTTCTTCAATCGCATACAGTATGCTTTTTTAGTCGTACTGGTACTTACCCCCCCCCCCCCCCCGCACACACTTAAAACACGTCTACACGTGGCCATCCCAAAATCACACACCAACGAGAACACTGTAAGCGCACCCATTCTCTATGACCTGTAATTCACTCTTTTTGGCGGCACCTAATTTCCAGCACCTGCATGGAATTCCAATGGATTCGGGTGAAAATAAATTGCAGGTAGAATCTAATTTTAGAAGGTAGGGTGAGCTATCAAAAGTACCAAAATATGGAAAACTACAGAGAAAAGTGTGACTACAGTAGATCACAGGGAGTCGTCAAATATTTGACGACTCCCTGGTAGATCACATACCACCATGTTGCTGCACCAGCTTGCAGTGCAACAAGGCTAAACTTCTCGCAAACTGGTGTCATTCAGCTCTGCCCTAGCACCATCGAGCACTTTTGCAAGAAATTAGCACCTTAGCTGGTAACACCATGATACACAGGTACCGTGACAAATGCAGAGTCAAGGGAGTAAGGCAGACTACTGCCTCGTCAGGCTGCACACACATATACACATGTACAGCAGGGACAAAGAAGGCAACAGTGTACTAATGCGTGAACGCGTGGAGAGTACCAGCAGAGCGACACATGCGCACCACTGGGGGTGCACTGAAACTTACAGCTGTGCTCTAGCGTACTGAAATAGCTCCTCTTGGAGCACAGGCACGTTTGTGTCTAGCACAGTACATAGGCCGAGGTGACATATTCACACAACAGGACAACGCATGCAGGTCACATACACTACCGGTGTTCACCCTTGCTGGCTACACAAGAAAGCAGCAGTGAAAGCTGAGAAGAGGTGCTAGCCATTGCGCCGCGTGATACCTTGCTAGTGAGAAATGCAGATCAGTGCTATGAGCAAGCCGTGTGGCATGGACACTGCGATATGGATAGCAATGGATTAATACCACTTCAGCGCGTTCCTAGAGGGCATATAGGAATACCAGGTGCAGTCAGAATTTCTTTTAACCGTGCACCAGCATTGTGTGGATGGGAAAAAAAGTTGACCGCAGATTGCAAATGCCAAGAGGCTTGATGCCATTTTGTGTCGCTGGTTCCTCTCCTGCTGAAGCCGGTGGGCAGCATGCCCCGCACGACTCGACGGAGCAGAGCTAGGCACCGCTCAGCATGCAGTGCCACAAGCCAAGCAGTCCCCCAGGATAGTGCTGACAATCCACAGCAGCAGCAGCAGCAGCAGCAGCAGCAGCAGCAGCAGCAGCAGCAGCAACAACAACAGCAGCCACGGCAGCAGCAGCAGCAGGCTGCAAGTTCTGCCTGGTCTCTGGCCAGGGCTCTTCCCGGAGAGAGCACTGTTGCCAAGATTCGACAGGACTACGTAGGAGAGTGGCTGACAGTGTGCACGATTACATGCAAGCAGCGGCCACTGGGAAATGCAGCACAAGAGCGGCGCCGCCAAGCAGTACAAGTCAACTCGCAACATACAGACACACAAGATGACACACATACAGACACACAAGATGACACACAAGCAGCTTCACCACGAGCCATGCAAGCGGCTTCACCCCTAGCTGAGCAAGGAGATGACCTGCAAGGAGAAGCACGCCAAGAAGGAGGACGCCAAGAGGAAGAAGAGCACGCAGAAGAGAATGCAAGTAATCAAGGTGTAGAGTGTGACACTGGCACAGAGGCTGAGCTGATTGTCAGTGATGAGTCAAGGCCGGATAGTGAACAGCCTGTGCCAATCATACCGCAACTGTCTGCAGGATCAACGTATAATCTATCAACAGACACCAGCACATCCTCGACACCAATGCAAGGGAGGTCTGCACTTGGTGAAGCCAACACCAGTACAGTGGCAAGAGCTACGCAAACGCAGCTGAATGGCAATGGCCATATATCATCACTACACACACTGCCCGAGTCCAATATCACACGAGATAACAATCACCGAGCCCGCAGTCCCGCAAACCCTCCAGTTGCTCAGGAGTACTATTCAATGGCAGATCTACTGGCCAGCGGTGGCGGCGGCAACAGGCAGGGCGAACTTGAGCTACAGGCAGTACCAGTGATGACTGGTACTCGCAGCCAGGGTGGACAAGAGACATTGCCAGTGATGACTGGTACTCGCAGCCAGGGTGGACAAGAGACATTGCCAGTGATGACTGGTACTCGCAGCCAGGGTGGACAAGAGACATTGCCAGTGATGACTGGTACTCGCAGCCAGGGTGGACAAGAGACATTGCCAGTGATGACTTGTACTCGCAGCCAGGGTGAACTTGAGCAACAGACATTCCCAGATATCACTGGTGCTCGAGCAATGACCAAGCCGGACTCGCTCACTGTTCACTCACTCTCCTTGGAAGACAAGGTTGCTGTCAGAGTGCAAGACACAGAAAGCCAGCAGTCACCAGGCAGTTTATCCACAGCAATGACCGCCAGTAACAATACATCAGTATTGCCGGGCACACCTGACTCAGTGTCGACATCGTACTCATTGGAAACACAGGCGACGACACGCGTCGCAGCAATGGGCGCCAGATGCGGCGAGGCATTGCTGCCACCATTAGCAGCGCCATCAGCAACAGCAGCAGTAGGAGCAGCAGCAGCAGGGGCACACTACACACAAATGCCCTACTCTCCGGACGGAATGCAGGTGATGGACATGGGTCCTGCCATGCACATGCCAAACCAGCATTGCATCTACCCAATGACACCAGCACCTATTCCAGCGCCACAGCCGCCACCGCCGCCAGGAGCAGCAGAAGGCCATGGTCAAATGTGGATGGGAATGAGCGGTGAGCTACCGTCACACCTCATACCGCCCAGCGCACATCACTACATGCCCGTCGTGCAGTCACAGTTCGAACACTACCCAATGGGGCTGGCAGTTGCAGCAGCAGCAGCACCACCGCCGCCACCACCTCCAGCACAACAGGCAATGTCACAGCCAGCAGCACAGCACGACGGTGGCCGAGTAATTGCAGACTTCTTCGGAGGCGACATGCTTGAGCTGAAACAGGCCTGCACTCCAGACGCAGCAGGCAAGAACGCGCCAGCCCACACAGTCTACAAACATTATTACGCAATTGCTGTGAACAAGACTGAGCTTGTCTATGAAATGTGTCTCGACGAATGGAGGCCACTGAAGCCGCAGAACAATGCACTACAGAACCAATTACAATGGCTACATCAAAACCGGTACCAGTGCCAACCTGAAGGCTGTACGGTATTCAAAACCAGCCTGCAGAACTTACTACAAGGCTGCACACTTCTAAGAATAGTACCACTGGGACCAGGTCCGGAGAGCGCAGCTAGCGCTAGCCAACGGGCAATCAATGCATTCAACGCCTCCACCCACTCTTGCACATTTGGCAAAACTAGTTCATACGATTTTGCTTTTCACATTTGCTTCCTGGCCATACGGTAACATAGCTGACACGGCTGCAAACATGCCAAGTCGACAGCTTTGCTGCTCAACAATAGCATGTTGCGTTTTCATTGCGTTGCAGACACACAGTTTTCATGTCTTCCGCTGAAAATAACTAATTGGGTTAACCGTACTTGTAGAAGCAGGCTCTGTTTTCAAGTAAATCTTTTTTAATTTAAAGATAACTTTGCTGACGTTCCAAGCTCCACGCACATGTGTATGCAACTCTTCAAGCACTACACACAGCCAAGGCCTCCATGACACTGGCTGCTAACAACAGCAATAGGTAACTCCTCTAAATAGAGGTGCTCCCAGCAAGATAAAGCTCTTCAAAGCCAAGCATGTAGTCCGTATGTTTGTTGGCAGTGGCCCAGTCACTAGCACTACCATCACACACATGCACAATGCCATCCCCCCCCCCCCCCCCCCCCCCCGAAAAATCACACCTGCACAACAACCAAGCTTCCTGGACAATGGTGTGCTATGTTGATGCTATATTCCAGTCTCAAAATCCCAGCGGCTATGCACTGTAATCCAATCAAAAGTACAGCGATGGCAAATGAAATCTGACCTCATGCCTAATGCAGCCCCAGTACAGTGCAGCCCCAGTACAGTGCAGCCCCAGTATTGAACAGTCCCAGTACACTGCAGCCCCAGTATTGTACAGTCCTGGCTATACCAACACTAGGCTCTGTAGTGAGTGTTCCTCTCTTCTGTTCACGAGGTAGAGCTTTGCTCGGTAGTTGCAACCAGGGAGTAGTAAAATACAAAGTAAAGTATTTTACTACTCCCTGGTTGCAACCACCACCACCGTGCTAGGGCTTATTCCAATTTGGCCCAAGGTTGAGGCCGTCAGCATGTACAGTATACTCTGACAAATGTAGCGTACAATTCGAGTTTTCATGTTACAGTCATCAGCGATATATCTTCCAAAAATATTAATATTACGTACTTCCCCATCAGTGTAAACAGCTAAAAGGGCTGTCAACAAATTTGAGAGTGTAGACTTGGGAAATACGACACCTGGCAATTGATGAGGCTATCAAGATCAGAAAAAAACATACATACAGTTGACTCCATTTATAACTAACTCGGATATAGTGAATTTCACGGTATAGCGAACCAACGTCCATGTTACTGTTTGAACCCATACAAAATTGACCCTTTATAGCGAGCAGTTTTCGTTTATAACGAACCATATCTTGTAGGACTGCATGTATACCAAGTGCAATCACACTGTCATGGGCCACATGCCAGTCATGTCATGTTGCTTGTATGGTGCATTTCGGTTGTAAAGAACTTCGGCTATAAAGAACGAATCCTTCTGCACAATGGTGTTCGTTATATCAGGAGTCGACTGCAATTATTATTATAGCACTGGAGCAGAAAAACTGCCATAATAAATGGTAGATGAGTTATCCTGAGCTCCACGCAAATCTGAGATACGGGCAGTGCCCGGTCCCAAGGTGCCCGGATAAGAGACGTTCAAGTGTATGAGATACTCAAACCACGACTAGACCCATTGGCTCGTTTCATCAACAATCAAGTCACTGAAACACTCTTTTGAAATGAGATTGTTGCTCAGAAATGATATCAATGATAGTGATCGTGATCCAGGCTACTGGCTTCATGCCAAAAAGTTCCTACTTGCATAATTATATCAGAGCAAAGGCCAGCACAACCCTCTTAACTCTGTGCAAGCTCTCTAAACGTATAGCAATAGTGACATAAAAAGGATCTTGAATCCTTCCCGCCCTGCTCTTTGCAGGTCACAAGACCACACTATAGTATAGGCAGAATTGCCCTGGTCCTTCCCCATAGCATACCTTCCACTTAAAATCTCTAGTAAAATAATATACCAGAAGATTTGTCTACTGCAGCGCATCGAGGCCAATCTCAGGACAGACTGTCGTAATATCAATCTGATATCGAAACACACCATCGGGATGCAAAAGCTAACTAAAAATCATGTGTGAAAAGACAGCCTGTCGACTTTCACATCGCCACTTCTCAAGAATTCACTGGAGGTATTCGTAGCAGTATGAAGCACTATGATGCTAAGAAGTAAGAACTACCAAAACTTCAGAGAAGACATTTACCTGTAGACTGTAGTGCTTATCTGCTGCTAGATGACTACGTCATCACCATGATGTCTTCCAACGGCTTCCTGACAAGATCAGGCACGGTGGTGTCTTCAGAGGGGTAGCCGATAGGCAACAGCAGGAAGGCTTTCTCCGTTGCCGGCCGCTCAAGAAGATCACGCAGTGCCGCGTAGCAATTCAGCGGGGTCGATGTCACCGTGACAAGGCCTAAATGACACACAAAGTGACACAATACAATCATGTACATGTACAATACAATCATGTGGAAATCAACAGCTACTGCAGAGGACATTGAAATCCGCTGAGAAGTCAAGCAGCCACGGGGCGTTGGCCTTGCAGCCACGAGCACTGCTGATCTATTTTTTAAAACATTTGTAGGTGAACTTGTACGCGCTAAAAGCAGTAAGGGCGCCGGTCCCAGCCATCCTATCGGATTTCAATGTTCACAACAGTAGATACCTAAGTACATACAGGGGCGTCGGAGGGTATTTTAGTGTGGTCCGGTCAGCCATCTGAACTACAATTTACTCGTGGGGAGTGGAGGCTGAGCCGAAAATTTTGGAATTTTAGATCCCGGATCAGTGTATTTTGTTGGTTCACGGGGTATCTGGGGCAAAAAGTGGTACGGTCAATACCGTAGGGGCCGTACCGTGTGCGACGCCCTTGACATACATGCAGTGAGCACAAACCGCGAGCGAGCCAAGACCACTCCATTTCACAAGCACTTGGCGTCTCCAAAAAGAAATAATTCGCATGGGATCACATATCTGCATGCCAGTACCAGAATACAGTGACTTCAACAGACCTGGGCTGGAGGTTTGACACCATTGTAACGGTTGCAATCGCCAAACAGACAGACACATCCTAGGCTCTAGGCAAACAAGGCAAAGCAACACAATCGTCAAACCTGTCCACGGCAAAACAACCTACCTGCGTAGTGCACAGCTGCAAGTAACATGCCAGCGGATATGGAGGCGCTCAGCCGGCTGTAGTAATGGTGTTTCTTCTTGCCATCTGGCCGAACACCACTGGTCTGCTCAAAGGCCACAATCAGGTATGGTGCCTCGTCCAGGTAGGGTTTGCTGTGGTCGGTGCCCAGCAGGGTGACGTCTTTCACCCAGGTTGTTCCCATCCGCCGGTCATAGTTCACCTCTTCTTCGCGCTCGACAATGTCCCGGATCTGTGCTTTGATCTCCGGGTCGCTGACCACCACGTATGTCCACGGCTCCGTGTGAGCCCCAGAGGGTGCCGTGCCACCGACACGAACTATATTCTCCACAACTTCGCGGGGCACGGGACGCTTGCTGAATGTTCGCACTGTTCTACGCTTCTTCATGACATCGTAGAAGTGCTGTGAGCGCCGGCACATCTCCTCGCCGTCAACGGGTTCATGATCCAGCTTGATGCGAGGCAGCTGTTCGAGAGCTGCACCGGGATCTTCATCATCGCTGTCCTCCACTGGCTCATCTGGTTCATCGCTGAACTCTTCTTCAGCCGGATCTTTACCGGGTCGTGCTGTCACTGTTACTGCTGGCTCATTCGACGCTCTTTCACCAGACTTGTTCTTCGACTTCACCAGCAGGATGTATGCGATAACAGCTGCAAGCAAGCTCAGACCAATCCTCAGTGCCAGTCCATTGTCTATCTCCATGTCAGAAAGGCAATCCTGTAAGCATAAGTAAGACCAATAAGAAATAATTAAGGGCAATGAGCTTCAGCACTGTGTAGAAAGACCTGCCAAAAGCAGAATATCTTTCTCACGGGGTATTTCATGAAGGAATACTAGTATGTAATAATTGCTAGGGAAGTTGCATCAAAGTAGAAAATGGAAGGGTTCAACTTTCAATTTCATGCAAGTCCACAACCAAGAGCATGTGTCTTTTCAGTACAATCATGTAGAAGGACGTGAGCTTCATGCCATACGCTCTGAATCCGCTGTCATAATGTGACTACAGCACATTTGTTTTCATAGGTATGTGTGTGTGTGTGTGTGTGTGTGTGTGTGTGTGTGTGTGTGTGTGTGTGTGTGTGTGTGTGTGTGTGCACTTGCAGTGTTTGACACGACCGCAGCTGAGTTTGCGCTACCAAGACACAGTTCTTGGTTGCAGGCAGGGATGTTTCGCCTGGGGACTGCGCTCCAATCGAGCTAGCTGGCACGGTCATCGAGTGTGTTTCGGAGTTCCGGTATCTTGGGTCTCTCATTCATCGCGGTGGCCGGTCGACACAGGACATCACTGCTCGGATTGCGCATGCCTCTCGTGCTTGTGGCGCCTTGCAAGGAACCATCTTCAGCAATCCTGACCTTGATTTGCATATCAAGAGGTGTGTGTTTAATGCATGTGTGCTGTCGCTCCTCCTCTATGGGTCAGAGTGTTGGACACCACTGCAACACGATCTCCAACGTGTGTCAGTCTTTCATATGCGGTGCATCCGTTCCATCTTGGGTGTGTCCCGCAGAGATTGCTGGCATAATCACACGACCAACGCCCAACTGTTGGAGATGTGGGGTGACACTGATACCATCTGCGTGAAGGTTGCACAGCGTCGCCTAGAGTGGCTGGGCCATGTTGCCCGGATGGACAGTAGCCGGATGCCGAGACAGATCCTGTTTGGCTCACTTCCCACACGTCGCCCAGCACATGGCCCTCGCAAGCGCTGGAAGGATTGCGTTGTCTCCGACCTAAGAGTTCGTGGCCTCGCCAAGGAATGGTACCCTATTGCCTGTGAGTCCCACGCTGACTGGCGGACTATGTACGCCGAGCCTGTGGAGAATGTGCCTCAGCCTGACCCAGCGGTATGTACGGATTGCAATCGGTCATTCTCGCGCCCTGGAGATCGTGCTCGCCACAAAGGTGTGGTTGAGCGGGCAAAGCCGATTGCTGAGCAGCGAGGGGCTTGCAACTGTGGAGATTGTGGGCGTTGGTTTCGAAGCAAGGGTGGTCTAGCTGTTCACCGCTGTTCCGCACCTCAGCCTCAGCCTCCCGAGCCCCGGCAAGTCTATGTGCAGGATGCCTGCTGTACTGCGCACTGTGCTGTGTGTGCCCGCTGCTTTCGGACTGTGCAAGGCCGCGGTCGTCACCGGTGCTCGAGGACTGGCCCGCGCCCGACTACCCAGCAGCGTAATTCGTTCAGTCATGTATGCGTGTGTTCTCGCCGGTTCCGTTTGCTCCACCATCTCCGGCGTCATCAGGCTGCGTGCTCCATCTTCCTCTCTGATGCCTCTCCGGGGCCCACGTGACCCCTGTGGCAGTGGCTCTACAGGACAGGACAGGTGTGTGTGTGCCATACTCTCTGAATCCGCTGTCATAATGTGACTACAGCACATTTGTTTTCATAGGTATGTGTGTGTGTGTGTGTGTGTGTGTGTGTGTGTGTGTGTGTGTGTGTGTCGTAGTGTTATATTTCGATTCGTTCTGTGTGCGGATCACTCTTGTCAGATCATTGTGTTTGACTCGTTTGTGAGCTTTGACTCGTTTGTGAGCTTTGACTCGTTTGTGAGTTTCTTGCTTGCTCGTAGAGCTTTAGAGTTCGTGAGTTTCTTGCTCGCTCGTAGTGTTTCACAGTTTGTGAGTTTATTCGCTCCTCGCCGCCTTGTCTTCGCGACGCCATGGCTGCCTATACTGACGATGAAATCCGCGCCATGACGGTTCCGCGTCTCCGCAGCAAACTCTCGCTGTTGGATTTGGATACTTCGGGCAGGAAGGCTGCCCTCGTTGATCGCCTGATTCAGGCCCAAGTTCATCACGCTGATCCCTGCGAGTCTGCAGCGAGCACGGCGAGCGGGGCAGGCAACAGAGAACGCGAGCCGTTGGCGCCGTCTGTGCCTCCGACGTCGGCGATAACTCCCGACACAATCCGCTCCACCATAGTATCGGTGGTGTCGGAGACTTTGCCAACACTTCTGGCGGCCATGGTTCCCGATTCTCTGCCTCATAGTCATACGAACTCGACTCCTCTCCCAGCCAGCTCAGGTAGCAGCAAGTCGTTCGCCGCCCACCTGGGAGCTAAACATCGCGAGCGGATTTCGATGGGTGAGTTCGTGGAATTGAGTGAGCTCTTGCCCTCTGTGTCTTGCTCTGTGCCGCACGCCCGCACACAGAACGTGCTCCGTTTTGAGTCGTCGGATGGGGGCCCGTTGCGGGTGGTCGAGGACGGCGCTGCCCGCGGCAAGAGCAGGCACGTTCACGACCTTGCGACGTGGGTGGAAGCCTACACGATCATGAGCCAGGTTATTGTCGACGTGGCTTCGCACAGGTCAGCGGAGTTGCTGTGTTACCAGGGCCTCATCCTCGAGGCTAATCGCAGATTCACGCCTGAAGGGTGGTTGGAGTATGACAGGAAGTTCCGCATCAAGGCTGCTGCCGACCCGTCGCTGAAGTGGGACATTATCGACCCAAACCTGTGGCAGCTGGCGACAACAGGACGCGCTCGGTCTGCCTGCATGGCATGCGGCGCTGCATATCCGCCTTCTGCTAATGGACGCTGTCCTTTTCGTCCCTACCAACAGTCCTACCAACAGTTTTCCGGCTTCGCTAGTAACTCCAAGGGCTCAGCCTCCCCAGGACAGTCGGTCTGCCGCAATTTCAATGCGGGTCGGTGCTTCGACCCTTGCTCCAGGTCCCACATCTGCCAAATCTGCCGGGGTCGCCACCCAGCTTCCCACTGTAAGGGTAACACCACCAGCTCGAGGGCGGGTGGTAAACCCAAGCAATAGGGCTGCCAACATCATGCCAGCCTTCAGTGTCCAGCGCGACACTAAGGCCACCATCCACCGCACACTGCATAATACTGTACATTCTGTTCATACGCCTCTGCACGTTTCCCGTTTTGCGTCCATGCTTGCTTCACATCCTGATCAGCAATTCGTCAATTATGTATGCAACGGCCTTGCTTACGGTTTCTCTGTCGTAAGACTGTAGTAGCCCCGAATCTCACCTCTTCAGCTCCTGTCATCAATCCATCAAGTACTACTATTACTTGGTCTACTTGTCATTGGTGGGGTAAGGAACTCCCACACACACACACACACATCCATAGTGCATCAATCAATCTGGTGCTAGTGCCTGTCACTTTCGAGGTGCACCACCCACGTACTCACAGGCTGGCCTATGCCCATGCTGTTGCAGTCTCCTCTAGTTAGTATGGGGGTTAGCACTGTTGCAGTTCACACTGCCATCCCAACCAGTGTGTATAACCAGCAATTGACGTGTTGCACGTATTCAAGTGTTCAGTCCAACAGCAGATTTGCTTGGGCCACTCTTGTCCAATCATTTATGTAGTTTTCCAGTATAACCTCAACCTCTCTGGCCCGACGTCATTTAGTCTCTGCCCCGACGTCATTTAGTCTCTGCCACACTGACAGGCGTTGCGTCCTCAAGCACGAACTCGCCTGCTTTCTAGGCCAACTCACATTCGCTACCCACCCGTACGTTATTATGCCCTGCCTGTCTGACCTGGTCAAGGCCACATCTGAGTTCATCTCACAGAATGCTGCACCTCTCAACCTCGGTCAAGGACGACCCCGAGCCGGTGGCACCAGACTCTGTCAACGTATTGAAGGTTGGCACAAGCCGTTCAGTTCTTCTGTGGTCATGGCACTCATCTGCACCCTCTACTTGTGTCCAGTACTACTTACTGTTTTGAGCATCACACCTGCCAGTCACCTCCAATACCATCGATGCTCTGCCCGGACCAAGTTGGATGACTCCAGAACCTTTGCTCCCACAGCTGCGGAGCGACCTGACACCATGGTCTAGCCAATCACCGCAGCAAAGTTCGTCCTTCTATTTGGGCAAGCTCCCTTTGCTGCACGAGCATATATCCGGCGTGGAATGAGGGACACCGCTAAGGTGATCATCAAGGTAACTGTCTTACTGGTTCTCATCCGTGTTGCTTGAACTCTTGTCAGTATCCTCTTTACCACATGCTGTCTCAATGCACAAACATTTAATGCCTAGCTACCCAGGGGGCTTTTTGTCCTCGTCCCTCTCTTGGCTCCGCCAGGAGAGGGGGGCTGCGCCAAGATCTCTCTCTGCAATGCCCCCTCTCTGACTCCTCCCTTGGCTCCGCCAAGATCCTGCTCCGGCAGTGACCCCTCTCTGACCTCTCTCTTGGCCCTGCCAAGATCCTGCTCCGGCAGTGATCCCTCTCTTTACTAAGGGCCCTCGGTCGCCGTCCCTCGGACGCAGACTTTTGTAGATACTTGGCTCCGCCAACATTCTGCTTCGGCAGTGTCTACCCGGCCGACCCTGAATCCTCTCTCGTAGATAATTGGCTCCGCCAACATTCTGCTCTGGCAGTGTCTACGTATATCTCTTGTCTGACCTCTCTCTTGGCCCTGCCAAGATCCTGCTCCGGCAGTGACCCCTCTCTTTACTCAGGGCCCTCGGTCGCCGTCCCTCGGACGCAGACTCTTGTGGATACTTGGCTCCGCCAACATTCTGCTTCGGCAGTGTCTACCCGGCCGACCCTGAATCCTCTCTCGTAGATACTTGGCTCCGCCAACATTCTGCTCCGGCAGTGTCTACGTATTACTCTTGTCTGACCTCTCTCTTGGCCCTGCCAAGATCCTGCTCCGGCAGTGACCCCTCTCTTTACTCAGGGTCCTCGGTCGCCGTCCCTCGGACGCAGACTCTTGTAGATACTTGGCTCCGCCAACATTCTGCTTCGGCAGTGTCTACCCGGCCGACCCTGAATCCTCTCTCGTAGATACTTGGCTCCGCCAACATTCTGCTCCGGCAGTGTCTACGTATTACTCTTGTCTGACCTCTCTCTTGGCCCTGCCAAGATCCTGCTCCGGCAGTGACCCCTCTCTTTACTCAGGGCCCTCGGTCGCCGTCCCTCGGACGCAGACTCTTGTAGATACTTGGCTCCGCCAACATTCTGCTTCGGCAGTGTCTACCCGGCTGACCCTGAATCCTCTGTCTGTTTGTGTGTTTGTCTGTCTGTCTGTTTTGTGTCGGTTTGTCTGCTTTTCTGTCTGTTTCTGTGTCTATCTGCCTTTCTATTTCCTTGCCTCGTCTCCATATCAACGAGACATGAATCATTGCCACACTCAAGCAGTCGAAGGCCGAACGCTAGCAAGGCTGCTAATGTGTCAGTGGCTACAGCGGGGCAACGTGCACGATTGCCACCGGCAATTCCAAGACGTTCTCGGACACGTTCAGCTCCAACACCATCTCAACTACCCGGTGGCCCACCGTGGCTGGTGGTTACCCGCCAAGATCCTGCTCCGGCAGTGATCCCTCCTGCTCCGGCAGTGACCTCTCTCTGACCTCTCTCTTGGCTCTGCCAAGATCCTGCTCCGGCAGTGTCTATGTCTTTAACCCCGCTCACGGCTGCTTCGGTACGAGGCTTGCTGGCCACAATGGGCCATGCTCATTTCCGGCTACTCAGGGCTCTCGGTCTTCGTCCCTTGGACGTGACTATCCTCTTGGCTCCGCCAAGATCCTGCTCTCTCTGTAGCCTCTCACTTCGCTGGCCAGCACCCTCCTAACCGCAAGCTGCTGTGTGTTGTAGTTAATGTAGCATTATAGTAATAATGCAGATTAATGGGTGCACGCGGCTGCTTCGTGCTACCACTCAAACTATGCTGCTATGAACGTGCGCTGTACGTGCTCACATGGTACTCTATGCATCGTGGCATTCTATGTGTCATACAACGTGACACTCAACGCGACATTCATTCATGCGCGACGCTCAACGTAGGCGGCATGCGTCGTAGGCACTCAACGTCAACGTAGGCGGCATGCGTCGTAGGCACTCAACGTGTCATACTAAAGTTTGGCATTCATGCGTGTCGCTCGCCTCCGATGTGGAAGGCGTGTGGCGGCGTTATGATGACGCTTGCTTGTAGCTTAACGTGGGTGGGTTTGGCAGTGTTATGATGGCGCTTGCTTGTAACTCAACGTGGGTGGCATGCATCGTTGCATGTCTTGCTAGAGTTTGCTCTGCTATATATTTTCGATCCGTTCTGTGCGACGATCATTCTTCCTTGCTCGTAGTGTTATATATTTCGATTCGTTCTGTGTGCGGATCACTCTTGTCAGATCATTGTGTTTCACCCACCCACCTCCCATTTCTCATCTCTCATTTACTTTGATAAAGTAAATAAAGGGGTGTTGGCCATGCTCATTTCCGGCTACTCAGGGCTCTCGGTCTTCGTCCCTTGGACGTGACTATCCTCTTGGCTCCGCCAAGATCCTGCTCTCTCTGTAGCCTCTCACTTCGCTGGCCAGCACCCTCCTAACCGCAAGCTGCTGTGTGTGTGTGTGTGTGTGTGTGTGTGTGTGTGTGTGTGTGTGTGTGTGTGTGTGTGTGTGTGTGTGTGTGTGTGTGTGTGTGTGTGTGTGTGTGTGTGTGTGTGTGTGTGTGTGTGTGTGTGTGTGTGTGTGTGTGTGTGTGTGTGTGTGTGTGTGTGTGTGTGTGTGTGTGTGTGTGTGTGTGTGTGTGTGTGTGTGTGTGTGTGTGTGTGTGTGTGTGTGTGTGTGTGTGTGTGTGTGTGTGTGTGTGTGTGTGTGTGTGTGTGTGTGTGTGTGTGTGTGTGTGTGTGTGCCATATGGTGCAGTGGTATGTGCAGCGATTTCCAATCGATAGGTTGCGGGTTCGATTCCCGACGATTATGGTCACACACGTCTTTCTTCTCTTTCTCGGACTCTTCCTGACTTTTCTTTCATTCTCCTGGGTGGTTACCAACAGCCAGTGTATGCCGGAGTATGTACATACTCCGGCATACTGTAGTACACATATGTGGTGTGATGTGTGTGCAGGAAAAAAAATGAAAAGACCAAAAATAGGGATTCACTGGCCAGAAAAAGTCACTTCAAATAGCTGTATGGTGTAGACCAGGCTGAATAGTGACGGTCAATTCTTCAGCCTTGCAAGCTGTTGAATGGTGCAATCCCAGCACAAGTTGCTATGGCTTCTGAGGTAGCATTGCTATCATCGCTTCCGGCGATGGGCATCAAAGGTCAGGTCAGGTGTGTGTGTGTGTGTGTGTGTGTGTGTGTGTGTGTATCATGCGTGTTCGCATGTCATGTGACTGATTGCAGGTGGCATGGCCGACGGTGGTCGTGGCGGGATGCCACACGTACCACATGGCTGATCACCAGCTTAGCTAGCTCCCCTGTAGTGTCCCAGCTCAGTCTTTTCGCGAGCCTGTAATCATTCTACATGTACCTAGGGTACCCTGTAAAAAGACTCACAGTCTGTGGGGATTGTCCTAGTCAACTAATAAATACTACTACTACTACCCACAACATACCAGTAGTTCTGCACTGTATTTCCTGTACGCCTCAGCATTACAATGCATTCGTTATACCGTAAAGTCGCGGATAAAAGCCGGGTTTGCATACAAGCACATCGCGGATAGAAGCCTGAAAATCAAACAGGTCAAATGCATATAAGCCTGTCGCGCGTAGAAGCCTGGCTTCTATGCAAGCGCGGATCGGGTAGGTCAAGAGTGCATGCGCTATGTACAGGGCATAGTAAAACTGCCGCCATACCGGTAGTCAGCGGTAGATCTACATGTGTCGCGCGTAGAAGAGGTGCATACAAGCCTGGCAAAAATATCAGTGGTGCATACAAGCCTGGTTTGCATTAAAGCCTGATGCAGAAAGCGGCTTATGTGCTTATAAGCCCGGCTTTTATCCGCGACTTTACGGTAATCATCTCACTTTCGGAATGAACGACTGTTTTTTTTCTCTGTTCTCAATAACACAAAGTACTGTTAAACAAGTAGTTAAGTACTGCCATAGTCAAGTGGTGTGCTTCACTGTTCGAAGAGTGCTCAATGCCCATGTAGGGCAGAGCCTTGTACACAAGAGAGAGTTTGGAAGCTTTGTTACAACTCTGAGTTTCACGTATTACTACGATCGTCAGGCAACCTGATGATCGTAGTGATACGTGAAACTCAGAGTTGTAACAAAGCTTCCAAACTCTCTCTTGTGTAAGTACTGTCATACAAAAAAATGCCTTCATTATTAGCTCTGGGGTATACAATTATGTAATAGGAACTGATTCCAAAAAAATCAGATTTAGATCTGACATTCTGGTATTATTTGCACGCAGTGCAAAGACGTCTAGACGCGCATACATGTACCGCAGGAGTCCGGTATTCGGCCACTCGATCTCTTGCCCCATTAGTCATTACTGAGTGTCCCCCACTATACAAGAGGCCTGGTAGACATTGGCACCAATCCCAACTTACCTTCACGATACTATTGCACAACGAAAGGTATTGGCCAAATCCAGCAAGTGCGACGTTCGGTTCAGCATTACCCAATAAACTGCCGCTACAACGTAGTAGATCTACCTGTAATTACTTTTCTATTTAAATACCTGTAATTACTGTAATGCAAACGGGAAAGCCTGCCAAACTTTGGCCAAAAGTGCCAGCTGTCACACTCTCTTTCACAGTCACACGTTTTATTTCAGACTTCACTCTTCTATTCACTTCATTATCAGTTTTAATTTTGAAGATCTTTGCAGCTTTGACTTTTCTTTTGTTATTTTGTTGGCACGGACACGAGCCGCGAAGGCGTCAAGCACGTTGCCATGCATATGCGCGCGCGATGCATGCCTGCATGCTGCAGCCTCGTGCCAGTCGTGGCCTGAATTTTCAAACTATGTTACGCGTATACGGCATGTACCATGCAAAAGAGTCAAGCTCATCATCATCATTCAAGAGGATGATGCCTTTTCGAAGACGATTCAGTCTTCTGTTTTTATTGCGAGGACCTACATGTAGGAGTGATGTTTGGTACAAACTGGAAATGCAACATGTGCTTTGGCGATTGAGAATTCAGATTGACGCCACCAGTCAGGCTGATGATTGGCTTCCAGCAATATGCAAGATGCCAGCCGCATTTCTTGCTGAGGTCCCTGCGAACGTTGGTTGAAAACAAGCTACTAGTATACGCTTCTGTGACTCACGGTCGCAGTGTAGCAGCGGTCGCCTCTGTTTCTAGCATTTATAGCCATGGGCTTGGGCAGCGTAGATGTATTGTCTCGCTGTCTTTTCCCCAAGAAATACCAGTTCTTACACCCAAAATATTAGTTAAAGAGAGCACTCTATCTGCCAGCAACTATCCCGTGGTGGTATTTGACGTGGAAACAGCTGGTGGGGAATTCCATACATCCATCATTCAACTTGCTGCTGCAGGCCCATGCAGACACTTCTTCAAAGATGCAGATGGAGACGCACTAGACTCAGTTGGTAAACCAGATACTGATGCTAATGAGTGCATAGAAACATTCTCGCGGTATGTCTTCCCAACGACGCATATGTCATTCTTCAGCTCCAAAGTACACGGCATATATCTATCTCGACAGAATGAGCTTGTTCGCCATGGAAAGGTATTGCCGATGGAAAGTATATCCGCAGTTCTCAAGGACTTCACTGATTGGTTGAAGAAGATTTCCCAGGGTAGACCAGTCATCCTTGCCGCTCACAACTGCCACCAACTGGACATGCGCAGCATTGTGAATGCGTACAAATCAGTGGATATGTTGCCTGAGCTACACACGCATGTGGCTGGCTTCCTGGATACGTTGCCACCGTTCAAGAACGGCAGTTTCTACAGCGGCGGCGGTGTTGGGCTAGGGGCAATACATGAACACTGCGTTGGCAACGGTGCGTTTGATTCCCACGATGCAGCTAGCGACGTCCAAGCCCTAGTGGACGTGATCGCACACGTGCCTATGCATGCACCCACACTTGATCTATCCACGGCACTGGGGTACGTTGAGTACCGCCGTAGCGCAGTGAATCGGCTGGAGACCTACCGAGGGGCATTGGCTGCTAAGGCGGTGAAGATAGGGATAGCCATGCGGCTGAGCGACAAAGGCATTGCCTATGGCGACTTGATGCAGATGCACATCTTTGATCCAGAAGATGGCGTGCAGCGTTTCTTTGCTGCTCCGGTCAAGGCGAACGGCAACCCTCGCATTACAAACGTGAAGAGAGTGGCACGGACTCTGGCAGACTTTCTCACCCGGGATATGTTCTCATATGCCAAGAAGCAGGCTGGTAAACACTGGACATGCTTTGCTTCATTTGAAGCTCCGGTGCGGACAGCTGACATAAGTTCTCGGCAAGCATTCTTCCTAGCATGCTGTTTCATTGATTCCAACCAGTATTGCAAAATCAAATCGGAATCAGACGGGACACGTATCCTGGATGAGAAGTGCCAGCACGCTCTAGACCTCAACCAGTCCTATGTTGATGCTGTTGAGGACGGTAGGTGGACAGATCCTGATGCTGATCATAGTGACGAAAGTGAGAGCTGTGAAGACGGCTGATTTCATTACCGGTTACCAATTCCGTTCCAGTTTTCAGTGATTTGTTTAAGTTGCTGATGTGTCAGCGTACGTGTTCTTGGATACTTGGCTCTTAGACTTACTACAACGTTGTAGTAGTCGCTGTCAATCCCGACTGGTCGTGAGTGCTAGCCTCTGTAATAGGCTCTATATCACTTTTATCTACTTCTGAAATTTGCCTTGTAGCCACCCATGAACGCAGCCTGTTATTTACGCATCATTATGGCTAGCAGGTTAGGACCTTTGAGGTAAACTTAGGGATAAAAATTTCTTACTGCACTTCTCCCTGTTTTACGATATACAAGTACAAGTAAAAAACTTGGCGAAACAAAAATGGAAAGTATGTGTACTGCATTCCATGAAGCTAGGGAACGTGTGATCCACTGGGCATTGAGTGAAAAACTAATGGTTTTGGTACAAAGAAGCGCGATATAGCGTTCCTTACTGAACATGCACCAAAGCCCATCGTTCTTGCATTGAGTACTTCCCGGTGGCCCACTTCATCATCTGGAATTTTGGGAGGTGGAAACGAATTACATTGCAAGTAGCAGATGAACAGTGCATCACAGGCCTCCTGGGACCAAGGCCACTTGATCCAGTGCCCCCAAACCTACAGGTTCTGTCATTCTCCACACCATGCACTCCATGATCCAAGCTATGACCAACAGCGTAACCACGGTTACAGTTAGTGAATTGCATCTGCACATCGGCGGCATGGCAGGGCAAAATAAAAATTTCTTTTAAAAAAACTTGTCAAGTTGATTAACAAATACACACGAGGTCCCAATTTTGGCAGGAGACGTTCAGAGCGAGCAGGCCAAGGCGCTATGTCAAATATTACGTCCAGACCAAGCTGAGGCGTTATAAGATGGTTTTGACATAGACCGTGTCACTACATGTAACAATAACGTTGAGAAATGGAGAAAGTCGTCTCAAACTAATCCCATAATAATCAAATACATGTACTAAGCGAACGCCTCAGTACTATAGCCAGGGGATACAACTGTTGTATTTTCGATATGCTTGCTCACCAGTACAGGGTGTCAGCAGAGCATAACAATTTTAAAAATACTCTGCGAGCGAGGAGTCTTCAAGACGCCATGCCATGGTGTAAGTGGCCACACAAGTATGCATCACTGCCCAGTGGAGGTACAAGTACACACCAAGGCGGGCAGGTGCATTCTGTGTTTGGACTTGGGGCTGACTGATCTGTATGAGTAGCTGAATGCAGCTGGCAGTCAACTAACTTGTGAGTCGCATAGGCAGAACAGCCCGACACAGCCAAGCAGATCTTTCCTATCGGCACGCCATTACCAGTATTAGGGATGGCACGGTAACTGTACCAATAGTACTACTGTTATCAGAGCACCTCTCTGTACAGGCATACCCCCAGTATGCATGGAGGAAGCTGGACATCTGCGTAGTTGAGCAGGTAGACCTGTTCCTGTCCATTCGCATGGTGACGTCTTGGCCCTAGCCGACCCATCCACCCAGGTAGGAAAGAGAGGAAATCACGCATGGAAAGACGTCTGCTCGTACAAATCCGCTCCCCAGCCTCCACGCTGACGCTTACAAACCTCACTGAGAGGACGGCCATGATTGTTCTCTTCCATGGTGACCTGCACATAAAACTTCTCTATCCAATCAGGGTACAAGCTGGCAGCCATCATAGAGCGAGCTGAATTGGACCCGACAAACCTACGGCACTTCGACAGAAGGTAAAGCTCAGTAAACAAGTGTTGCATTTGAATGTGCCGAGTGCTGGGCGAGTCTTCCACATATCCAGCCTCAACAGTAGATATCACTTGACGATAGATGTTGCGGCGTTTGATCCAGCCCGACGCACTCTCCACAACAGCTTCATTGTCTGATTTGACCACCCATACATAGTCATCGTGCTTTTCCGGAACCTCGACATATTCGGATGAGTGCATTTCGTTGCCCTTGTCGGCGCCACGTTCAATCCAGCGCCCACAACGCCAGAAGTCATCAACATTGCGATGGCGAGCTCCACCAGACCGGCCAGGAACAGAGCGAGTCTCAACGTGAAAGCAGATGGTACTATGATCCATCTTGTAGCCATTTTTCTGCATGAACTCTTTGCCACTTTTTTGCACAGATGCACTGAAATTGAACAGCTTCTGAAACAACCGGCTATAAATGGGTTCAAATCTCCACTTGGGCATCTTCAATTTGAAAGTTTCCAACAAATGATATGCACAGTCCTGTTCAAAATCTTCCGCTCTCAGCGCAATAAAAGCCAACTCTTCCTCCAGAACTTTGTGAACATTTGGGCACTTTTCCTTGTGTGGCAGCCGTAAATCAATCGGATTCTCGAGGGCTTTGTGCAACGCCTTCTTGGCCAGCGCAGCGCCACAGCGGTCTATTCTCCACTCAACGCCAGACTTGATGTAGCGCTTGCCTGCTTTCTTGACATTCTTCACTCCGGGTGTAAGATAATCGTCCAGCTTAAGCCAGTCCGGCGTGTGGACAAGGAAAGCGCGCTTTGTCAACACCGACATCAGGTAGGTGAGAAGCAGGCCTTCGGTTCCAGCAGTACTAATACCGGGACAGTCATCCCCGCTGCATGTGTAAACGAACGCCCTCAACGACTTCTCATCATTACACATCATGAGCTGCTGACGCTCCTGATAGTCCATCTTCTGCTGCAGATCCTCGTGTTGCAACTCCGGGGCATACACATACGTATACGGTTCGGTGTACTCGTGCTCATCTGGATCATTGCACACCCACGACGATGAGCGCTTTCCTGATTTGGTTACATTCTGTTCAACTGAGCACTTGTAAGGATTGTGTTCTATAGGTACTGCTACTGGTGGATGTGACTCAGTGTAAGTAAAATAATAAATGAGCGTTCCTGCTGACATCAAAACAGCTGCACCGAACGCCAACAGCACAAAGACTCTGGGGCCCATTGTGATATCCGACTCCTTCAACAGCTAGAGTAAGAGGTCAGCTCCAGGAAAAAGGCGTGCTTGTCAAGAGCACAAGTACTCAATAAACGTAGATATACAAATGTACACCGTCTCCTAGGACATAATACTGTGCAACTAATTACTTACAATTTCGATCTCAACATTCATGCATAGAGACAGACCCTTTCAGGATCTGCT